ATCATCTGTCTTTCCCATCCCCGTCTTGAGTTCCCCTTTTCATCATGGCTACAAATTCCTCATAGTTGATTCTCCCATCCTATCCAACACCATTGAAAGAAATTATATGAAGAAAAAGCAAAAAAAAATAAAAAGTGATTTAGGATTAAAAGAAAAAAATTACGTTATCAGTATCAACATCCTCAATGACTTCATCTATTGTAGCCTCATCTCCCATTCCATACTGGGTCATAGCTTGTCTTAATTCATCTCTTGTGATAAACCTGAATGAAAATAAGAATAATAACTATCAGTCAAGTTGTAAGATACCATGAATGTTCACAACTTGATGAAGATCTCATTCTGGAAAATATGTTAGTTCATGCAGATTTAGAGTCATAGGAAGAGTGAGAAAAGAAACAATAGGAAATATTGTTCTATCTAGACTAACCCACTGTCATCCTTGTCAAAGAATTGGAAAGCCTTGATTATATTATCTTCCCTCTCAAGCCTATGTCGATGCATTGTAGCAGTTACAAATTCAATGTAATCAATGGTTCCACTCTTGTCAACATCAGCCTGACAGAATAAAGTTTAGGCACTCAGAAATTGCCAGCTTGTTTCTTTTGGCTGCTGGAAGGAATTAATCTCAAGGCTTGTTTCATTAAGTAAAAGAAGGGGGGGGGGGGGGGAATCTTATAGTTCGGTAACTCTTACAGCATCCATAAGTTGCTTTATTTCTTCTTCAGTTAGCTTAGATCCTAATCGAGCTAATCCAATCCTGAGTTCTTCAAGTGTTATTGTACCACTTCCATCAGTGTCCATGTTGTTGAACATCTGTTGCAAGCCCTTGATCTCTTCTTCTGTTGATAGGCTTTCTGCTATCACCTTCCAGCAATCAAAATTTCAGATAAAGATATCAGCCGGTGGGAAAATTAAAGAAAGAAAAAACAAATTTGTACTTTTATGCTTGAGTAAATTTATCATAGAATAACATCGCAAACACAAAGCATATGGACAATGAATGTGCACCTACATGAAGTATTGACTACTTGAAGACTGTAAGACAATAGCCCCACGTGTATAGTGAATATGGTTATCCAAGAAACATAATCCGATATCTGTTGACTATGCAAGTTTCACATGCGTGAAAAAACCAAGGCATTAGATCATACCTTTAAGGCAAGCTTTTTGAGCTTGTTCATTACTCTGAATTGCCTTAACCTACTAAGAACAGCACTATCAATAGGTTTGTCAGATGCATCACCAACCTCTTTCATCCATGGATGTTCTGGTTCAAAATACACACAAAATGGAAAAATTAATGGCCCTTATCTAATTATGTTCTGCATTAAGGATGAGCTCAATATTCAAGGTTGTCAAACCAACTCTTCCTTGCACCTCCTCTTTTCTTAGTCTGTAAGGATTTTGCCTAGTAAAATATTCAGATACATATATCTTTACCCAGGGCTTCCCCTGCTGTAATCCGTTTCTTAGGGTCCCTTGCTAGCATCTTCCTGATGAGGTCCTTTGCACCATCAGATATAGATGGCCATGGCTGGCTTTCTAAGTCAAGATTACCTTCTAAAACTGCTTTAGATATTTCTTTCTCATTCTCTGCAATAAAATTATTCATTAACAGACCATTTTTTTTTTTTTTTTGGATAGAAGGAGTAAAATTCTCATAACAATGAGATATTGACTCAAATTCAGTTGAAGAATTTATCCAAATAAATAAAATTTTCACATACCACCCCAAAATGGAGGCACTCCACTAAGAAGAATGTATAAAATGACTCCAGCGCTCCACACATCTATCTCCTTGCCATATTTCCGCCGTAACACCTCTGGTGCAACATAATATGCACTTCCAACAAAGCCCTCATACATTCTTCCTAAAAGTTAGGTAAAATTCAAGTGGTTGATATTATATTAGAGAATATGAGATTCAGGATTACTTGGAAAATCAAATGCAGAAATAAATTCGAGAAAATCAAATCCGAAAGCAAAAAAAGTTGTTTTCTCCACCATTCACTCATAGCAAATAGTAACTAAGAGAAGTCGAGAAAAGAGGCTAATATACACATATGTGATGTCATCAACATATCCATCTTAAATTTCTTGTATTATCATGAAATTTAATCCAAATTACATGTCTTTGGGTCTGATTATGAAATTTTGATAGTTCAAAGGCAATGACATTCCTGTAAAGAAAGATATCTGCCTCCAGTTTGCCCAAAAATTCTGAAGTACACAGTGAGCTTACAGGCTACTGAAATCCTACTTTAAACACTGACAACTATAAGCACACACTTGATTTAGATGTAAATTAAAATATAATCCCATATTTACAAGGAAATCTGTACAAAACCCATTGCTCTCCTATTTTATACCACTATCTAGAACTTGCAGCTACACTTACCGGGAACAAAATCAGGTTAGTTGGTTTGTAAATAACCAAAGAGGGGCAATGCTGCAATGGTGCTACCAAAAATTAATGGTTATGATACTACAATCAATCTGTATAGTTGAATCATTAAATATATTTGGTAAAACCTCAACGGTTTGTCTTGCTTGTCCATGGATTTTACGACAGCATCATGTGAGTTTCACAATGAGAGAAATTCCCTCAAATTAAGAGCATATATCTCAATTTTCATGTATGGCGAGACTTTAAAGCATAACAGCTCCTCCTGCATTGTAAGGCCACAACTCCATTGTCCACAGTCCACCAACCCTTTCCTTGGTGGAATCTGAAATAGGTTAATCAGCGCTGCCACTATCACAGCAAATGTCTGGTCGTTTGGATGTATATATCGGAGGCTAAGCACCTTGTTTAGTCATGAATCAAGATGTCATGAACCTATCACGTGATTCCTTTTCTAGTAGGCTTTTTTTTTTCTTCTATCATTTTTCTTACTCACAAGCATTATCAAAAAAAAAAAAAAAGGTTCTTACTTAGCAAAAAATATCATTGACTTGGCTGACCTGTCCCTTTCTTCATTGACTTGGTATGGTTGACAGATGATTTTGTCTAGAAAGAATATCGTGTAGAGTCCGCTTCGAGCTCTAATTGATTACTCAACTTCATCTTTTTTTATTGCTTTAAGTTTTTAACTATGCAAATTACCGAAAACACTTTAATCAAACTAATCTGTCTACTGGGATTGATTCTAACAATTTTATACAATACTAAAACCTAGGGTACAACCAAAATAGAAAAAAAAAAAAATTAAAGACTTCGATCAAGCAATGATCATGTCTAACAGCATGAACTTCATGACAAAAAAGGAGCAACAATATATATCATCCAGGGTTTGAAGTAATTAAAGATTCAAAAGAGCAAAGCTTGATTGAGAACCAAATTCCAAGGCAAAAGCATAAGTATAACAAATCGAAGAGAACCAGTAAAAGTTAGAAGCTAACCTTCCTCAATGAAGACAGAGAGTCCAAAATCAATGGCCTTTATTGGAGAATTCTCATCCTTGCTAACCAGCAAGAAATTCTCAGGCTTCAAGTCCCTATGCATAACCCCCATAAAATGACAGGCTTGCACCACATTCACAATCTGCCTACAAATTGAAGCCGCTTGACGCTCTGAATAACTCCCTTTAGCTATGATCCGATCAAAAAGCTCGCCTCCTGAACACAACTCCATTACCAGATGCACTTTCTGCTTATCTTCATAAGCACCTTTGAACTCAACAATATTTGGTTGCCCTGTTAGATGTTGTAGTATCAAAATCTCTCTTCTAACATCCTCTACGCCCTTGTCAGTGGCTAGTTTACGCCTGGAAATAGACTTGCATGCGTATTTTCGCCTCGTTGCCTTTTCAGTGCAAAGATAAGTGATGCCAAACCGACCCCTCCCCAACTCTTTGTCAAGATTATAAATGGTGGAGATATCAACATAAGGTTTGAGCAAAATGGTTCCAATCTGGGATGATGAAGGGGCTTTAGAAAAAGAAGGGTTTTGGTTTTCCAAGGATGGTTTTTGTGAAGGTGGGCTAAACTGTTCTTGGGTTGTTTTGGGCAATGGTTGATATGGGCGAGGAGAAGAACCGGATGAGAAAGAGATTGGGTTTTTATGAGAACGGGATTTTCCCAAGCAGCATCCAGAGATTGACAGAGTCCCATAGATGGCTGTTAAACAAAACAAAAAGTTTTTTCACCTGGTGTTTTCGTGTGTCAGGTGGTTTAGACTTTATAGAGGTTTGGTTTTGTTTGATTGGATGTTATGAATTTCTTACGGAAGCATCCAGGGTAATTTTTTTTAAGAGTAGGTTTGGTTACACTACATAATTTGGTGCTTTGCTTTTGCCTCTTGAATGGTCTTGAGTATCATTCCTCACCTTCTCGTTTGCTCTAACCATGCTGTGCTTTGCTTGAGAGAGAGAGAGAGAGGTAATAAATAAAAAGCGTGAGAGGGAATTTCGTGCTTCGGAGCTTTCTGGTTATTACAGCTGACGCGTTTCGTGTGACCGTTTTGTGCGATTTTATTGGCCATTCAATTTGTATGAAATCCCATCCTAGCCCAAAGACAATTGCCAATTCCCAATCCTATTGTCGCCCCTGTTAACTAACAGGCCCATCATGGAAAATCTTGAAGAGCAAGTTGGATATTTTAGTTTTTGGGTTTAGAGTAAGACCACTTCTAGGGTAAATCTAGTCCAAGCCAATTCCATACCTAACTAACTTTTGTCTAGTATCCAAATTCAAATATTGTATAAAAACCAAAAATGACTTAGTCTTCGCCGAGTATGATAGGTACTAAACTAGTTATAAAGATCGTCGGACTATTATTTATGATAGGTACCAAACTAGTTATTACCATAGTTGATTATCTATGAATTGTTCATTTTCTTCACAATAGCAATTAATATTCCGATATATAATTAGGGGTACGACGTGATTGATTGACCATAATATGGCACTCAATGAGAAAGTAAACAACAATAATAAATAATAATTAAAACTATAGTTTAACCATTAAATGTATTATTTATTTTTTTTGTTAGTTTAATTTGAGCTGGGATAGTATAGTCGACGACTTTGACCAAGAACTAGACTGTATTCAGAATATATTTATGCAGAAATAACACGTTTTCTACCGCCTGCCGTCCTTTGCTCACAACAAAATCAGAGATTCAGTTTCGGACGCTTTAAATAGGAATCTTCCCATGATTCACTGCTTATTTTCCTTCGCAATAAGTTGGTCTTCCTTGGCCTGTTTTTGTGATTCAGCTGCCATTCTCATTGCCATGCCCATAATTCCTTCTTAATTGCCTTACAAGTCTTCCATTTTTTATTTTACTTCTGGTGTATTGTTCTTTTCGAAAGCACGTAATCGAGCAAGAACTAAACTTCAAAATATGTATTCTTCATTTCTTCTCCCATTGGACCTTAGCATCTGCCCTTCTCCTTCCTATATCATGTCATGTTTTCCGGTTGAAGAGGCAAGAGAATTGTGCTGCTCAGCAGTTTCAGCAGTTATTACTAAACTGTTTTATGCAATCTTTATCTTTATATTTGCAGTGGGTTAGTTCCTTCAGTTTATTTTCCTTTAGTTATTTGTTTTATATTTTTGGACTTGCTCCTTCCCTTTTGAACAAGACAAAATTAGACAGAAAATCTTTCCCGTTTTTATCCTACTAGAACATCCACAGGAATTTGGCATCTATGCTTGAAAACTAGGGTGTCAGTTTCCCTTCAATTCCAAAACTAATAAGAAACTGGCATTTATCTACAGTTGGAGCAACTTTAGGAGCCGTGACTGGAGCTTTTGTTGGGGCAAAAACAAAGATCGGTTGTCTTCATGGAGCCGCGGTTGGAGCCATAAAGGGCAGTTTTTTAACCGTCAAGCTCTTTAAAATTTCAGTCATAGTTTGGAGTTCCGATAACATGTCGACGAGTTATCTCCTCCAACTGGTAAGATACATATGTCTTTATCATGTTTTTAGAATGCGCCGATCACTTGAATTACTACTTTTTTCTTTCCTCGGCTGCTCTCCCCATGCACTACGATTATTTGAACCACTGAAATCCATGTCTCTAAATTCTTCGTGCAAAAATTTTTAGTATTTTCCTTGCTCTTGTGAACCTTGTTTAAATTGGGATTTTGGTCGCCATCAATGAACCGTCTAGCCTGAATCCAAAAACATTGGGTGGGCACAGCAGAGTTAGATGATATGAAAATGGCATCACTGTTTATAAAATTAAAGAGTAGTAGGGAAAAGAGAAAAGGGTTTTTATGTTAATGTTTGAATTTGAATGGTTTTGATTAGATAAACCCATTCGACTCTAGATTCAACAAAGTTCCCGAGAATGAACGGTTGTCAAAGAGTTCGACAGAAAAAATTCCAAAGATCAGAATCACAGAAGAAAACATATGGGATTCATCCAGGAACAGAATCTGTTGTTCGATTTGCCTTCAGGTTTTTCACTCTTTTGACTTTCTGTTCTGTTGTTACTTCTATGTGATTAGCCAGCCTTCCTGTCATTTTGGAGTGTTTTGAGACGAAGCTTCATTTAATTGAAATAAGCTTTCCTTGATCATTCTTTCTTGTATATGGTTTCAATTTTGCAGGACTTTTTACCGGGAGAAATAGTTCATAGCTTGCCACAATGTCACCATATGTTTCATATGTCGTGTATTGGGAAGTGGCAAATAGGGCATAAATCTTGCCCTTTATGCAGGAGAAATTTTTAACGCTCAAAGTAGAACTCAGAAAATTGAGTTCTGCCTCTGCCTCTACTGTTTAGAAAGTCTGTACGCATTCGTCAACAAAGTTCCCATTCATGTACTACAAGATCAACTACGAAGTTCTAACCAAACAAGACACGTAACCACACCAGAATTAGACTAGGAATTCAGAATTTTTGTGCATACGCAGTAGCTTCTACGTAATTATAATTTTTTTGTATGCATTATGCCTATCAATTATTACGGTTAAATTATACCATGCAAATTCTGGTCAACCCCTTTTTTTTTTCACGTGGACTCTTTAGTTTTTCATACCGTGTAAGTTTCGGTTACCATCGTCGATTTCATTCGCAACCAATTTCAACGAATCTTCCACGTAAATCAAATGAGACTCTGCCAAAGTTTGGGAGCAGTAAGATTTCAAAAGAAATTGGAAAGTGGCAATCAGCAGCAGATAAAAACTCATGAGGAAAACGTTGTGCTACTAGACTTTAGAGGTAGACATAGGCTATAATTCCAACGACTTACTCAACCTCTCGTTTTTTCCCGGCAATTCAACTCTTAACAGCTTGCTTTGGATAACAAAACAATACCCTGAAAATAATGTTTTTGGAAAAGCTTCTGGGTTCTCAAAACAAAGAATACTTTATGACAAAAATAATCACTAGGCATGACCTTGATTGAAAGTTGAGTGAAACATATGTAGTGCACTGCATTGGTAGAGAAGCCATTCACCAAGACTGATTTCCGTTGAGGCCATGCACCAGAGGCAAGTGTTTTAGGTGAAACAACCTGTTGGCGACTTAATTCAAATGAAAATTGATATCATGTAAATAAGCAAAGGGCAGACTTGCTTTATCAGCTCAGCTTGTTGCATCACGATTCACGACTGTAGTAGTGGTCGAGTGTCTTCGCAGGTATACTGTGGAGAAGTTCCCGTGGGAAGATACGAAGCAAAGTCCATGCTAAATCAAGTGACTGGAAGATGTTCCGAGTATCATAAGCACCTTGAGTCACGAATTTTCTCTCAAATTTATCTAGGAACTCCAGATAAAGCTGTAGCTTGATAATAAGAAGAAAATCAAAAAGCAATTCTTAATATGAAGCTCTATATTTGACAGGCCAAGCTGCACATGCATGGTGTCAAACCCCCACCCAAAAACACACGCACACAAAATTGAGAGAGAGAGAGAGAAAGAGACCAAATCCTCAGAAGAAAGTGCTTCCTCTCCAACCACAGCTTTCATTGCTTGAACATCTTTTCCAATAGCATAATTTGCATACAGCTGAAATCAAAATTGACAGGGTTTCAGTATGAAGAATAATTCTAATACTCGAGTGAGAGGGACCCTTGCTTCATTTTAGAACTTCTCAATCAGACCTGGTTGGACCAGCATGGTCTCTACGAGTCATCCCCTCACCAATAGCACTCTGAAACATAAATAACAAAAGGAAAAGCTCAGCATAACCTCCTAATTTATGCGTCTAATTGTTAACAAGCAGGTAATTTTCTCATACAAGATGAAATGATAATGTTTAAGAGTCATACCTTCATTAATCGAGAAAGTGAAGGGAGTAAATTAATTGGTGGGTATATCTGTTCAGAAAATAAATAAAGATAAGATCAATAATTATATATACCATTCAAAGTTAGGCTCTGACAGTCCTTATGGAATTACATCTATTTGGCAACTTAGAACTCAATTAAGATATTAGAGTACATATCAATTGAACAGTATTGACAGTATTTAAATCACTATTTTATGTTTCAACAAATAGATGCAACGACAACAAAATTCCAAGAACATTTGCATTGTGCATATGCTACAGTAGATTCTAAAACCATGTTCCACAATTAGAACAATAATGGATATTGTTTTAGTTACCTGTCGATTGTGAAGTTGTCTATCAATGTATATCTGCCCTTCAGTAATATAACCAGTAAGATCTGGTGTAGGATGCGTGATATCTGATTCACAGAAAGTAATCAACAAAATAAAATACCAGACAACCAATGTTAAAACTTAAAAGAATGCTATTGCGTGTTGGAGTTGCCTCTTACCATCATTAGGCATGGTCAAAATAGGAATTTGGGTGATGGAACCTTTTCTTCCTTCTATACGCCCTGCACGTTCATAAATTGTTGCCAGATCAGTATACATATAACCTGGATACCCACGCCTTCCAGGGACTTCTTCACGGGCAGCAGATACCTATAGGCAATATAAAACATGATGAATGATAACAGTCCAGCATTAGCAAACATGATAATCTGACAGAGCATAAATTTATGGGCTTATCAGACTTAAGTCATCCTAAGTCACTGTCAAATGGATTACATTCACTTTCTAAAGTCATTTCTAGTTTCCAAAACTACCTATGAAATGTCTTAATAAAACAACAGTTTGCTTTTGGCCTTCTGAGTTAAAAATAATGAGATCTTCAAAGAGCATCGACAGGATGCTATTTGTCAGTATAGGGACAATTTGACAAAGAAATTATGTGCCATATATTCTCCCAGCTGAGCAGCTATAAAGCATATGTACCTCACAAAGAGCATCTGCGTAAGAACTCATATCCGTCAATATAACCAGAACATGTTTCCCACATTATAAGCCAAATACTCTGCTGTTGTGAGGGCAATTCTTGGTGTGATAATTCGTTCAATTGTGGGGTCATTGGCCTGTAAACACATCAAACAGAGCAGTTCAAGATGGAAAACAAAAAGAGAGGAATGGGACTAATTTCTTGAGAAGAATATTCATTAGACAAAGTCATTTCCAATGGGAAAACACTCACAATGACATGAACAGCTATAACTTGAATTACTTTGAAGGAAAAAATTGCTGAAAGAAAGATTAACTAATGAAAATTACCAGGTTCAAGAAAAGGGTCACTCTCTCCATAGATCCATTTTCCTCGAAATCTCTCTTAAAAAATTGTGCTGTCTCCATGTTCACTCCCATTGCAGCAAAGACAATGGCAAAATTGTCTTCTTCCTGATCCTAAAACTCAATCAATAGAACAAGGCAATCACAATTTTGAAATTTTGAGGGAAAATGGGCACAGGGGCATGTATTGGTTCATTTCAGTTCCAAAAACAAAAATATTGAAAACCACAAAATAAACAATAAATATCAAGCACACATTCAAGTCAATCTTCATTAATTTCACAGTAAGCTACAGTATAGACATACATCAAGGAGATTATCAGACTTTTCCAACCGCTTTACAAGACCAGCCTGATGACAAATTTGAGCAGCAATTTCATTATGAGGAAGACCAGCAGCAGAAAAAGGAGGAATCTTCTGTCCACGAGCAATGGAGTTCATGACATCAATCGTTGATATCCCTGTCTGAATCATCTCTTCGGGGTAAGTTCACTCACTAGGATTGATAGAGCTGCCTGAGAAAGACAACGAACAGAAATTTATAAACTGATTCAACCTTCAATTACTAGAATGCCACAGTTTCCTGCATATGCTCACCAGAAATATCTAGGTAAGCCTCAGGCAGAATAGGAGGGCCATTATCAATGGGTTTTCCAGAGCCATTAAATATGCGCCCTAGCATATCCAATGACATGGGCGTTTTCAAAACCTGTAAAAAAGACATTAGACGGGGCGGGCTAAACAATCAACATCCATACGAACACTAACCAACATTACTAAAAAAAGTTTAAAATCACAATCGAAGAGGATTGAAGAGGCAAATAATGGGTGTTCCAAGAATTTCCCCACTTTATAAAGGTTAACCTCATTTATTTTTAACGGCACAATTGTTATGAGACATCTCCAAACACATATATCACCCAAAAAAAGAAAAAGGTCGTGCATCCAGAACACAAGGTGAAAAGTAAAATTTCAAAAATAAAACACTAATGTTTAAAAGATTCTATAAAGGTAGCCATTCTATCAACCAGCCTAGTGCTGCAAGCCATAATAAAATAAAACCCATTGCACCAAAGAAAAGCAGACTTATTACCTCTCCTGTAAATTGCACAGTTGTGTATTTGTTGTCAATTCCAGATGTTCCTTCAAAAACCTGGAAAAGGATAAAGGGAAAAAAATAAAGCAGCCATCATCTCAATAGACTTAAAGCCATTCCAAACCAATTGTCACCTAATGCTCTCAGGAATTCATCTCTCACACTAATGATATTATTGGCTTTAACATACACAGGTTTTGTGTCAGGAATGCTTTTCTCCAACACATCTTTTGATCCATCAATACGGACTTCACATAACTATGAAATTTTGGGATCTCTCATTCTAAAAAATTTTCATGGTTGCATGCTTGAATAATTACCTGCACAACTGCTTTCTCTCCATCAACTTCCAAGACTTGACCACGTCGAGTTGTTCCATCTCCTAATCGAATATTGACAATCTCCTGATATTTTGGACCCTGAAAATTTTCAATATTATTTGCGTTACATCTCAAACAACTGGCTATTAACTCTGAAGATAAAAATCAAGGAATAGACGAGCAAACCTACCTTAACTTTGTCAAATGACCAATGGTCCCGCAACACCAGACACAGTTCTATACACTGCAAACCAAAAATCTCCTCATTTAATGTTTCAGATAATCTTCACACTAACTGAAGGAACTGCAAATTTCAATCTAGCATCTAATTACGCTAAAATCATAACGATGCGAAAACACGAATACTAGTTTAATTAAGAAATTAATGAATTAAATATCCCTATTAACTTCACCATTGTGTTAATCCCCCTAACCATTAAAAACACATTTCCTGAATTTAAACAAATTACATAACCAATGAACCAAAAGATGAGAAGGAAAACCACTCCATCATCATGCAATTCATTTGAAAATAGATTAAAAAAAAAAAAAGAGTCAAGATTAAGCTATGATCAGAATTCAGAGTCAAAGGTTTTGCATGATACAAAAATGACCAAGTTACCCATTCCGATCTCCAGAGTTCCCTCCTCCATGTCAACGAAGTTCTTTTCTGCTCCCATCTTCAAGTTCAAAGCTGATTATATAGCATTCAAAAAACAGAAGCTATATCATTATTTGCTACACCGAACTAAATAGTTAAGGAAATCAAAAAGGAACAAGAAAGATTCAAAACGTTATTTCGGATCCAAATAAGTAACGGTCTTTTTCTGGCCAATGATTGAATCTAAATTTGCAAAGGTTTGAAACTCTATTCTTACAGCGATTAGATACTAGGAAGAGCAACAGAGAAATCGATTCAAAATGAAAAGATAGAGCTAATTTGATTTGGACAGGTCGATTGAGCAAAGGAGAAAAATCAAAAATAGAAAATTTAAGCAGTAAATGACAAATAATTTATGAGGTTACGGACTGAACTCGTGGAATTTGATAAGAGAGAGTAGAAAATTTTATTGAAAAAAAAAAATTGCAGTAAAAAAACCAGACTTCAATTTTCTTTGCTCCGGTTCTTTTCTCTCAAGTTTTAGCGCTTTGATAGTTACTGCTGTCACGGACAATTACGAACAGGCATGTGAACAGTTAATAAAATCAGATTAAATAAAAAGATTTTTTTTTTCCTTTTTATATGTTGTTTTATTGGTTAGTTAATAAAAAATTAAAACAATTTAAAACATTAAATAAAGAGAAATTATCACAGCTGAGTTGCCACGTTAGCACCGTAACACGCATGGGTCACGTGGTTTTTTGGTGAACAGCCTTTACTCAAATTGACACCCAGAGCTATCCCCTCCAATCAAAGCCCTTTTTTTCACCTTAATTTGCTGCAACCGTACGTGCATCAGTTAAACTGACTGAGGGAGGAAGAGGAAAAACACCAACATCACCTTCCAACCACTACAATGCCAGCTTCAAATACACATGTTCTTGTTACTGTCAAACGTGATGTTCATGGCTTAACGACAATAAATGTTCCGAGTAGAAACCCAGATGACAGTTATTAGCTAATAGATTAACAAACGGAGGTCTGATAGTTCCTGATTAACACATTAATCGGAGCTCGATTAGCAACATTAGCATAAGGGACAGCTCACAAGCAGCTGTCAATCACCTGCCTTCAATTGAGCCTGCAGGGGCCACAGCTCTCACGCACTTGGGGTGCACCTCGTACCCACATTCCAGACATTGGTAAGCCCAACCAGATCCTTGCTCATCACAATCGCAGCATATATAGGGCCCTCCTCCAGTTCCTTCTGACACCAAAGTAAGTTCATGGCGATGAGCAGCATGATACACAGATCTTGGTAAGTTCTTAGCTGCCTCCTCCATTTCTTTCTCTAGCAACTCCACTTTGGCATCAGTGAAGGGGTATGCATTTTCCTGGTACAGATTCATAAGGTTTCTACCTTGCTTGGTTACAGTTTTGCCATCAGGTCCTATAATTATCAAACAAGGAATGCCTTGCACATCAAAGTACTTTGCAAGGGTTCTAACAGTTGGGTCTCCAAAAGGCAACGCTAGCCATGGCATGGTACCAAAGTATGAGTCAAATGAGCTTTGATCGCGATCATTCGACACAAAAACAATTTCGAAATCCTCACCACCTTTTTCTTCCAAAGTTTGCTTGATTTTCTGGTAGATGGATATCAGTTTGGGAGTGAACTTAGCACATGGAAAGCACCATTGCGCTGAGAAGTACAGTCCAACTGTCTTACCTATCAAGGAATCAACTGGCACCTGCAAAGAAAATATATACAATTGAATCATGCCTGAACAGAGGTACGTTAGTCCCAAAGCAACTTAGCCACACAATTGAGGGCTCAGTAACTCCAAGATCATGTTGGTGAATCCATTCTCGCCCTTGCCTCAGATGACAATGGGAATCGGACCAAACGGTTATAAAAGTGTTGGATAAGGATACCTTGTAAAAGTAAGGATAAAGGTCAACATGATCAACAAGCAGGGCTACTCATTCGGTTAGCATACCTGAAACAATACCCTGTTAAATTTTGAATGCCAAATACTTGCTTGCATCAACCCAGCAATGCTAAGTGAATTGTTTCATTAACCATATATACCATTGGTATTAATGTTATTAAGACAAAAAGAAGTATATATCATTCTTTTTGTTACCCAATGTAGAATTTAACAAATAAGCCCTTAAGGACACTTATTGAAGCTATGCATTCAAGTATGTTCATGGGTATGTCTATTTTGTGCTCCACATTAGATGAGAATCGCTGTAGTCAATGTCTAGAAAGTGATACGAGGTTCTATTTCTTAAAGCTCTGTTAGTTATGAACACAAGAATAGTTTCCTTAAGATGAACCAAAAAATAAAAGAGAATAGACTCATTAAGATAATGAATACTATGAACTTCTAAAAGAACAATCATTTTATGATATACTGTATTTAAAAAAAAAAAGAAAAAGAAGGATTGTGGTTCCTATTCTCATACAATGTGGGAAAAAAAGGTGCATGATTGCGAACAGCAGACAAAAGTTGTAGGACTAAACATGACTACACAGTGAATTTTCTTTAGTGCAAGGAAACATAGAGTGTACTGCAAGCACACGACTGCAAATGTTAGCGATCGACATTCCATGCAAATATATAAAAGAAAAACTGTTACATAAATACTCTCTCATCAAGAATATAAAAACCTCATAAAAATTTTCCGATCATTAATCAATATCAGCAAGATCTTAAAAACGAAGCCACGTTTAACATCATATACCCATCTATTACACTAAGGACTAAGAAGATGTAACCATGCACTGACCTTTCCAGTTATGGTTTGACCCAAAATATAGTCTCTTCCAGGGTTTGTTAATAAATCGGTCACAGTCTGACTTTCATGCTTCATCTTCTCTTCCCTTTGCAATTCCTCCAACCTTTCTTTGGTAAATGGGAAGGCTTCAATCCCATAGCGGTAAATGAGTTCTACACCCTCATACAAAGTTGCACCATCTTTGTTATCTTCAGGCTGCAAAATAACTAAGCAAGGAATGCCTTCAACTTCAAATTTTCGGTTCAAGGCCTTCTTTGTCTCCAAGTCAGAAAATGGAATTGAAAGCCATGGCAAACTTTCACGGTAACTGTTGAAAGCATCCAAGTCTTCATCAGATGACACGAATACTATCTCAAAATTAGACCCATTGCTCTTCAGCTGCTCATAGACATCAATCAATACTTTATTGAAATTTCTACATGGTGTATACCAGTTAGCTGAGAAGTAAAGGCCAATCACCTTGCCCTCTAGATCCGAAATTCTCACCTGCTATATATAAAGAAAGCATGTAACGATGAAAGATTAATTTGGAGCCTTTCATTACTAATAGAAACTCAAGTTTGTTTCTCCACAAACCAAAATTAATTTGTCAAATAACCTTTTTCGTCTTGAGCCTCCAAAAATGTCAGCCCTACATTTCATGTAAGGAAATGTATTTGAAACTATCGAGAACACACTAACAAGGAAAGTAGAATAAGTAAGAATCCATTCCACAAAAAATCAAGCCTAGGAACTCCAAAAATTTGACAGCGATGTGCCACCAGCTTTGCAGAATTGTGAGGACAATATGCCACGTGCTACGGCTAATAGCGTTAATGTGGGGCTAAAGCGATGAACAGCAATGCCACATGTCTTCCCAGCTTAGTTGTTCACTGCACAACTGAGGTGTGGGAACCCATATTGATGAGGACAGGCATATTTGGCATGTTTTACTCGTGACAACAAGGAGTTTCATAGCCCACCCCCACCTAGTCCAGCAGGAGAAGGGGGCGGAAAGATGGGGTTTCAAGTTATCCAGCATACTTCCCTATTCCCTTCCCCACAAGAGCATCGTACCCACGACAATAACACCAAAAAGACCATTTCTTCACCACCAATTTTGCTCGGGTGTTAGATTGCCGACAAGAAGATATTAGAGATTGCCAATCCCTGCTGATTTAATGTGATTCCATACCAAAGTAGCATATAACTTAAAAGATTCCCATTATTGTCATTATTACGAAAGATCCGGAATTGTTTCCCTTGAAAACTTAATCAACATCATATCAACTATATATTGGTTTAACAATTTGAACAGACCGGCATTGCATTAGCACATGGGAGATGGGTTTAAGAACTTTCGCGAACCAAACTTCCTGGCAAAAATATGTTGGTTCTCTTCTTAATTCCAATAAATCATTGTTGTTAATTAGTAAACCTAGTACATGAAATATGCTATTTTCCAAAATACAAACTCAATTACTCTATTGTTAGACATTGAAATTAACCAAAGAATTTGGTGACGATCCATGGTACCCAAACTAACTCACCTTATCTTACATTAATTCAAGAGGGAAAGCTACATGTCAACATTAATGAAACAAACTATAGAGTATTAGCCGGTGAGTTCTTGCCATTTCAAAACCCTAATGAACACTCTTTCTTTCTCTCTCTTTTAAACAAAAATTCTTTAATATGACTAATTAAAGTTTATAAGACTGCCTCTTATTGTAGTAATTCTATGCTTTCGTCCCCAAGCAGACCAACCAACTTAACAGCTACCAGCCATCTGTCTGGTAATAGTTATTTACTACCAGCTTCCATCAGTCACCACCAAACAAATCTCTTCAAAGATAGATAATAGTTATTTATTATAATTTATAGTATTTTAAAATAAAACAAAATAAGTTATAATTAATTGAATTAAATTAAAATTTTAGAGTAATATTATAATAATAGTTCCAAAAGGTTCGCATGGAAGGTGTATGCAGTTTCAGTATGAAGTCTTGGGCACCTATGTAGAGAAGACGAGGGAAAACGGAAAGATAGAAAAGTGAGTGCCTGAAGCAAGCCAGGAGACATGGGTGAGTTAGGCCAAAAGTGAATGCATGCTTTCATCTCTGACCCACAACTAAGTTTACACTAAACTATTAGATACTGAAGGGACAAAGAACAAATGCTTGAGCAAAGAAGAAAACAACCCATGAATAAACCAGGTAAGTACTGCTAGCAGAAACCCAAGGGAAGCTGGATATTTTCCTTCCATAAAAAGAAAAAGAGAGGGAGAGAGAGAGAGAGAAAGAGAAAGAGAAAGGAAACCTGATCAGCTTCAGTCGAGGAGAGAAGATAATCACGATCTTTAGAAGCCAAAAGAGAAGAAAATCTAGATGTTGAAATCTTCTCAGAGTCACCGTTTGTCAGAGATTGAACCAGATTGTTGGAGTTGTCGTCCAAATTCATCTCCCTCATCGCTGATCTCTCTTTCTCTCTCTTTCTTTTCGTTTTGTGTCCAGGTTTTAGTCAATGACCAGGCCACACCGTACTTCCACTGCTTATATTCCATATTCTTTACACATCATGGCATCCTTTCGAAACCCTCATCATGCATCAACTCATCACACGTAGCATTCACTCCAAAATTGTTTCTCATGTACATGAACTACAATGCTGCTGCGCCTGCAGGGCCGACGATCTACACATATATACGATCCATATTTAATTGTCAGGTCCGCAACCTGCCACGCGTATGATTAATGGTTTGCCACAATGGAGGTTAACCCCATCGTTGCCATGCTATGGGTAAGGTCCCGTGTTGTCATAAAAGACTGACTTGATGCTGTCAAATCCTAGCAAAGATAGGTGACACCTGTCTCTCTGCCTGTGAGTCTCTATTTACTTCTTTTGTTCAAAAGGTTGTATTCAAAAATATATATTTATTGTTATAAATTTGCGAAATCTTTATTTTTATTTAAGTATAATAATTTTTATATTAATTTTTATAAAATCATGTGTAACAATTTAGCTTGTGAATTCCCATTTACTGGGGCCCACTAAGGCGACACTTGGCAACGTGCGACGGGAATACCTTAAGAAAAAGTACTATCGTTAATTGCTGCCTGGTTTGCATTTGGGGACAGGTTGTTGTATACCATTGGTTAATGTTTTTATATAGGAAGTCTTTCCCTTTGCTGCATTTACACTCATTGCAGTAACACGTGGGGAGGTCAGTTGCTTCCATCGTATCAGTACAAGTCAGTGCATCGTCATTTATTTTAGTGATAAAATTAATTTTAACGAAATTAAAAATTATTATTATTATTATAATTGTGGTTAAAAAATTTTATATTTAATAAATATGTTTGAAACAATATTTGAATTTAATTGATTATATAATGAATTTTATTATATTTATTAAAAAAAATGATAAATTTTAAACGCTCACTTAATATTAGAATTATATTTCTACCTAAATTATACTATTTCATTGTATATAATTTTTTTATTTAAAAAAAATAATTCAAAATATTTGTAATTGTCACTTAATCAAAAATCCAAACGTCATTATGTATAATATTTATTATTTACCGATGAAACAGTTAGCATTTAAATTTCAAGATATCTATTTTATATTTTAAATTTTACTTCTTAATTTGTGCCAATTAAGGGATCAAACTTGGTTAATTTAGGCATTTGAAGAAGAATATAAGCTTTTCCGTCATGGTAAATTTTGAAGAAGAGTAGGGAAGCAAAGGTGTAACGGTCCCATTTCTTTTTGGATAATGATACGAGCGGATTGGGAAGTTTAGGACAGATAGAGAAAGAAAGGCATAGAAGAGCCAGGTCGTAAAAATGTTGCCAAGGTGACAGCTCTCTCCCACATGCCTTATCTTTGTAACCCATGAAATTGGTAAAGATGGTGATAGACACCATAGAAATCAATAGCAATCTAACTTTTACCTTGAAAATCTCATACTATTATTCAGAGTAATGAAATGAAAATAGTATTAATGAGAAAACGAACCCACATTTAATAATCAAGAATTTGATTATAACTTTATAAACAACGGTCATCTTTTCCTTATCAATACTTATTTTTTAAATAACAAAATTGTGAGAGCAAATCTTCAAGTCTCTAAATCGGATAATATTTTGTAACAGGCGCAAAGTGGCAATCTTGCATCAACAAATGGAATATTTTGATCAGGTTTGTGCATAATTTTTTGCATATTAAGAGACAATTATGGGAATACTTTTACTAATTAACTGCTCATTTTCATGGGTTTGAATTTTATCTACATGTTTTCTTTATTACATCATTTGGTTTGAGACTTTGAATGAAGTTGCATACTATTCATAATGATTTAATAGCTATAATTTGCATTATGTTAAAATGTTAATTTTTGTGTTATGTTGAGAGGGAATTTGTATTTCATTTATAACGTTATTATTGTGGTACAAAGATAAAACACAATTATAATTAATTATATGTTTGATAAAAAATTAATCAATTAATTCAAAGACAAATCAATAATTAAATCAATATGTAAAGGAATAAATGAAATTGGATTTTGGCACACTCATTGTATGAGTGAAAATTATATTTTAAATAAACAAAGCAAGTTACTTTGTAAAAGAGAAATTAATTACTTAATTAGTTGAGTAAATAATTTTTGAAAAAAACGTGTGAAATAAAAAAAAAATTTATATATTTTTATTATCATTTTATTTTGATGTTTGAATAATTTCATCAACTAAATTGATGTCACAAGTACGTGACCAATATTATAAAATTTTTTAAGAAATAATAAAATATAAAATTAGATAGAATTTATACATAAAATAACATAATATAGATAATATCTTTTGTGGCTCTCCTTTGACCAAAATACTCGAGTTTTCTAAATAAAGAGAAAGATCCATTGAGAAATCAAGGTGGGGTCAAATTAATCGTCAAGAAAATATCAGGGGACGTAGAAAGAGACCACGTGTAAGGAGATAGACAAGTGTCACATGATGCCGTAGGGGAGGTTGTTGGGTTACGTCAATGATTTCAATTATTCGAATCTCAGAGATTGTGTCCCACCACAAAGGCACCCGACGCCCACGTGTCAAACACGCAGCTGTAAAGAAAGTGAGAAAAAGCAAAAGGCAGCGGCCAGCGGCCTTTTGATGGAAGTTCGTGTGCTGCGAGCCAGCGCGACTGGGCTTCGTGTCGAGTTTGTTTTGGAACACGTGGCGCGACGTATAAAGTTTGGTAGCACGCCGGTGGTACTCCTTCGAGATAAGTGACTTGGGAAAAGGAAGGCGAAAGTCAGCTCTGCTTTTTTGTTTTCTATGACCATGTAGCAAAACCAAAGCAGATAAACAATGTTAACAAGTAAATTGAAAATTAACATTGAATAATTTATTTAAGCGATGAAGAGATTCGACTACATATTTGTTGAGAAGATAAAAAATTATTTTTTATAAAATTATTTAAAAAATACAGGATAAAGCTCAAAATTCCTTATTAAATAAAAAAATAAATTGAAAATTGAAATTAGCATAGAAAGAAATTTGTTCAATTTTGTTAACTTTGCAAATTCAGCAATTAAGACCCAGAATCTCGAGTTTGGATTAACGGGATCTAAATTTGATAAAAGAAATGTAAATGCTTTCATAAAATGATACTTCCTCTATTTTATTTTTTGAATGTGTCAAGATTATGTTTTTTTTTTTTTTTTAAATATCTAAAATTTTTATTTCGTTATATTTTAAAATTATTTTTAATGCTTTTTTACATTAAAAATCATGAAACTTTAATTTTATAAAAAAATTTAAAATTTATTAAATACATTAAAATCAAAGATTTTTTTTTTTTTAACTTCAAAAAAATCAATACATGATAAATATTTTGAAACAAAAATAGTAATTTAATTAATATATGTTCAATAGGTGTTTATAAATACTATTTAAAGATAATCAAAAAATTATTTTAAAAAAATTATATATTTAATGCACTACTTTTACTAAATTCAATAAAAAGATAATGCATTAATTGTATTTTTTTTTCTTTAAATATCATTTTAACCGGTACCTGCACATTAATATTTTCCATTTAATTATTCTTAATAAGTGACCTGACGTATTTCTAAAGACTTTAATAATATATACAACAATTTCCAATTCATATTTAATAATAGTATTATATTGATTAAAGTTGTTTTTACTTTTTATTTGCTCTTATTATTATTATTATTGATAAGGACTTATAAACCATAATTTACTCATGACTGGTTGAATATTGTAATTTAGGTTAAATAAACTAGAACAATAACTTAATAAAAAGGGATTAACATTTATATATTCTAAACATAAAAAAGAATTATAATTATTTTGTCAAAAATAACAATATCTATGGTTTGGATTTGTTGAAAGTTAAGTGCTTTGCCTTCCCTTAGATGATGCAAGAAAGAATTGGGTTCAGAATGGGGCCTTGAACTGATCCTCACAGGTGAACTTGATTCTGAATCTTGAAATTTGGGTTGGGATTGGGCTCCTTCAGGCCCAAGAACACATTTTATTCCCGATGTGAAAATGGGATAATTTATTTGGTCACCATAATCACTTAAACAGTGTCTTATATTTGATAGTTTGTTGACATTCCTCAAAAAAAAAAAAAAATCTTTTGTAACGTTAAACAACAATCACGTTTTCAATCCATTTGTCTTGACGGTTCAAACAACTTAATGTCTACATGTCATGCTATGCACGTGCCCTCTATATTTGAAACAATCGTGCTTTGAACAAAACTCGTTCAGATATTGAGACATCCATGCATCCTAGGTTGATTAATTATGACTTTTGTGTGCTGCTTGAACTATGTTTGATCCAGTTTTTTTTGTACTTGATGTTATCAATTATTGAATCTGAAATTAAAATTTTAATATTTCATTAATAAATCATTTGATTATTGACAAATTTGAATCGTTTTTAAAACGGGTCAACTTCCCTATGGTTTCGATTCTTGACTTATCAAAAACTTGCCCAATAAAATCATTTTTTCAAATACAATGTTTTCCACTGCACCAAGCTTCGAATGTTAGTTTTCCAGGCCAGTTAGAAAGGAGAAATGCAAAATTGGTTTTCTTTTTGAGGATATGTACGATTGCATAAACAAGTAACACAGCTGGCTACTTTTTTCTTTTCCTATAAATGTGAGGTTAAGATTATATGAGAGATTGTTATCAGTGTGGCATGTGGACCATCCCTTACATCACATACTTTGATTTGATTTCGGCCTAAAATATCATATTCTCTGTATGAGGATTTTTTTTCCTACTTGGTCTCGTGATATTTTTGAAACAAATAAGCTCTTTGCTTGGAGAATTAAATTTTTTGTTTTGTTTTTATTAATTAATTCATTACATTTTAATTTAAAGAATGTTAAATATATTTTGTGCCCAAAAATTATTCAAGAGATTTTTTTTTTTTACTTGAGATTATATGTAATTGAATTTTGTTCATTGAATCTAAAAATTTAATATGAATAATGCATCAATAGCTACTGCTAATAAGAAAACAAATAAAACCCAAGTCAAAACAAATTTGTTTTTTTAAATTGATTCAGAAAAGCATTTTTTAAATAAAAAAAAAAATTCCAAAGGCATATGATTGAATATTAAAATTATTGTACTAGTATTTTCAATAAAAGTCTTGGTGGAGATCTATAAATACTTTGAGTCAATCATTCATTTTAATTCATATAAATGACGTGGATGATATGTTACCAGCTCACTCATTGTTTTCCTCTTTGGTGGCCAAACTTCTAAAATTAATGCCTTTGGCTCAAAAAGTGACAAACAAGTATACTAAACATCAAAGACAATAAATTCCAATGCCAAATCCATTCAAAATGATTTAGAACTTTGAAGAATATGACCCCCTTCTACCTTATCAAACAAATGCACACAATTATTGAAGGTTTTATCTGGAATTTTACAATTTCAAACTATCATATAATTGCAATATTAAGGAATGTTTTAAATTTTTTTTAATGGTTGGATGCTTGTCATATAGACTTTTCTACACATTTTCTTTCATGTGTTATCGAACCTGTTAATCATGTAATAATTAAAGTGATTGATTGTATTGCTTATTTAAATATAAAAATTTTAAGAAATTTCAGTGATTAATTAATCATATCACGCATTAAACAATAAACAATAAACTTCGATAACGATTTTGCACTAAATATTAATGTCAATTGATAGTGAATGTGGTCATTTTTCTAGCATAGAATGATAACTACTTGTTGGAAAAGCTGAATTTTAATCCTTGAAATGGAAAATTTTACATATATTTATAAGACTATGCAAAAAATAAGCAAACTACGACAAAATTGTCTATTACATACAAATCTTATTGCTGGTTAGGTTAGGTAAGCTGTAATAATGGGAAGATATACGAGGCAGAGTTGTGGTCGAGTGGCAATCAAGTTCCTTAATGATTTAATTGGTGCATTCAGTCATTTAACTGGAAAACCACACAGAACCCTAGAACTGTGGGCATCTAAAAAGAATGAGACAGCTAGTTTTAACAGTCGGCCAGCTGCCATTCCATTGCAGTGCTCGATGTATCACTCACCTGGCACCAGCACTCATCATCACAGAGTACAGGAAACCATTTGGGAAATTTTCCAGAACCTGCAGGGAGGTTCTGCACTTTCAATATTGTACTATAAAATATGAAATCGGTAAAGCGATTTGTTCCCTTACGTGGCATAACTAGATTGATGCAGGATGGCGTCCGTTGAAGTAAATGCTTTGCTTTGCTTGAAAGTTTATCATACTAGGAAAGAAGATAGAGCTTCTGCAAATGCTAAAATTGTACTTGTAATCAAACGGTTCCTAAAAGTAAAACATATAGTTTTTGACGCAAATAGTTATCCATGGTTGGTGCTGTCATGCACCATATGGCCCCGCCATGACCCATGCCAGTTCATCTGGCTTTACTTTTAATTATTCTATGCAAATTTTCTTGCTCTCATCTTCCTTTTCAACTCCCACATAAAAAAAAAAAAGAAAAAGCAGAAAAGAAAGGTCTTTTTACCCAGCCAGCAAAATCCCATGTCGTGTACAATATCAATGAAAATTAATTTAACCAACAAAATATCACTAAAAAAAGAGAAAACTCATACATGCACGAAAGTGAAATAATTTAGATGAACACCTTGCTTCTCTTCCTAGGATAACCCTTCATACAAACACCAAACACTTGACTTTTATACTCTTAAAAAGAGGACCCTTTTTTTTTTTTTTCCCTAGTTAAGGTTTAGCATGGATTATCATCAGAAGCATCGAACAACTGAGGCTCAAGCTTGGTCCTACAAACAGGACAAATCGAATGCTTGGAAAGCCAAGTATCAGCGCATTGCAAATGAAACCCGTGATTGCAACCGGGAACCATTCTAGCCGGTTGTTCTGCCTCAATCTCATCGAGACAAACGGCACACTCAGTCCCCAACACAAGCTCCTTCCCCGTAACCTTTGGCAGCTTCTCCAGCTCTGAAACAGACAACCCTTTCTCAGCCACCTGCTTAGCCGCTAACGACCCTGAATTATCAGTCTGATAATTCGTAGCATACCACAAAAGACAGATATAAACAATAAAAACAGCACTCATACCAACGAATGGCAGAAAAAGGGCTAAGAAAACAGAAAGAAGCATTGGGTGGTGGCTTCCGGCCGTGGGGATGGAGTTTAGGGCAGGTGCTGGAAACGGAGAAAGGAGAGCTGAAGGTGTGTAGTGCGCTCCATGGCGCATAATAGTTAGCTGGTTTATGGGAAAGTGTTGAGTTTTGGGGGGTTTCTTCTGGGGAAGAGAGGGAGGGGAGGGCTTTGGCTGAGAGATTGGGGTGGTAACGGCTATATTGGTAAGGGACAAAATGGAATTGTTAGCGGTTTTATAGATGACGTGTATCGTAGCAGACAAACAAAAATCCGAAACGGCACTGACGAATTTACAGTTTGGGTTTATTTCCTTGTCCTTCTTTTCTTGATCTGTTAAGCAGTCATAACTCATAACTCATAACAATTCAATTAAGAAGACCAATACATGTTTGGCACAATGTGTTGTTTTGAGTGAGATTTTGTTTGGCCTATTGAATGGGATCCTATCACCTAACTCGTTATGAAAATGGATTATCAGCTAAAAAAGGAAATGGGAGGACAGACTTGGGTATAGGCTGCGTATCCCATATAATTTACATATATCATTGCATCTATGAAAGTAACAAAACAAAATGATATAGTCTCCGTCTCTCCGATGTTTGTTTCATTAATTATATGATCCAAACCTAAAACCAAGAAACAAAAGTTTGGTTTTGAGTTTGGTCACAAGGTTAAGTCTTACGTGATGGACAAATGGAGGGGGTTTAGGACAGCTAATCGGGGCCGATGAGTGCTATCAGTTATGTCAAATTGTCAATGAGTTTGGAAGTCGAAACAAGACTAGCTTGGGTCGCCTTGGCCCTTGGATAAATGAAGTCACTGTATTGTAGATACCAATTTAACTAATTAGAGTGGTGGGCCCGTAGCCGACGGGTCCCAAAAACATGGCTCTGAGATGAGAGAAGGGTTTCTGCTAAAACAAAATTTCGGTCCCCTGTACAAGCTTCAGATGATGAACACGACATTTTGTACATAGTTTTACGACTTCAAGGGCATTAAGATGTTGCTGTAACTTTATATCTTTAATGATGACCAGAAAACAAGGAGAAAATTATTCAAAACTAGTCCCCATATGTCATAAACTTAACAAAACAAAACTGGGCAAAAGGCTACACAGGATATGACACAAATATGGTTATCTGAACCTGAATCACACGAAAAAGGATCCATTTCCTAAGTTCAATGACATCTGAACCTGCAAATTCAACAAGCATTAAAAAGACTGGTAAGTACTTACAACTTAAGAACATTAGATTCATGCTAAGAATTGGATCATAACATCACAGCATCTTATACCATGGAACTTCAACAGCAATGGTAATAAAAGAACTCTCAAATTTTCAGAGGAAGAATTACCTGTGCAGAAGTAGCTAAATTCCCTTCACCCAGCTGTAACCGATTTATATTAGCACTTAGCAGTACTTGAGAGGCAACCACCCTTCTTGGTCAAGAAACAAAATAAATGCAACATCAATTTAAGTATTTTGCAGCAAAGAACTTTCAAGTCTAGAACAACCAACAGTCGTTTCAATAGCTAACTTAAAATCACATTCCAATCTTCCAAAAAATTCACTTTCCAAAGTTAATTAGGTGGGTGCTCGTGGAAGAGCATAGGAGGGGAAACTAAAATTCCAACAATATCTCTTTGACATGAAAGTTCCTTCCAGGCCTAACAGTGCTTGCTGCAGTATATAGTATCAAAATCGCTATCAGTAAGGCTACAAGCTGTCTGATAATAGGATAGCAGAATTGAAGCCAACCAAGGTGCAGCATATTTCTATTAAAGCTCTGATGTTCTGATACCTATTCTTTGTGAAGCAAAGCGAGAGCATGGAAGGTTGAAGTCCCCTCAAAAAGGGATAAAGAGGGTAGTAATCTGCTATGCCAACATGCAACCACAAACATTACAACAGCACCATCAATTTGAGTTAATATATCCATCATCATGTTTTTAGATTTCGAAGGAAGGAAACTGAGGCAATATGTTTTTCTTCCTTCTTAGTCCGAGTTTAGTTTACTCAACTGGGGTTTTTTGCTGTATTACTACCAATACAAGCTCTGAGTAGGATTCATTACAAAGCTAGTGTTGCTTGGGTTTGCTTCAGTCTTTTGAAGAGTAAAGATGCATGGCTTACTTAGACATAAAATCATTCACCAATAATCCCCACAAGAACAAGGTTCATCTTTAAAAGCTTTTGTCAAAGAAAAGGGTACAGGCACTCATCAAAGTTATTATCACATAATTGGCCAGTGATTTGGGAGTTTCACAGGTAGATCTTTTCTTTTTTTTGGTTATTCAAATACCCGACCATGGAATAGGCTAGAAACTGATATGGTAGTTTCAGTTGGGTCTAATCCATTAGGCCTTGACTTTATCCAATTTTCACTTGAAACTGATATGATAGTTTGAGTTGGGTCTAACTTATTGGGCCTTGACTTTATCCAATTGTGACTTCAATCAAACCTCTTAAATGTATGAAAAAGTCGGGATTTTCTTTTGTTCCATTTTGGTTGGGAAAAAAAGAGAGGAAATTGAATGAAGTATTAATGTTGGGACCTGTTTCTGCAAATAGGAAAAAGTTACGGTTCAAGGAATAGAACCGGGGTGAACCGGGAAAAGGGAATCGGTTAGGGCAGTTTTCAGAAGCGTGCAGCGCGGAGATACATAAAGTAGCAAGGGACATCTCGAGAGATTGGCTTTAGGGCGTAGAAGAAAGAAAAATAAGCCGTAGAAGAGGGCTCTCTCTTGGTGGAGCGTACCCCCCAATATATCCTTACTACTCCATTAACCGTTAAAGGTATTTTCTCAGATCTAAACCAAACCCCGCATCCCTTTCCCTTCTGCTTCCGTTTCTTCACTCCCCTAATCCCAACCCTACTTTGATTTTTTTACTCTTTTTTGTTTTGTAATTTTAATTTTAAAAAATTTCTTGGTTTTTTTTTTTTTTTGGGTTACGTTGGAAACTTTTCAAACATTTATTCTTGGCGGAGAAAAGATGGATCGTTACCAGAGAGTGGAGAAGCCGAAAGCAGAGGCACCCATTGACGAGAATGAGATTCGGATTACCAGTCAAGGCCGAATGCGTAGTTATATCACTTATGCCATGACTCTGCTCCAGGTTTTTTTTTCCTGTTTAATTTCTGCGTATTTAGATCTTTACTTGAGTTGGGTGTTTGATTATGTTGAGAAATATGTACCGGAAATGTTGTCTAATGTTTTTTTTTTGTCTGATAGGAAAAGGGCTCGAATGAAATAGTCTTTAAGGCGATGGGAAGAGCCATTAACAAGACTGTGACTATCGTGGAGTTAGTTAAGGTATTTTTATCTGTTTGCACTTGCTTAGTTGAATGGATTTTGTTTTTTGATCCTTGTTTAAGGAGGCTGATAATCTGCTTCTGCTTCATGTACTTCTATTGCAGAGAAGAATTGTTGGACTACATCAGATTACATCAATTGGATCCACGGATATAACAGATATGTGGGAGCCTTTGGAGGAAGGACTTCTTCCGTAAGCGCAATTTAAGCCCTTATTCTGATAAAGAGTTGTTGTTTGTTTAGAGAATTTTAGTAACCTTTGTTTAATTATCACAGATTGGAGACCACAAGGCATGTGTCTATGATCACTATAACTCTTTCGAAAGAAGAACTGAATACGTCCTCTGTTGGGTAAGTTCCTACACTTGTTTCTCTTTACTGATGAAATACATTGTGTCCCATTGCAATTTACTTTGCATGTTACCTTCGGTTTTAGTAAATTTTGAAATATTAAATATGGTCAAGCGAGTGGTTTTTTGTTAATATGAACAAGTTGGTTTTAGCTTCATTTCATCTATGCTTGTTTGATTAAATTTGTATGAATGTTGGAAATTAGAAAATTTTGGCTTATGGAAGGTTTTGACATTGTGGGGCATGTCATGAATGTGACTCATGAATTGCTTCCTCATCTAGGTATCAGCCTCCATTACCATCTGATCAGGTGAAGGCATCCATAGAATTTGATCATGAGGGAGGTAGGAACACATTTCTTATCTGCACTGTTTTTCTGTGATGCCCCTGTTTCTTTTTATAGACTTCTTTTTGCTTGGCAGAGGGCTCGCCCAATGGCCGTGGCAGGGGTCGTGGTGGTAGAGGAAGGCCAAGGAGTAGAGGTATGCCAATTTTGAATAGTGAGATGCACTCTGTTAAATTTTCTGTTGTGTTAGGGGCATGACTTACCATGGCTGGGAATGTCATAGAAGGTTATATATATGGAATATTTTAAGCAATATTTGGTTGCATTCTTCTTCAGGGAATGGTTTTGTCTCTGCTGAGTATGAGGATGGAGGCTGGGAACGCAATCGTGGCTATGCTAGGGGTAGAGGTCGAGGAAGAGGACGTGGTTTTCGTGGCCGTGGACGTGGAGGATTCAATGGACCTCAGTTTAATAGGCAGCAAGATGGAGGATACAATTATGAAGCCCCTCCCCAAGGTGGCCGTGGACGCGGAGGATACAATGGCTCTCAGTTTGATAGGCAGCAAGATGGAGGATACAATTATGAAGCCCCTCCCCAAGGTGGCCGTGGACGCGGAGGATACAATGGCTCTCAGTTTGATAGGCAGCCAGATGGAGGATACAATTATGAAGCCCCTCCCCAAGGTGGCCGTGGTGGGTTTTCTCACTTCTTTTTATTTACTTATTTATTTTTACAAAGTTTTAGTGTGTCTAATAGTTTTCCTTATGGGCTTTGCTATGTATTTGTTATCACCAAATAATGTTGGCCTTATTTTTTCTCAACATGTTGCAATTTAAATCATTATGAACAACAGGAAATAATTTGTTATTGGAATACATATAAAATGATGTAGAGAATGCAATCATAAATTGGTGACGACCTGATGGGTGACCTGCAGTGGTAGGAAATTTTCTATTGTCTGTCTATTAGAAAAAATAAACTTCATGCCAATTGCATTAAGAAAAAGGCAAAGAGTTTTTTGATTGCTGTACAGATGAATATTGGTTCTAATGGTCCTGTGTTTTGCTTTGTAAAGGTCGTGGCCGTGGCCGTGGCAGGGGATATCGTGGAAGGGGCCGTGGGTTTAGATCAAATGGGCCGAACCAGGCAGCTGCATGAGGTGGTGGCAGTCCTTGAACCTCATGGAAACGATGGTGTTGGATGCATAGCCAGTTACATGTTTATGGATTTTTTTTTTTTTTGCCTCTCGAGTCATACTGCCAGTTTAGCATTAGGGTGTGTGTTAAATTTTTTCTTCATTGTTCATTACTAGCAGTTTAACTTTAGGAAGTGTTCATGGTCATGGCTGGTCATGGTAGACTAGCATAGAGTTGCATTTAGGTTTCTAGTGCAGCTGCCTCACAGCACAAGGGGCAAACACTCCTTTTTTGGGTTTATTTTGTAGCCAAGGTTGTTATGTTTGAACAATTGTAACTTATAAGTATTTGACAGAAAAATTTTCCTTTATTATTTTGGCTAGATAATGGCCCTTTTTTTTTTTGTTAGTTTTTTTGGATGAGGTAATGTCTATACTAAAAAAGAATAAGAAATTTAGTGAATCCATTTGCCTTGGAAGAAAATAAAAGAAAATAATTAATTTAGGAAGATAAATCCCATCTTTAATATAGTTTGGGCTTTGTTTTTTCTTCTCTAAATTAAAAAAAAAAAAAAAACCGGAAAACCTACTTGAAAATTTGTTTTTTTCAATACAATAATCGAAGGATTTTGGCTTATTTAATTTTTATTAGTCATTATCTGATTTTTGAAAATAGAATCTTGTAAAAGGTTAACATATTTGAGTTATTGGTCTAATGAAATAAATAAAAATTTTTTGTTAAAGCACTTTCTAAAACTATTTAGTATTTTATTTATATTAAAAAAATTACCTTCGAGTATCACAGTGGCAAAGCCAATAAATAAATACCGTATATTTATATTTGGAACTAGAAATTCCTCGCTTGAAGAGAAAGAAAAGATTCTTTAAAGAAGAGGCAAAAGCGGTGATTGTCTGCTGTCGACACTAAATAAAGCAAGTTAGAGCAACTCCCGATTCCGATCCCTAGAGCTCCTTCCTCCAGATTCGTAACAACTCATTTTCCCTTTTCATCGATCGACGCTCGCCTCTTAATTCTTTCATTTGCGATCGTCGGTAGGGCTTTAGGCAAAGATGACTCAAGATGTGGAGATGAAAGACAACCTAACTCCTTCTCAATCCGTTCCCTCTGCTGTTCCCTCCACTTTGCAGCGTAGCCCTCTTTTCCGATTTCTAGGGTTTTGTTTCTCCTATTTTTACTTATCATTATTGTTTTAATTTTTTTTTAGTTTGTAATTTGTATTTGTAGATTTGAAGGAGATCGCTTCGCTTATTGAGACTGGTTCCTACACTAAGGAAGTTCGCCGTATAGTCCGTGCCGTTCGCCTCACATTTGGGCTCAGGCGGAAGCTTACGGCGTCTCTGCTATCGGCGTTTCTCGATTTTGCTCTGTACCCTGGTTCCGAGGCTCATGCTAGATTGTCCTCATTTCTTCCTAAGGTACTTACTCTTTTCTTCTCTTTGGCTACATAAAGCTTTTGCCTGGCTTTTGATAGATAATTCATGATCACATCATCATCGATTTGTAATCTGTGAGTTTACTTAATTTGTTGGTTTAGTTAACATAATGAGTTTATTGCAAGGCTATTTGATTAGAATTATTGAAAGTCTTATGTTTGTGGAATTCATTAGCAATTGTAGAATGACCTATTTACACACTATGGTATTTTACTATATTGTGCTATTGACATTATATCATGTAGAAATATCATGTAGAAATAGAGAAAGTGGCACTTCCTCAAGTAAATGAACTAGGCTGTGAAACTTTAATTGGCTATTGAGCAATGATTTTTTAGGGGCATCTTTAGCGTGGGTTGGCCCTTTAGATTACCATTGCTGTGTATCTAGTTTGAAAATTTAAATTTAGTATTGGGCAGCAGCATGTTTTAATGATGGTGGTGATCTTTGAATGTTATATTGTGGCATGTTTGCAATCCCCTTGCTAAAGGTATTCTAGTTTCTCCGATTTCAACTTGGAAGTTTTTGTTCCAAACATTGCATCTGAATTAAATATGATTGTAGGAAGATGAGCTCATGGAAGTTGATACCGCAACATCTACTGTTCAGACTCCAGCAAAACACTTGTTGCCAGAGCTTGAGATTTACTGCTATTTGCTTGTTCTCCTTTTTCTCATTGATCAGAAAAAATACAATGAGGTTGAATCTGTTTGCACGAATTTGCATTATCTTTTTCCTTTATTAGCCAAGTCCACTTTGTTAGACTATAGAGGATCTTTTGCTCTGTTTTCTTTCAGGCTAAAGCTTGTTCCACAGCAAGTATTAATCGGCTCAAAAGCCTAAACAGAAGAACTCTTGATGTCCTAGCATCAAGACTTTACTTCTATTACTCGTATAGCTATGAGCTCACTGGTGATCTTGCCCAAATTCGTGGGTAAGATATTCATAGCCAGCTGTCTCCTCTGTGGTTCCTGCTCTGCATGTGTGCTTACTTGTGTAAATATATAAATCTTCCATGTTAACATGTAACTTTCAGTAGTAGAGCAGAGGAAGCTGAATAAGAGTCTAGTCATTTATCTAACTGTTTTGTGTACTTGTACTTGCAGCAACCTCCTAGCCTTGCATCGAATTGCTACACTACACCATGATGAGCTTGGTCAGGTTTGTAATCAATGTTGTTTAGATGGTAAGAAATATAGGAGCTAATGCATAATATACTGGCATAATGCAGGAAACACTTCTAAACTTGTTGATGCGTAATTACCTCCATTATAACCTCTATGATCAGGCAGAGAAGTTAAGGTCTAAGGCACCACGATTTGAAGCACACTCAAACCAGCAGGTATGCAAGTTGTTTTATTTCACTTTGAATACCTGTATTGCAGAAAAATGGTAAAAAGAAAAAAGAAAACCTATCTCTGAATTGGGATTTTTGTGTTGCACTATTGCTTGTTTTACTGATCTGTCAGGGTAGATCTTGCTATAGTCTTCTTGTGCTTATTATTGGCCTTATGGATCTCATCTCCTTTATCTTCTGTCCTTTCTCGTCTGCTATTAATCTCTTGCTTGAAAATCGATACTGTTTACATTTTAAGTCTTTTTTTGGATGACTGAGTTACTACTGTATGCATCTTGTTTTAACAGTTCTAAACTGGCACATATTGTGGTTTATTTTGTTGGCTATTGCCCAACCTTCAGTTTTTGTCCACTTCTGTTCACTTAAGGATCTAAAATGGGCACGTTATTCGGGGGACATCTGATGATAAATATTTTGTTTCAGTTTTGTCGATATCTCTTCTACCTAGGCAAGATTAGAACAATTCAGTTAGAGTATACGGATGCAAAAGAGAGTCTGCTACAGGCTGCTCGTAAAGCCCCTGTTGCAGCTCGGGGCTTCAGAATTCAGTGTAACAAGTGGGCTATATTAGTTCGTCTGCTGTTGGGTGAAATACCTGAAAGGACAATCTTTATGCAGAAAGGAATGGAGAAGGCTTTGAGGCCATACTTTGAGCTGACAAATGTAAGTCTGGTTTGTTGATGATGAATATTTGTTTAAGGAGAAACAAACTTGTATGACAAATTGTTTTTACCTTTTTCATCTTGGTTGATTGGCTCAACTTTTCAGGCTGTACGGATTGGTGACTTGGAGCTCTTTAGGACTGTGGCGGAGAAGTTTGCTAGCACTTTCAGTACTGACAAGACACAAAATCTCATAGTCCGCCTGCGACATAATGTCATTAGGACTGGATTACGCAACATCAGTATCTCTTATTCACGCATATCGCTGGCTGACATTGCTGAAAAATTGAGGTTGAACTCTGAAAATCCTGTGGCAGATGCTGAAAGCATTGTAGCGAAGGCTATCCGTGATGGTGCGATAGATGCTACATTGGATCATGCAAATGGTTGGATGGTGTCAAAGGAGACTGGTGATATTTATTCTAGCAATGAGCCTCAAATAGCCTTCCATTCCAGGATTGCTTTCTGCCTTAACATGCATAATGAAGCAGTTCGAGCCTTGCGATATCCACCAAATACACACAAGGAGAAGGAAAGTGCTGAAAAAAGGAGAGAGAGGCAACAGCAAGAACAGGAACTCGCGAAACATATTGCTGAAGAGGATGATGATGATTTTTAAGGATTTTGCATCTGTGATTATGAATTGCAGCATGTGTCTCGACCTTCTTTATTGTTTCTCGTTTGGAAGGCTAGTTCATACTTTTCAATTTTATGAATGCTAACCGTTTTTACTTGGATGACTTTCAGTCGTGTTGTTATCAATACAAAATTTTAATGTTTTGTGGCGAAATCATGTCTGATGTGATGCTGGGCATAGAGTAATTGGGTTAAGTGGTCTTTTCTGGATTGGAATTACTTAATTTCTCGTAGGTAATTGCGGCAAGGGTTCAAACTTCAACAGCATTTCCTGTTCTAGTGAGTTGTTTCATGGAGAATGTGGGTGGGGAATGTTTTGACATGCTACCGATAGTTTCTTAGTTTGTTTAGTATTAATGCAAGGACCAAATAAATGGCATTGTTAAGGTGAACATCATGAAACTATTTATGCGTAGAGTTTCATTTATCAAGTCGGAATTGCAGGAAACACAAGTTTTGTTTGGTATATTGATTTTGTTATTAATAAATTAGTGCTACCATATATTTTGGAAAGCTAAAAGATACTTAAAATCTGTGTTGAAATCAGACTATAAGAAACCATAACATTTTTGGAAAACTAAAAAATAAAATATTTAATTTCACTCGATAATTAAAGCCTGATATTTTATGAAGAGCAATGCTAGGAGCAGTTGCTTTTTCGGGCGTTTTATGACACCTTTCCAATCAAACATACTTCAAATATTTTCTTTACTAATTGGCTTTGTTATTATGTACCAGTATAATATTTAATTATTTTAGAAAATTAATAAAACTTTAGACAGTAATACCAAGTTGTACCAAATGGTACTTCAATCTCATCATTCATTCACAGTAAGTTGTCATGTGCTTGATATAAATGCAATCATTCAGGGCCCCTCGTTTATTTCTTTGTTTTCTTTTTAGTCTTTGTAAAATAAGCTTTATATATACATCAACCAGCTTTGAATGCGGAGATGGTCTTTGAAGAACATGATGGACTTGTTCTTATGATTGGCAATAGAGTAGAATAGAAAGAATATTTGCCTTCAAAATTCGAATTAATTTCGGATAAAATGAAATCTCTACCAAATTTATTAGCCTAGGCCTCTAGCCCTTTGCTTGACGGTGCTAGCATCATACTGCAAGTTTAATTAATACTATAATTTGATAGATAGATAAATAAATAGATAAGATGCATTTTTCTGTTCGCGGTTGAAAATATATTCTCAACTTGCCCCTTACGAAATCTTTTGCTTGATGCTTAATCTTTGACAATTCTAAAAGTACGCTTCACTCTAACATCTGAAACTCCATTTTTTTTAATCTTTAGAAAATGATATTCTCTAGTCTCTTCATAAATCTTATTCGTGGTTTTATGGATAACTGGAAGATTTCACATGTTTGTAATTCGCTTGAGAACCCAACTCTCTGTGTGCTTGCATCGCAAGAGATGAGAAACAGCAGTTAAAAACTTTGATTAAACAACTCATCCCCACCCCATCTAATGTCAAAACCAATCATGTGCAAAGACCTAAAAAGAATAAATAATGCAATTGGCTCATCTGGGTCAAAAGGAACGCCCAGGCTGTGATCTAATGGAAATAGTCTATCACGCAAAACAAGTGGAGTTTTCGTTTTATCTTCAAATGGCAACAACTACCATATGAAACAAATCCATAAAACAACAATTAGGCGTAGGGTTTTTGATCCATTCACGGCTCTTCTGTTGGGAAAGATCAGCATGTGGGTGTGGAAAAGGCGAGTGTGTGAGAGAGAACGTGGGAATAATTGAATGAGGTTCAGAAATCTTGAGTCATTGCAGGGATAATTCAATTTTATATACTTAAAATGAATCGGTTTTCGTTTCTTATCTACTCGAAGGGATCACATGTGAGGTTGTTTCATAGGAGAGTCTGGTCCCTTATTTAAAGAGGCAATTCTTCTGCTGGCAAATGCCAATAAATGTTAAATAAATTCGTTCCCATTAGTACTCCTCATCTTCCTCTTTGTTCTCTACCGCATCTGCTGTCTTTTAGCCTACCAAGAAATGGCAAAAATCATTTTTGCATTAGCAATCTTGTTTGGATTCTGCTATCTTGCTACTAGCGTGAATTCCTATATGGTCTCTGGCTGGACTAAAGCTCATGCCACATTTTATGGAGGCAGCGATGCTTCAGGAACTATGCGTTAGTAACCATTCTCTTCCACTCCTATTTTCCTTCTGTTGGATAAATGAAAGTTTTTATTCATTCAAAGTAGCACGTTCAGGCTTGCCCGCAAGAAGCAGGAAATGAAATACATTTCTTTTTCAGCTTTCATCATCATTTAATATTGAAGGATTTATTGACAATAGGGGGAGCTTGTGGGTATGGGAACTTGTATGCAAGTGGCTATGGAACAAGGACTGCTGCTTTAAGTACTGCCTTGTTCAATGATGGAGCGTCATGTGGACAATGCTACAAGTTAACGTGTGATTATCAAGCAGACCCCAAATGGCGCATAAAAGGTACATCTGTGACCATTACTGCAACAAACTTTTGCCCTCCTAACTTTGCTCTCCCAAGCAATGCCGGAGGGTGGTGCAACGCTCCTCTCCAGCACTTTGATATGGCTCAGCCTGCCTAGGAAAAGATTGGTATCTACTGGAGGCGGAATTGTGCCTGTTTTGTTCCAGAGGTAGCATTTCTATAACATTTTCTTCTCTCATTTTTACTCAAATCTTATATTGCTATATCTAACGTTATGGTGTTCTTACAACAGGTTTCCATGCAAGAAGCATGGTGGAGTAAGGTTCACTATCAACGGAAGAGACTATTTTGAGCTTGTTATGATTAGCAACGTGGGTGGGGCAGGATCCATCCAATCTGTGTACATCAAGGGCTCTAACACTGGGTGGATGGCAATGTCAAGGAACTGGGGAGCCAACTGGCAATCCAATGCCTATCTCTATGGCCAATCAGTGTCGTTCAAGGTCACCACTACTGATGGAGAGACTCGACTATTTCCTAACATTGTGCCAGCAAATTGGGGGTTTGGCCAGACTTTCTCTAGCAAAGAACAATTCTAAGTTACTAAAAGCTTTAGAGTTCAGGATTTTGAGTTTAGTTTTCGACAGAAGTGTTCTTATTATTTTACAAAAGTTGCCCGCCATACATTTCTTGGGATTTTATCGGTTGAGACGGTTGAAATTACATGGCTACATGGTGGTTCAGATGGAAGTGAATCCTTGAACTAAGGCTGTTACATTACATTTTGTGTTTTTGATACAGTAAATTCGGATGATGTTTGTAATTATTTCAAGATCATATCAATTGTCAATAAGAAGCGCAAGAAAACATTGTAGCTTCTGTAAATTTTGTTTTCAGAAATTTATTTGTTTGTAATAGAAGAACTTGTTCTTTATAATTGTACTATTTCCCATTCGAATGCAATAAATCAACCGATAAACTCTTTGTCTTTTACCCAACAAGGGTTGTTGGCAGAAGAGGCTATTAACTCACCACCTTTGGCAGTTTTGCCAAAAGAAATTCTTTTAAAGGGAAAAAGGAAGACAAGAGTTACCTTGAACTTTAAGAGATAGGGACCGCTTTTGGCATTATTAACCTGCCATGAATTTTCACAAACAAATTGTTCGGATCCACTGAATCCTTTTTTCAAGTTGATCAAGGTCTATGCAACTGTGATTTCCAAAGCACTGCTAATTGCATCTATATTATAATTCTATCCGAGTAATTTCCGATGAGAATTCGTCAATTCCAAATACAAAAACAAATATATATTCAATAAAGGAGATGAGCCATGTCCAATCATTGCTTGCTGCCATTCAAACAGAGGTGATAGGAAAAAGACAGCCCGCAATTTCCGAAGCAGCTATCCACGTTGATCCTTATTTTCTTTTTGTGGCTTCGATAGAGTCTCAAACTCTGAACTGATTCATTTTCAGGTAAATTAATATTTTAGTGTGTTTTCAATAAATATAAGGAAAGGGGTCATTGAATTAAATTATACATAACTTGTAAGTCGCTTAAGGAATTATAGTATGGACCGTTCTGTTATGTGCTAGGCTATTGACAATAACACTTACACAGTTATTGAAGCTGTAGACTCTTCTTGACCAAGGTTGCGTTAAAACGAAGATTTGATCATTTTTTCAACCCCATCCACCAAACATTCCCCTTTTTTAATCTAGGTAGGTTCAGCACGTTTCTGTAACGAAATGCTATAAGTCCTTATCAGGCCTCAGCGAAGAAACTATTGGTGCCGGTTGCTCTTCTACCACCCTTATCTCTTGGCAATACTTAGCTCGTTTTACTTTGAATTTTGAAATCAATACTGTTATCATGCTTATCTTTCTGATTATTTTAGGTTTTACTCTGCCATTGATGGCTAAAACTTCTTCCATGGTTTAACTTTTTGGGGAATGACTACGTAATGCTCTGCTTAAATTATCTGAAAATTGATGATTTCATCACTGTGGAGGTCAACATGCAAAACTCGATTAAAATATTAACGATTTTTTTTTAATAAAGGCCAATCACAATCAAATTTGATATGGCTTGTCAGTTGTCGCTTTAAGAGCATGCTTCAATACTACTCCACTAAACAAGGGTTCTTGATAATGTAATATGCCAACAACCATTCTCGATGGTAACAACTCAAATTTATGGTCTCTTTTGCCTTGTCATAAATAACACATTCCCTCCCTATCAAACTTGCATGGTTAATCTGTAAAAGTGAATTCAATTGTTTCAACTATGGCAGCCATAGTTGCACTTGCTTTCGCTATTCTCATGTTTCCAATTTCATCACCTGCCAGAGCACTAAGCTCAAACTTCTATGACCACACCTGCCCTCAGCTCGAGTCCGTTGTTACAAGTGAAGTCAAGAAAGCGATGTTGAATGACAAAACTGTTCCAGCTGCGCTACTTCGAATGCACTTTCATGATTGCTTTATCAGAGTATAAATTTAAAAATGATGCTATCTTTTGTTTTTTTTCTCTTACATAGACATCCACATGAACACTACGATAGACAGTTTTGGACAATGTTAAAAATTGGTTCAGATGTAACTTACTTTCTGTTTGTTCTAATTTTAAGGGTTGCGATGCTTCTGTGTTGCTGAACTCAAAAGGAAATAACAAGGCAGAGAAAGATGGACCTCCTAACCTTTCATTGCATGCATTTTATGTCATTGACTCTGCAAAGAAAGCATTGGAATCTTTATGCCAAGCATCGTTTCTTGTGCTGATATCTTGGCCCTGGCTGCCAGGGATGCAGTTGCTCTGGTAAGTAGTAACAATAATAGCACTGAATTACTTCGATCATTCTTACTAAGTTGTAGTAGCTGACAACCTGTTCCACCTATGTAATGGATTTCTAAATATACTAATCCAACTGCTTTTGTTTTTGTGTTTGTTTTCACTTGTTTGCTGTCATCTGGTATATTTTAGTCTGGAGGTCCCACTTGGGACGTGCCCAAAGGAAGGAAGGATGGAAGAATTTCCTTGGCGACTGAGACCAGACAGTTACCAGCTCCCATCTTTAATATATCCCAGCTACAACAGAACTTTGCTCAGAGAGGTCTCTCCGTTGAAGATCTAGTTGCTCTCTCAGGTATATCTCTTTATCAACATCTTCCAAGTCCTGTAAAGTTGCTTCACCTCCCAGAAAACAAACTAATAAACCACTCTGATTCCCATGGCTAAATAAGCAAAGCACAAAAAAATTGCTCAGATTTTCATTATGCAGAATACGTTTCAGCTGGATTCCCATGTTTAATTTACTTGATTGGTCCTCAATAGCTAGAGTTCTTATGTAAAACCTTCCTGGACCCCGGAAGCCATACATGTTGAAGACTCCAATGTTATTAATCGTGCGGTACTGACCATATTATACATGTAGGTGGTCACACTCTGGGGTTCTCCCACTGCTCTTCTTTTCAGAACAGAATTCACAACTTCAGTGCTACCCATGACATCGATCCAACCATGAATCCATCCTTTGCCACCAGGTTAAGGAGCGTGTGTCCAGCACACAACGAGGTGAAAAATGCAGGCTCGCCCCTGGATTCTTCCAACTTCATATTTGACAACGCATACTACAAGCTGCTTCTCCAGGGAAAGAGTATCTTTTCTTCAGATCAAGCTTTGCTCACCATTGCGAAAACCAAATCATTGGTTTCTAAATTTGCAAGCTGCCAAAAGGCTTTTGAGAAGGCGTTTGTCAATTCTATGATCAAGATGAGTAGCATCACAGGTGGGCAAGAGATCAGGCTAGATTGCAGGGTAGTAAGGTGATTTTGAAGCCAATGTGGAGTATCAAGGTTAAGGCCAGGCATCAAGAAAGTTATCTAGTCAAATATTATATTTTTTAGAGTTATCAAAACAATAAAAGTAAGAGAAGAATGTTTGCATGTGATTAGCCTACCGTGCGAAGAGAATGTATTTGAAATTTATGTGCTATATCATCATGTTATTTAATGAAGAAAAAAAAAGTGTTCTGTTATGTTCTTTGGTTTTGTAAATTATCATGATTCATGAGTCATGACCATATCATTTCTTACTGGAATAAGTGGAAATTGAAAACTGAAATAGACTTTCCTAGTACTTAAATAGTTAAATTCAAGTAGTGTTTAATAAATGAGTTGGTGATCCATAGATGGAGACACATATATGCTTTTAAGTTGAGTGAATAAATTATGGCTTGATTCCCTTGTGTCCATAACAACTAAGCTCAACTCAATGAAAAAAAATACAAAAAACACTAATGCTCAAACATTATCCCTCAATTTTATTTATAAAAAAATCTGAAATTTGATTGTTTTTTTATTTATTGTTATCAATATATTTCGCAATGTCATTCATATTTTATATATATATAATCCACTCATTATTCATTCATGAATTATGAAAATGATATTTATAAATTAGGATTAAAGTTACAAAAAAATAATAGAAGAAATCGAAACTGAGAAAAAGGATAAATTTTACAATTAAAAAATTTAGTTGCTAAGTGGAATTTTTATTTGATTATTATTACATGCAAATGAGACGAAGAAACGGGCATTAGCCTGTAGCAACATTGGGCTAATTTGGATTTTGGGCTTCGTGTTCTGAAACCTTTTGATTCATTTAAGAAACAAATGCTCAAAGTTCAGAAAAACCCATAAAGTAAATGGGCCTGTATACTTGCAAACACAAACAATGGGACAATTCTTGGCGCTACAAGGAAATAATAAGAACTAGCAATTGCTTAACTCTATACCGGGTAAACGGAGGGTAAAGAAGCTGAAGCTGAGGCAGATTTCTGTGTCAATTTCTTTTACCTTGATGACTGTAAAGCCGCATTTAGTGTCAAAGTGATTGCCTTAATTTTACCATGATCACTGTCTTCACTAAACTCTATAAGCAAGACAAAAGATTCTCGAATTGTACTACTTACTGTGGTTGGGCATCAATTATTTCTTGTATAACGAGCCCTCTCGATCTGTTAATTGTGTGAAAGCATAATTTTGTATGTTCCTCAAGCTCTTTAAGCTGCTCCAAGAAGCTGGAATCGTGCATACAGAATTCTCTTACCACCTCCTTCAGTACCTCAATTTTCCCATTTCTAATGCACATGCTAGCTATAGCTTTATAATGCTCTATCTCATCATACAGATTCCGTACCAGTCTGCTTATGGTATCGAAATCATTGATCAAAATATAAATCCCTTTGGCTGAGATATCAATCTGTGCACCAAGTCTTTCAACCAAGCTTGTCTTAAACCCTTGCTGATTAGATGATGACTTACTTTTTTTCTTCTTCCTTATGCCAAAGAAGCAGGCTGCAAGCCCTGGTGCTGCTATAATTCCAATCATGCTGTGGAATGCAAGGACCAGCAAGGCAATTACAAGCGTAGTATGAGAAATTACTAGACAAAGACTCCCAATCTGCTTGGAGATTCTTTTATATTTTGCTTGCCGTTTTATCTTTTCGCGTTTTGATGTTAATTTACGGTACAAATCCTCGTTAGTCTCGTGGATTTCCTGGAATTGCACTGGACTAATGATTGATAATGGATTCTTTAGTAATGCAAATCCAGCCAACTCCTGGAGTAGAACGCTGCAATATTGCTCATCTGAAAAATTTTGCATCCTCTTGCTCATCTTGATCACCCTTCTAATTTTCTGATAATAAACGCGCGTCTGATGGATGCTTCGTAGGAGTAATTCGCATAAACCGCAAGCTTCCAAACCAGCTTTAAAATAGTCGAGAAGAAGGTGATGAAAATTCAAGTTCTCTATCTTGTCTAGTGTTTCTTGCCTTGGTTTTAGCAGGTATTCGGACAGGTTTATATGATAATTAGGAATAGAAGATGATGAAGGGAGTCTATTAAAACTAGTTTCTTCCAGCTGGCCATGAACTTGGCTCCACATTTCGACATAAGACTTTGTTCTGAAAGCTTCCTTGTACTCTTCATTTACGTTTGTCTTGTCACTCAAGTTACTTACACACTCCATCCGTGATCTGCCTGAGATAATTAACAAACCCCACAAAACCAATTAGTTTTTCAAATCCCGATACATACATGAAAACAAAGCAATCATATTTCCATGGCTAGAATAGATCTTGAGGGCCAGAAAAACTGTGAACACACCTTGTAAAAGAATGAAAAATAGAAACCCTAGTCAATATTTTTTTTCAGTTTTTATCTCAAATTCCATTTATGTTATTGCATATCAAAATAGCAGAAGAAACATAAATCAACAGAAACATACTAACCTAATTTTAGCTTTGTCTGGAGCATCTTTCTCCCTCGATACATGTTCTTGAACATCAATCTTTCTGTTTAAAAGTTTCTCAACAAAATATAGTTTCAAATGAATTGAATCAGATTATGATTGACTACTTTGGCCAATATTTATACAGAGTTTGATGACTTGAAGGGAAGATTTTATAGACAAAGTTACAAACAAAAAGAAAGAAAAAGAGATAAAGCTAAGTTGGCAGTTAACAGAGGCCGAAATCGTTGTAGCTTTTGTCGCACGATAGCGTCCCTCTCACGGTCGTTTATCTACGTGTAATGCCTTGATACAAGGCTTGTATTAGTTCAAACAGTCCAGCAATGTTCGAATCTAAGGTTACGACTGTTGAAGTTGCTCATACGCTATTAACTTGTCTAATTTTCCTTTAAATAAATCCCAATCGGCTTTTTTTTCTGCATTTATTTTATTTTTTTCTGGTAAAGAATGCTCTAACCCTTTAAGTCAGATTACGTGTTTTCAAAACTTGAATTTGAAGATGGAGATCGGAGAGCATTATATCATTTACGCTTGATCAAGTTGAAGGTCTCTAAATTTTATCTGTGTAATAAGAAGTTAATGATGATAGGGATATATATTAATTGTACATGTCAGAAGAAAATGACATGATATATTAAGCATGTGCTCAAAAAAGATTAGACGACTTGGTCACTAGAGAAATTATTAGAAACACTAACTTAATATATATATATATATGTATGTACCATGAAAATATTGAATTATAGAGTTAATTATTCGGTTGATAATAATCATACAGAACTTTGATTTTTTTTTAAAAAAAATTTGGTCATAAGATTGCAAATTATCTAATTTTTCATTTTTTGTATATATAGCGGTGATGTCATATGCTAAAAAAATAATGTTTAATGTAATATATACTAAAAAAATGCTCAATATAGTATGTGAATTTTCAGACCGTTTATTAATGTAATTTAACCTCTAACATCATTAAAGAAACATGTAGTAGTGATTTTAATCAATGAATATATAACATGTGTTAGAATAATTATTTCATTTTGTATGTTATCATATGGTTTACATGTGATTGTCATATATCATAAATTTTTTTAATTTAAAAAATAAAATATAATTCTTTTTTTCTCTTTCCTCCCATCTTTTCTCACCTATCGCTTGCCTTGTGTGAATCTAATCAGTCCGGACCGCATTCAAAGTGAGTAAGCTAAAACAAACCAAATCCATTACGCGTTTGACGTTTCTATGCATTTAACAATGTGATTATTATTTGGCAAAATCTATTCTACAGGAAGAAACTAAAAGGTTTTGAGATTTCAAATTGTAGTTTAAGATTAAGAGATCAAGTCGAAAATTCGAAGAGGGAAACCTTTTTGCTTTCTTTACACGTAACCCCGCTAAATTGACCAGAATTACGTTAACCGTTTGGTATGCCACTATGTTAAGCAGGTGAACCACGAGATCAAGAACGTTAAGCTTCAATTAGATAAGAACTTAATTAATAAGAAGCCGATAGCTAGTTAGGAGCTCAAATATTGGTGATTTCTTTATCTTTTTTTTTTTTTTTAAATAAACACAAGGAAAAGCCCTTCTTTTTCTCTTCCTTATCTAAAAGCTGTTATGGGCTTCTGGCGTTGGTTCAAGAACCGGTTTCCCCGAAGACCAACACTCCGTATAAACGCGCAAACTTTGCTAAAATAATTAATCATTGGAGCTTACGAATTGCTTTCCTAGTTCAAATTAGCTCTCTGAAAATTATTGCTTCCACTTCTCCTCGTCTTAATTGGATATATATAGACAAAACCAGGATTTGATATAAAAATGGGATTAAGAGTTGGCCAAGTAATTTATGCTTCATTTGGATAGATGTTGAAAATCATTCATCTAAATGAATCATTAATAGTTAGGTTTGTTTGGTCCTACCTTCATAGCTTCATTTTTTAACAAGTCAAGTGAACGCTATATATATATATATATATAGATGGTCAAGCTTTGCTTCTTGGTAGTTAGTTATGTCAAACTTGTAGAGTTAAACTTATTTGAAAATGAGAAAAATCCTGGGTAGGATTTGAAGGGATTAGTTATATTCTGGCCAAAGAAACAAAAGAAATATAAAGTTTTATATGATGCCTTAAGGTTAAAGGTCATACTCTTTAATAAATTAACAAATATAGAAGAAAGAAACTAAAAAAAAAAAAAAAGGAGAAAAACAGAATAGATGCTTGCAATTTGCAGCAGAAGGACAAGTAATGATCCCAAATCCTAATATATGATGATGATGATGATGATGATGATGATGATGATGATGATGATGATGATGATGAATTGACGATGCTTCATATGGCTTGCGCCAGTTAATGAAAAGAAATATCTCCAATAGGGAGAGAACTTTTTCATGGGCCTGTCATTAAACATAGAGCCCCAGTACTGTCATATTTCGGAAATTTCTGTGGCATGGATCTTGATTTTTCATTTCAAGTGGCTACTTTTGTTGCTTAATCATGGATAAGGCCGCATTAAGATAATGCTGGGCCTTGGCTTTATCACCCCGGAATTTCAATTTTATATATATATATATATATCTATACATACATACATACATATATATATATATATATAACTGCTTTTGTTCTTGTACATATATAAATAATAGACTGCATAATGTTAAAATTCAATCCCCTCTTAAAAGACACGAGAAAAAAATTGAGTGATTAAAATCTTGATTTGATTATGTGATCTATTATCAGAATTTTAATTTCAATAATTAAAATTAAATCTCTAACGTTTTCAAGTATAAAAAAATTCTTAAAATGCACAGTGATGTGTATGGTGCGGGTGCCCATTTCAGCCCATCGTTGGGGGTTTTCTAGTATGTGAAATGCTCGAGCTTGATCGTTCAAGAAAGAAGGGGAGATTCTTCTAATTTAATGCCCAAAATCATAACACTTCAAAGGAAACAAAAAGATTATACTAAGTGGTAATAATAGAGTAAAGACAAATTGACAAATATAACTTTGGCTTGCCAATTGCCAACACATTGGATAGGAACAGGTATGAAAGCAGAAGAAAGCTACGGATCCTGATTTTTTTTTTATTGACAAACTGTTCCTGAATCTTTAAAGCTTAGACCTCCCAGCAATGTCGATTACAAAACGGTATCTAACATCATTTCTTTCAAGGCGATCCAAGGCTTCATTGATTTGATCTGGTTTGTTAAGTTCTATATCGCACGTGATGTTGTGCTTCCCACACCATCGATCATTTCATGGGTCTCCTTCATGCCGCCTGTCATTCTCCCCTTCACTGGTCTTTTCCCTGTAATCGACATCGAAGAGAAAAACAGGAAACGTTTTTCAGTTTCTGTCATGGACAAGACAAGTGGGAAGGAGAAATCGTACCAAATATTAATGGAAAAGAAGGAAGTTCAATTGGCCTGTCTGGTGCCCCCACAACCACTAGAGTCCCATTTACTTTGAGCAGTTCCAAGATAGGTCCGAGCGAGTGTTTAGCTGAAACTGTATCCAAGATAACATCTAGCGTTCTCTTACTTCTCTGCCATCATGAAATCCAACAGGTTTAAAAAACCTTAAAAAGCCTCTTCAAAAGAGATCTCAAAATTCCCTGGTGACAAGCAGAAAATTAAGAGAAGCAAACCTGCATTTGTTCAGCATTAGTGCTAACTATGAAACCATCTGCGCCCAAACGCTGTCTAGCCTCCTTTTCTTTTGTTGGAGAGGTGCTGATGACGGTTACATGATGACCAAATGACTCTGCCATTTTAACAGCAACATGACCAAGACCCCCCAGACCAATTATTCCTACCTTTTTTCCTGGTGACTCGAGTAGTTGGCTATCTTTCATGGGGCTAAAAACGGTTATCCCAGCACAAACTGGGGCGCCACTGCATCCATTGGCAGGTTATCAGGAACGTGGACTACGTACCTTCACAACAAAAATCACAAAATAAGTGATCAACCAAGCCTACGGCCCATAAAGAAGTTAACTTTTTACTAAAAAGAAACTATTTTTTTTGCAGGATGTGATAAACTGAATATCAGTTCCTGACCTGTGATCTGCCACTAACATTTTGGAATATCCACCATAAGTAATGCTACCATCCCAGAAAATGCCATTGTAAGTAAACTGGATCTGGTCGCAGTAGTTCTCCTGCAAGTTTTTACAGAATTCACATTCCAAACAGGATGCTGCCAAGCACCCAACCCCTACTCTGTCTCCTACTTTGAAATTCTTTACATTGCTTCCCGCCGTGGTTATCACCCCAGTAATTTCATGCCTGCATAAGGAACAAAAGCCCATAAAAACAGAGACATTTTCATACCCAAAAATAATAAATATGCAATTTCAATTTACAGTTTTGCTTTTTGTTTCTTTAAGCAACTTGTGGGTAAAAAGTTTGAGATTTAAGTGGATAAACTCTCAACTGTGTGAAAAAGACAGCGACTTCCCCCACGTCAACAACCTTTGGACTCATACGAGAATTTCTACGAAGGATTGTCTCTCACTAATCACTACGTTATTTCGTGAAAGAAAGGGATAAAATTAGTAAAAGTACTATTTTAAAAATAAAATTCACATTAGATAGACTATTTTCATCAAATTTAATAGAAAAAAAATGTATTAATTGTAAGTTTCTTTCCTTTTGTATTTTTTAATATTCATAAAACAATAAACCTTGATGGTTAAGAATTAAGATCTTAGCAGAGGCGCTTCACCCGGGGACAACTGGATACATGGTGATACCCCAGTCGTTCTTAACATGGTTGAAATCAGTGTGGCAGATCCCACAATACATCACTTCAATGGTCACATCGTTCACGCCATATTCCCTGTATTATCGTCATTTCCATCGTTACTAACAGTTAATACTAGTAAACATTTAAAAGATGTAACGATTGAAAACTAATCATGCAAATATATATCTATATACCTTATTTTGAAGATGTAAGGGCGATTTTGCCAGAGGAATGATAAGCCGCCCACCCTGCTACTGTATGTGTGTGGTTAGGCGTTTCCAAAGCCGTGCGGTGGAAGAGAAGGCTGAATGAATGTATGGAAAAAAAATGCAATTGATGAGGAAGAGAGAAAGCTCAAAGCTTTGTTGAATGTAATGGGAGACACCGAAATCAAAGGTCTTTCTTTTATCCAAGTACTGAATACTTATAAGAGGTAATGGAGTTGTCTACCAACCAAAAATATTATTTTTGGACCATTAATGAAAAATATTAATAGATGAATTATAATAAAATATTTAATTTAATATTTTAATATTAAAATTTTAAAATATAAATAAATTAAGTAATATACTATCATTTTTAATATGATTAATTTTAAATGATAATTTATAATTAAATATTATATTTAAAAAAATTTTAAATTTAAATATCATATTAAATATTTTATTAAAATTTAAAAAACATTCTAAACGTTAGCCAAATGATAACTAACATGGAAGAAACGATACCTTCGTACGAAGGGTGGGTGTAATTCAAGTGCACTGAAAGTGCAACGTCGTGGAAAACTTGGGGAAGAAGTTGCACGACAGACCAATACAAAAGATGGGTAGATTTTTTATGTTTTTTGGGTACTACAAAAAGAAGAGTAGTTGAGTACTCTTCAGACTTCTCCACTTAACCTGGGAATAGATTTCAAAGTTCAAAGTTCAAAGTTCTTTTCCACGAGTCAAACGACCTGTATTTAATGGGATGGGTCCCTTCCCTATGAGTCCTATGACGAGTCATCGTCATTTTCTGGCCCAAAAGCACACTTCTTTCCTGTCTTTTTTCTGCCTAAAATGAATAGAATAGGGATAATGAAATTGTCTGAGTCGTCAAATTATTTAAGATGTAGGACATGGGCACTCTGCAAGGACTTCTGCATCCAAAGTTAGATTGCTAAAAAGGTCCAACACAAGTTGATCGACGTTTTGCAATTTTCAACCCTTTAATTGTCTGTTGCTCGGTCCCTTTCGATCGTGAAATTCCAGAGAAATAGCCACACATAAGCAATCATATCAGTTTAGGTGGTGGATTAGTTATAATTCACAAGACTAGACCATGGTTTTCAAATTGGGCCTGATCAGTTGTTGGTCTGATCCAATAACTTTGGTTGTCAAAGGGATTGCGCATCTGAAGCATTCTTAGGCTTCTGTCTCACGACCAAACCTCAGACGTAGCGTCCGTCAGTTTAGCCCAAGCTTAAGTCGTTTGGGCCCATCATAACCGGTATTCGTAGCAATTAGCGTAAAATATAATACATGTGCGGAAAATTTATATACTTCTTTTGAATTATAAATAAATAAATCAATCAATCAATAAAAAAACTAACAGATATAAAATAAATTCGACATAAAATAAAAAAAATTCATATATAGTAAAATTTGAATTTAACATTTTAAAATTTTAAAATTTTCTTATTAATCGCTATCATTAATTAGATTTATTACAATTAAATAAAGTAAAAATATATCTGTAAAATTTCTAATTTTGTTTTGGAAAAGTGTATTATTTATTTGTAAGCATCCTTTATAATATATCTGCAAATTTTACCCATCCCAATTATGAGCTTAAAAAATATATATATTGGTAGAAACTTTTTGCTTACTAATTTATGAATTGAAATTTGTATCATATAAAGTAAAGTCATTATAAAATCAATGATATGATTTTATTTTTAACTTGATAATAAATAGTTTTAGTATAATAAAAAAACTAATTTTGAGTTGGATAAATAATTGAAGATAAAGCAGAATCTTTGAAGGTTGCATTTTTAATAAAAAAGAATGAAAATCCAAAATTCAAAACGAAAATTATCTCATGATTTTATTTGTTATTTCATTTTTATTTATTGACCTAAGAGTTAAGAGTTCTTTCATAACATGACGGAAGAAATTTTTATCGTGTTAAAATTGTATTTTATGATTGAGTTTTTAGACTTAGTTATAAATTACATCCTATTTTTATTGCAATGAAATATTATTCCATTCTATAATTTTTATCATGTTTCCATGCTTATCCAATGAAATTTAGGACAAAAAAGGAATAAATTTCATAAATTCGTATAGCACCTTGATGATAAGATGCAAATATTTATGGTTCTTAAATTTGAATGTGAATCGTTCTTAAGCCTTTAATTTAATGATAAAAAACGTTTGAAAGAACATTAAAAAAAAATTAATTTTTTTCTTACGTGTACTAAAATTTTACTTTTTTGATATAACAAAAAAAATGTGAACTTAACAATGTTAAATACCTGTAATCATAATTCAAATACTAAAAATTTAATTTGACATTTCTTTGAAATATTAAAAAAAATATAAATTAAATTTGTTGTGATAATTATTTTATATAAAAAATAAAAAAAATAAAGACTATGGGATAGTCTGAAAAGATGAACAAAATTCTAAAATAAGTAAAATCGTGAGAAGAAAAAAAATTTTCTGAACACGTGTAAGTGGGAAAAACCTTCAAAATACTTTTTATATACGTAGTACAGATAATTCAACACTGACCAATGAAATGCCAAAACTTAAGTCGAAATATAATTTTCAAAATTGGATTTACTTTTAACAACTTCAAACTTTATTAGGTGAAGAAAATAATAAATAGAAAAGATCCTAAATGGACATTATGAGAAAGAGAAACGATGTCGTATCAGACGTGCGTTTGTAATTTTAGAGCTTTCCGTGACAAAACTGCGGCTTCCCCAACACCTGAAACCAAAGCCAAACAAAAACAAAGTGGAACAAAAACACAAATTATTATCTATAGAAATAAAACAAAAGAGAATGAAATAAACCTAAGCACAGCCTTCGGTTCCTTGGTTTTTCGGCGGTTCAGTCTTGCGTTTCACGTGTTAGATACGTCTGCTTTCGCCCATCAAATTCCTACATTCTCCCCAAACAAACCCTAAATGCTCTCTCTTTCTTTATTTTCTTCCATCATTCTTATTTATTTTAAGGTTAATTGAGCGAGGATTTTGATTAACCAATTAAAATTTTAATGTACTGTGTTGTAGACATTGATTTTCTTTTCATTTTCTGATACAATTTTGATTTGAAGTTCAGAAACCCTAATTTCGAATGGCTATGACGGCTGATTCTTCTTCTCCAGGCGACGGTCTCAACAGCCCTCAGTTCCGCCGCAAAAATTTGCCTTCTCCGTGGGCCCAAGTTGTTCGAGGTGAGTCAGAATCAATCTCAGCCGTTTATCATTCCCCTTCTTCACCATCATTGACAACCTCACTCCCCGTCGCTTCCCTACCGGAGCAAGCAACTTTTTCCGATTGCTCCCCTTCGAAAGCGGCTTCCTCCTCCTCCTCTTCCCCGCCGCCGGATATTTCTTTGGCCGCTGACGGTGATTCTGATTCCAATAGCAACAACAATTCGGCTGCTTGGTCCAAGAAGCCGGCTTGGAACAAGCCTTCAAATGGCGTGGTAGAGGTGGGCCCCGTAATGGGTGCTGCTTCTTGGCCTGCTTTATCTGAATCCGCTAGGGCTTCCCCCAAATCATTAGCTGACTCTTCTTCCAAAACTTTTCCTGACGGATCGCTTTCTACTTCTCAGGTTGCTTCAAACGCATTTTATTTTTCCCTTATTAATTTGTGCTCTGAATTAACAAAATTGAAAAATAGGAAAGGAAAAAGGAATCTATTTACTTGCCATTTTTATTTCAGGTTAAGCAACCAAACACACAACAGAATAACTTCTTATTTTTAGTTATTAATAAATAGATAAATAATAAACAAGCTGACTGTGTTTTTCTGGTTAAAATAGGGACCAGTAATACCCCAATCAACTCAGAAGCAAGGTACTAGTAATGCTAATTCCAATTCGGTACCAAACCGTACAATGTCGGGTCGGCAAAGGTCTTCTAAGCGTGGTGGCGGTGGGGGCAATAACTCTGCTAGTGGGCCTCCACAGAGTAGCTTTTCACATCAACACCTGACTCCACCACCACCGTCATTTCCTGTAATACAAATGCTTCCGAATAGTTATGGTAATTTTGTTCCAGCAATGCCGGATACATATGTGAGAGATCCCCAATATAGGGGCAATAATTGGGAAACGAGACCGGCCAGCGGGTTTGCATCTCAATCACACAATGATCACCGGCATTCTTCTCGGAGGGGAGGCAACTATGGACTACGTGGAGACAGTGGCTATCATAACAATTTTGGGGGCAGGCGTGATCAGGACCGAGGAAATTATGGGAATGCTAGAGATGTTCATATGCATCCTCAGAGAGCTTCCCCAAGGGGCTTTCCAAGGCCTCCACCACCCAGTGCTCATACTTATGTTCCTCCACAGCCTGTGAGGCCATTTGTGAATCCCATAGGATATCCTGGTATGTTCAAATTTTAAGAGGTTGGTTCTTTTTGTTATGTGGGCGTGGAAGTAATTTTTTTCTGCTCTGCAGAGTTGATATATTTCCCTACAATGCCTATGGAGCCATTTAGGGGCATGCCGTTAATTACCCCTGCTCCTCCTGCAATGATTATGCCTGTTCCTGAACTTCCTCTGCCTGCTATGATATTAAATCAGATACATTATTATTTCAGGTAATTTCATCTTGTCAACTAATATTTGGTGACATTTTGTTTGCCCTAGCAGCTTTTTTTGAAAATTCTCTAATAATAAACTACCTCTGCGTTAATGGTTTTTTTTCCTTTTGTGTAGTGATGCTAATTTGATAAGAGATGAGTTTTTGAAGTCTAAAATGGATGATCAGGGCTGGGTAGCCATTTCTTTAATAGCAGGATTTCCTCGAGTAAGTTATTTGTGATTTGATTGAGTGTTTTGTCATTTTCTTCAGATGGTCTTTGCGTGCTCTTTTCTGACTTAAACTGCAAGCAAGCTAAGAGGTCATTGCAAATGAGGCAACCATAATAATAACAATAAACAAATAATAGTTCCCTTCACTATTTTTTAAACGCCCTCTGATCGATGCATTTATATCCAATTGTAACACTTTCAATGTCCCTTCTTCTTTCTCTCATTAGTAGTTAAATTCCCTCTTTGTCAATATGGGAGTATCAACTGTGGATCCCCTACTGCTGGTTGTCCTCTTTTCACCTTTGCCAAATTATAACCCCTTTGCTGTTTTGATGTGGCATATATTAGATATCAACTCCTTGTTTGGGCACTGAATTGTTAGGAACTAGCTATATCTCTCTCTTGGAACCCAACTTGCATTAATGTATTTATGGAGAGAGATGTTGATGTGGTAATGATATGGAGAAGTAATCCGATACCAGCTTCAAGTTGCGCATAATAAATTCTAGACATGAGCTTTAAAACATTGTGTAATTAAATGCAGGTTCTTTATTTTGTTGGTTTCAGAGGATATTCATTTGGCTATAGTCAGGGAAAGTAGAATCTCCATTCCAGGAAATTCACCATAAACTTTGTTATAGTAGTATTTTAATGTATAGATTTCTTGGTCATGATGATTTGGAATAATCTGTGTCAGAGACTTTCTAGCAGTCACAGTGTGCCACATGCCTTGTACTGCATCATTCATTATGACTCTTCTTAGACAGTCTTCTCACCCTGACTTGTTTGTACTTAATGTAGTTTTGCTATCAAGACCTGCTTGTTGTATGCAATAGCTGGTCTATAATAAAGTTTTGTTTGGTTCATTTGTTTAGTGATCCCGACACTTGATTTGCCCTGCATTTTCCTTTCAGAATAAGTAGTGAGGACTTTCTGATTGTGTCGTCTTTCCCATTGTTCAAGTTCTCGTTAATATATGTTTATTCCACAATCTGTTTGATGCTTCTTCAACTTTTTAAAACATCTTCTCGTTTAAGTTTGTTCTATGGTGATTATTTTGCAGGTTAAGAGTTTGACAAGCAACATTCAGCTGATATTGGATTCCTTGCGGAGTTCAACTGTTGTGGAAGTACAGGTATATTTGGCATTGCAATTATTATTAAGCAAAAAGGGAAATGCCTTATTAATTCTAGATGTCAGCTATAAGTGTCAATAAATTTGTTTGTTAATTGGAAATCCTTGTACAATCTTTCATTCTATTAGAGGCAGTGGCAGAGTCCAAGAAACTGGCAACAAATTGCCAAACTTATGCTGTTTTCCAGGTTGGTTTGACTGTTACTGAAATATCTGCAGGATGACAGAGTGAGGAGGCGTAATGAGTGGAAGAAATGGATACCTTCTCGGGTTTCCACGGAGTCAGGCTTCGTATCTCCAGGTGGACCAAGTTCTGATATGCTGGCAAGTTCTTTTCAGCAGATTACAGTGAAGGAAGAGTCTGCTAACCAAAGTAAGGCAGGTAATGTGAACCCTCATGTTGAGGACACTTCAGAAAGGAATCTATCCAAGCTGATTGGCCGCGCTCAACTCCCCAACGGGGAGGGTTCCAAAGACACATGTTTGGACTAAAACTGATCAATCTATGCCACCACAAAAGCACAATCCAGTCAGGATGGTGTGCTTTATTTTTGAATCTAGAGTGGATGCTGATTAGGAAGGGGATTGGACACCTTTTTCTTTTTATTTTTGCCATCATCTTACTCGGTTTTGGCGGTGTATTGATGAGGCAATTTGAGGCAAACAATAAGAAAGATACATAAATTTACCTTTGAAAGATAGAGAACAAAGTGAGATAAAAAAAAAAAAAAAAGATAGGTTTGACTGGGGAAGAATTATGAGGCTGTTTGTTTGTATAGTTTTGCTATTGCTATGGACAACTTGGTTTTTTTTTTTGGTTATTTCGATGGCTTGATGATGGGTGAAGGGAGGGGAATTGGAATTGTCCTTTAACATGGCTAAGAATGTTTTTCCCAAGTTATTTTATTATGCTTTCCCGGCAATCATAACCCTTTTGTCCGGTTTGTCTTCCCGGTGTTTTTCATAGGTGTTCATGGCTCGGGAAAGCATGCTTGTTCTAGGCTTCAAATTTAATGCTTTTCACCCTTATAATTACCTTAGCTATAAGTGGGCAATTTGATATTCAAAATCAAGCCTGCAGTTTAATGATGTTCCTTGCGCAACACCCCCAGCCCAATGGGGCCCAAATGAGTACTTTTCCAATGCGGCTCTCTGATACGCATCGCCCATGGTAATCCTTTTTTCTTTTTTTTAAAGAGAACATAAACAATGGCTGGATTTAATGATCTCCCCCATTAGTTACTGATATTATTTCTAGTACTACGTTTTTTTTTTTTTCACTTTTGGATAGAAGGATGAGAGTAACATTTGGAGATCAGCGTCGCTAAGAGCTTTGATGGGGAGGGAAACTGAGCGCGTGTGATATGAGCAGTCATTACCCAAAAACTACTTGATATTATTGTTCCAAAGGTAGCACGGGCAATCGGTGAAGACGATGATTCATAAGTGAAGTTGGTAAATTTTTTTGTATTAAAATAATTAATTAAAAATTTAAATCAATAGATCGATAGAATTGAATGAAAAATTAATAATATGTAAAAAGATTATTAAAATAGTATTTATAATTAAATTTTGATAAATATTTATTTAATGATTTTTAAATAAAATAAAAAAATATTTATCTAAGAAGTATTAAAATTTACAAAAAAAATATTTATCCGTTAATTAGTATTCATTAAAATCTTTTTATAATTTGTATACTTGATTTATATAATAAATTTTTTTAAATTTTTATTTAATTATTTTTAATAAAAAAATTTACAAAAAAATCTAGTCTTGTAAGATGAGAAAACAATGCATCGTTTGTCCAACTCAAGATTCTGATGTGTAATAAATACTAATTAACGGATAAGGTTACTTTAGACTAATAATACTAATGCTTCTTATAATCTTGAAATAAAAGCTTCGAAGCTTCTCCTTTTTTTTTTTTTTAGTATTCGAGAAAGCTGAATACGGATGATTATAAAATCAACCATGGCAAAGCAAAAGCTAACTTCTTTTTGGAAAACTGGCCATAGCAAAGCCGACTTTTATAGGTGCTAGCCAGACTGCTTTTCATTTCCCCTTTTTTAATGAACAAAAAAAAAAAAAAGATTGCCCTTCATTTTTTTCATTTTTATCTAGTAGTCTACAATTAAAAAAATAATACAAAAGAGTTTGCTTTCAAGTTTAAGTCAATTAATAAAATAATAAGTTTCTCTGACTCTTATAACTTTACTGTTGTTTGTATGTTTGTGTTAATCTACCGACAAATATTTTATAGAGAGAGCAATAGAGCATCCGGCAACTAGCGAGAAAGGGAGATCAAAATTCAAAACCCTAAAACAGCTAGAGCCCACATGGTGAACCGATCAGTACCAGGGTGTTTGTGTTTCCTTCATCACTGGAGACATTGAAAACATCATTCCTTTGGAATACAGGAGTACAAGTTTCCTTTTGTATATAACTTTCTTTCCGGAAAAATATACACCATAGATAGCCATAACTTTAATGGAATGGTAATATAAAAAATAATGGCAAATTTTCCCCTTTTCACATGGAAAGTGGACGTGCTTGAACAGTTTAATTTCCAGATGATCAGGATTAGTAACAGCAGCTAGAGGCCAGGGTTCCTGATGGTCTCGCTGATATTATGGTAATACTGATGACCCAGGTGGACTGTGGTAGCAGAAGTAATGGCCTGTAGGATTATAGCCGATGATGATTGGGTAGATTATTTGTTTGAAACCAGCTGGTTGACGCAGCCTTGGGCTTTTTCACCCTCTACCCTCCTCCTATCTCTATGGCTCTGTCAATTTGTCATTATAATGGTTCAATTAATTACCAAGTGCTTCCATTATATTAGTCATAGATAGGGTTCGCCATATATACAACACTTTCAATGCTCCAAGGAAAAAATGCACAATGAGAAGAAATGTGACATTTTTAAGACTTAAAGAGCTTGTTAATGGAATCTCTCAAGTGCAACTTGCAGTCGCAGGCGCAGACGACCCCCCAAGATTGACAGCCGGCTACTCAATTGTCCAGGCATATCCTTCTATATATTGACAGGGACTTAACGAACGAACTTTATATCTTCAGCCCCCCCTCTCCCTCTCGACCGAGTCACGGAGAATAAAGGTGACATCGGTACAATTCCAAGTTCCAACCTTATAGGAAATGTGCCCGAGACAAGTAGCAACAAGAGAGTTTTCTAAGTAATGAAAAAATCAAGTTAGTGTTTAAAAAAGAAAAAGAAAATATATATAGTACAATTGATTGTGATCTATATGGTGACAATTATTTGTGGTCACCCGTATAGATACCTCAGTTTAACGTAGACCTGGAATTTTTAACAGAGATATGAAGAAAAGAAAAGAAGATCACTACAAATATACTTACCTATCTGTCAAATCAAAAAAAATTTTCTGATGTCTTTCATTTCACATTAATTTCAAGTGATTGTATAGTCTAAGATTCACCTGAAGGCTAAACCAGATGTAGTACCTTTAGTTTTGGAATGGAAGAGAGTTTCTAAGTTCCAGCTATAGGAAAACAAAATGAAAAAAATTTAAAATCTTTTCCTGCCTAAAGATATCACCAGAAATGTCGAACAAAAAAATAAAATTTATCATAAATCAATGCTTAGATATATACATTAATCCTCAAAAAAAAACTAAAAAGAAAAAAAAGGGTTCATCGATGAATAAACTGATTGTATGATAGGTGTCAAAGCATCATCATTTAAAGCTCGTGGCCCTTTCCTTGAACGTTGAGATTCGAGCGACAGCAACAAAAAGAAAGCATCACCCCAACCAAGATCTTCTATCAGTAGGACTCTCTGGAGATTCATTCCGAAAGTTCTGCGACGCCTTCTGGCAAGTGGGGAGTTGGAGCAGCCCTGATCGCTCAATGCTCATACGTCCAGATGCTATTCTTGGTTTCTTTCTCTTTTTTGGGTTATGTACGCTGTATAGAAGCATGGGTGAGCAGTACTTTCGAACAATACAATTCAAAAGGCTTTTACAAAATTTTTTTTTGGCTAGTACAAAAAGTGTTTGAATTTAAGTTCATTTTTACAGTCTAATTTTAATACTAGTTACTACTTAACGATTATAATATTATCCTAATTTAATATTTGAAAATTATATACTGTACAGTACATTTATGATTATACCGTAGGCCATTAGACGTGACATCTTTTCATTCTCATTTCCCAACTCTCGATTCTCTCTCTTCCCCTCTCTGTGAATAAGTGGGCATCATCAGTTAGAAACGACAACAATAGCAGCTAACATAGCGTCTAGTTCACCTTCAAAAACCTCCTAGTCCACATGCTCCTCACCTGCAAGCTGTTCACCACCATCTCCAATTATCCCTAAGTTCTTAAAACCTGTTATCACAAGAATCCATGGAGGAAGTCTGGGAAGATATTAGCCTAGCTTCTATAAATGATCATCCTGCAGGCACTGTCATCTCCGAGACAACCAATAATGCTACTTTTCCTAGCACGATCCTTCAAGACTTCTTGGCTAGACCCTTCCACAAAGAACCTCCAAGAAGATCAGGTGTCTCCAACGTCACACCCTTTGCTGAAGAAACCACCCTTTTTAGCTCGCTAGCACCCATCCCTGGCACAATATTGAGCTTGAATTCTGGCTCTGATTTCCAATACATGGAAAGTGGTGATCCTGTGAGGCCAAACCCAGCAGTCAACGCTCGTATTGGTGTTGCAACTCCATCTTTGGGTTCTTCCCTCAACCCTACTTTTCATGTTTTTGGTTCTTCTGCAGTTTCCCCTTCTTTTTGCAAAAAAAGGGCTGAAGAAAATAATGAAAATTCTGACGATCGGCGGCATAAGCGCATGATGAAGAACAGAGAGTCAGCTGAGCGGTCAAGAGCTAGAAAACAGGTGAATCTTTTTGACTCTTACAGTAACATGCAAGGAAAGTAATTAATATAAATTGTGTTAGCTAGTTCTATTAATTTGGCAATTTCTAATGTGCTGGGTTTTTCTTATTCCTATGATTTTTGAGTTCCTCAGGCTTACACAAATGAGTTGGAGCTTGAAGTTGCTCGTTTACTGGAAGAAAATGCTAAACTTAGAAGGCAGCAAGAGAAGGTGATTTATCAGTTTTGCTTGTTTAATTATGTAGTGGTATTTGTGGTTCTAAAAGAGGAAGATACAATTGGTTGATATATTGAATGCGTTTGCATTCTTGTTTAGCAGTTCTTGGCAGCTCCAGCTCAGCGTCCAAAAAAGAATGCTCTAAGTAGAAGTTTAACAGCTCCATTTTGAGAAGAAGGCAGCCATTTCCTCTTTTGTCCGTTTTTTTTGCCTTTTTTTCCTTCTGTCATCCAGTTGACCCGCTCATAAGTACTCCGTTAGAGGTGGATGAAAAGGTCTTTAGAACTGGCCATGAAATTTGGTTGTATAAATACATATCAATCTCTGTCAAATGGGCAATCGTTGGTGGGTTTTGTGTTATACTTTTTATATTTATTACTATTGTTCCTTGATCCTTGTCTTCTTCTTTATGTTTGGTTTATCTTCTGCCAATGAGGACGAGGTCTTTCCATGGAAAGATCAATACATAAAGGGTAAGAACCTAGGTATTTTGTTTGCCTAATAAAGATTTGGCAGTATTAATTATCAATGATGGGACGTGGTTTATTGGGTATCAATGTCACCTCTTCTTCCTAACCTTATCTCCACCCCTTCTCTACTCTTGTTTCACTCTCCCTTCCTTATGTCATTGCTCAGTCCTTCCCAATCAAAATTGGCCATACTGCATCTTGATTTGAAAACTTTTTCTAATCCTTGCATTATTGGAGGAAGCAGAGAGTGGCTGACGAGAGGAGAGGAGGGGAGTTTGATGGTCTATGCCTAATAAATTAAGTGGGAACAAAAGTTTGTTGCATCTTTCCATGGATGGGTTGTCCACATTTGAAAAAAATTAATCACTTGTCACTGTTTGATGATTATAATTAGTAATGCCTAATGAATATCTCACGATGTTTGTTTTTTTGTCAAAAAGCTAATAGCTCCTGTTGGACAATCATGCTGAAGTCGAGCCAATCACCTTTTTCTTTTATATCTTATGCTGATGTTTTTAGGTCCAATGGAGGAAGAAAATTCTAGTAAAAGCCCAAAACCTTTAAGTTTGAGCCTCGCTTTTGTTTGGTGTTATTCTTCAATTGTTTGTCGATGTGGGAACTACCCATTGCCATTGGACTAAGATCGAGCCTGATGTCATCCGCTCCAAAAGTATCTTTATTTTTTTTCTTTTTATTTTTCGATAATTTATCCCTAAAGTGGGCCCTCCATTTATTCGACCCAAATTATACCTTGGAACACAATGAAAACGAGCTTATGGGACTTTGCTTTATTGATTTGGGCCCACTAACCACGTGATTGCCGGCCCATTCGCTGGCAAAAGAAAGTCATCGGAGAATCACTGTACTAGCCTTTTTTACCTTCATTTGTAACAACTTTTCTTGATGCTTATATTGGAAACTGCCTAGGATATTTTATCTGCGCTGGATTTTTGTTAGGAGCTATTGTAAAGAAAGATATGATATTTTGACTAGTATTTTGATACTAGGTGGCTAATGGGGTTTCATAATCATTTCATATAGATTGATGAGAAAGAAAGAGATGAAAGAAGACAAAAGAAATTTAGGTTTCAAAAGTGGTAATTTTCTTCATGGTGATGTCACCTTTCAATTATTATCACGTCCTTTGAAATCCTCTTTTCATGGTGAAGAACAATTCACCCAACAAAAATGTTTTGCAATCTCTGTTCTAAAATTCCACAAATGGACAAACAGCAACTTTAAGATTCAGACACACTTTTTGTTTTTTATTTATATATGTAATTTAATTATGCTACTTTTCCAACTATACATGAATTATACTTGTAAGAATTTAAGGTACATGTTTTGTTCATTTTATTTGTATTAATCTTCACTATTGAATTTTCGTGAATATAATAATACTTGACATAAGTATATAAGATTGTATATAACAATTTTAGTGAATTTAATGCACTTCTGGCACATTTGCCATTATGAAGATCAGTTCAAGGGATGGTGCTAAGGCTTTCTCCCACGTCAACTCAACAAAGTGATACAGCAACTCATCTCAAATGGAGCTCGAGGCTCTGAATCCATTCATGTTTTTGAGATTTGTGTATATCAAGTTGGCACAATCTTGCCTACGACAGCACCAACAAAGTATAAACCAGCACCTAACATAGCATATTTCTCATCTAGAGGTCCTTCAACCATCCCTAAGAATATTCTCAAGGCAAATCCTCTTCAATTTTACAGAACTTATTTCTTCCTAAGCTGATATTGATAAAGTTATATGATTGAATGTCTTGCAGCACCTGGAGTTGACAGTCTTGCAGTGTGGATAGGGTCTGACATAGTTGAGGTTCCTAAAGGCAAAGACCCGCCACTTTATAAAGTGATCTCAGAAAAATTCCATGGCATGCATGCCCACATGTTTCTGGGATTGGCACCACAGTCAAATCAAGAAACCCTATATGAAGTCCCTCTGTAATCAGGTCAGCCATTATGACAAGAAGTGAGGAACTGACAAGCAAAATGACACTTACATTTACATGGCTAAGTCTGGTTTTCGACCAATCTATGACAGCATTCAACCGATTTACAGCAACTCAAATAAATAATTTGAAAGCCCCAATTACGATTGAGAAAGGTATAGCAGCTACATCTTATGATTTCGGTGCAGGGGAGTTAACAGGACCAGGTAAAGCATTGATCTTATTAATTATCCATAAATAGTGATTTCCAATTTCAATGAAATAGCAGGCAGGAAAGTTGACAGAACCCTTACAAATGTTGCCAAGATGCTAAAACAGGAGATGTTGCAGGCCTAGATGTTCAAGCGGTCCCAGGCAAACTGCAATTCAAGAACAATGGTGAGAAGTCATCTTACCAAGCGAGCTGCTCAGTCACATATCCCCTTAAAAAGGATGGTATTTGGATCCAAGACATGGTCATACGGAAAATACGAAGTAGAAATCCATTTTCTATAAGCAGTAAAAACGGTAACTAGGTGCTACTACGATGAAACTCAAGTTTCAGGCTCATGCGGCATCAAGATTTGAGAATAGAATTATTCGATATTTTAGATTAGTTTAATTATTATGGTTCACATTAATTTGTGACGTATTATTCATTTTAATCCTTTTAATCTCACGGTTTTATCTCACAAAAAATATTTTACAAAGAGAAGGTAGTGTGAATCTTTATATCTCTGATACCACTTGTCAGAGCTAAGACTTGAGCTCCACACTCATGCAACACTAAAACCCGAATATAAACTCATCCGACATCTCAAATCAGTTTAACTATCACGGTTCATAACAACTTGTGAGATATTATACGCTTCGACCTCCTTGACCTTATGATTTTATCATACAAAAGATATCTCACATAAAAAAAATGTGAACCCTTATATCTTATGATTAACTTTAATACACAGATAATATGTAATTCGTGACTTTGTTTTTTAGGACTGTGACACTACAATCTTAATAATATTAGGCTTGCCTTGAATCTCGTAACTTTATATTGAAAGTTGAATAAAATTATAAAAATTGAGAGTTTAACTTGTATTTCACATCAAAAATTTAATAAAAATATAAAGAATTTCACTTTTATACTTAAGATATTTAGGTTTTAATTTGATATTTTTCGATAGTTAAACAACAAAAAAATAATTGAATAAGTAGGTTATTAAAAATATATTATTAAGTTTTAGGTTAAATTTTAAGAAAAAAATTTTTGATGATTTTTTTTATTTCTAAAAATCTGTAAAGATTTATTTATCAATTGATTGAATTTAAAATAAATCATTTTAAATTAAACTAAAATATTTATATTTGTGTATTTTTATTTTCGTTTTAAACATACTCTATTATTTATATGTTGATGCTGCACATGGTGTTGATTTCCCTATAAATAAGCATCGAGTAATGTGTACAACATACATAAGAAAACTGCAGATCTCAATCCTACTGTATATATGATTAAAAGCTCTTTCACCTTTACACTATATTTGGGTCGCAGGAAAAGGAAAGAAAAGAAAATAAAGAAAAGTAACGAAAACAAAAAAAAATAATTATTTAGATAAATTTTTAATTTAAAATAAAAAAATTAATAATCTTTAATTTTTTGTAATTTTTATTTTTTTAATACTCTAATTTGAAAAAAAAAATAAAGAAAAAATGTTAAAAATTTTTATTTTTATAAAAAAAATTTATTATATCAAAAAATACTCTAAAATTATAGACAATGAAATATTATAATTAAAAAAAATTATTCTAATAAATCATTTTTTACTCAAATAATGATTATTAAATTTTTTTATTAATTTTAATTATTCAAATAAAAAATATTTTTTTATTTTTTTATTAATATTTATCTAAGTATCGCGTTAATTTAACGTAATCTTCCCTATTCTCCCTATATGTTCCAAATCAATGCATGTAAAACCGCATCGAAGAAACAGATAATAATTAATCATATATTAACATTAGAACGGTAAGACAAGACATACCGTTTTGGCTGTTAGTTCGTCCAATCCTGAACCAGCTGAAGCAAAGCATACGCCAGTTGCAAGATCTTCCCTTGGAAGATTTGGGTCAAGATATGCTGGCAATGGAAATTTAATTCCCAAACCTTCCGTTGTTAAAGGCAGTAAACACAAAATTGAAATTTGCCTACCTTTCATTGTTAAGGTTCAAATGTGAGTGTAATATATCTCATATAAGTTGAACGCGGGATTAAAAGTGACAAATTATTAGCTTGACTTTGAGTTCAAGTGGTGTCTTTCAATGTGTTCTCGTGGCCTCAAGGATTGGAGTCTAGTTTGACGATCACAGATAGGATCAGATAAAGAACAATGAAACTGTGAGGCACTTTAAATAACCTGTTTTATGTCGGGAATTAATAGTTTGTTTTATATATAACCAAAAGGCTTAAAGTTTTATAAATAAAGATGTCACTGGCAAAACAAAATAATTAACAACTCAAGAAAGTAATGAAAGGGTTGTTTTTACGTGTAAGCAGAAGAGTAAATTATAAACTACCTATTAAGTTAGATAAAACTAATCCATTCCCATATCTTCCTGTTGCTTTTCCTCCAGCAAAGTCTCGTCCATTGGGAGGTAAATTGGCTCTTGTCATTGTAAAAAGCCAGTTGTTGTTACCCGTATCCAGTATTGAATCTCCAAATGCTATAAGAGCTGGAAATGTTTGACTTGGAGACTCCAACATCTCATGTGCTGGCTTCTACAGCAAACAAGAATAACACATAATGCAAGCACAATATTTGATGAAGCATGTCATAACGATTAGTTTGGAAAAACTTATTCATTAGACACAAAAATCATGAAGTTGTTATCAATTTTTTTATCTAAGTATGATTGGTTATTTATGTGAATTTATCATTTCTAAGATTATCTTAAGTGTAAACTAAATATCCTTAAAAAGAATAAGTTCTAGTATACATCATCAGAACTAAGGTTCGAGAGTCGATTATTAACACTCTTTTTACCTCCAAAATTGATACCAAGTTAATCATGTGTTATCTTACTTAAGCCTTATCAAAAATGATTTTATCATGTAAATCATCAATTCCAATCATTTTATTTATTTATAAAAAATGGTAGTATAAAAATTCTTTCAAAATATCAAGCATTCATGCAATAAATATTAAATCATTTCATGCAAAAATTACATGCAATATAATACTATAAAATCATATCAAATATCTTGTAATAATATTATGCCTAGATCATGCTAAAATATTCATGCAAGAATGTCATGCAAATATATTAATTATCATGTAATAACAACAATCATGTAAATATATTATTATGCAATAATATAAAATACCATATAAATATATAAAATACCATGCAAATATGTAATCATGAAATTAAATATAATCACAAAAATATATTAGTAATTAAATATAATCATGCAATTATGCACACAATAAATATAAAAACATGCAATTAGATATCATTCAAATAGAATATTAATCATGTAATAACATATAATATCATATCATGTAATAAATATAAAATCATGCAACAATAAATAAATAAATAACTATGCAAATAAATATATTAATAATCATACAATCACATAATAAATAAATAAATAATCATGTAATTAATAATGTAAATCATGCAATTAAACATATAATCATGCAAATAAAAATATATAAACCATGCAAATAAATATGCAATTAAATATATAATCAAGCAAATAGTAATATATAAACCATACAAATAAACATGTAATTAAATACATAATCATGCAAATAATAATATATATAAATGATGCAAATAAACATGCAATTAAATATATAATCATGCAAATAAATATATTAAGCAAATAAATTATCATACAAATATAATATTAGTCATGCAAATTCATACAAAAGTAAATACCATGCAATAAATATAAAAATAAGAGTAAGCAATTAAATATTATAAAAGTTATGTAAGAATAAAAAAAAATGAAAGTAAACATTATCTCAATAGATCACGGATTTCAATAATTTTTTACCTTTAAAAAACTTATACTTCTTACGATAAATCTTAACCTTCTTTCCAAAAACTTTAACTAGATCTTCTTGCAATTTTTTTTTTTTTTTTGCTTGATTGCTTCTTCTTTATTGATTCAAAACTTTGCCCAAATTTTCTCTTTTTTCAATAACTTATGTTTGATCTTAAAGTAAATTACTATTAGGCTCCCCTTTTGATCCCAGATTTAATGTCCTAATATAGGGATTGAATCATTTTCGATTTGTAAGGAATTAATTCAACCAAATTTAAAATTTTTCTCCTAAGTTTATTCTCTGTGTAATCTTTTCCTTTTCAATAGATTGACTTATAAGTCTTTTCAAAATTATTCAACCATTAAAATTAAAATTTGAGGTAGAATCCAAGAGTTGAATTGAATCCAAGACTTTTAATGCAAAATCTTACTTTTTTTTATTTTTACTTTTTTTTTTACCAATTGTTTTTGACTCTTTTGACTAAAAAAATAAAATTTAAATCAAAAATTAAATTAAAAAATTTAAATTTAAATAAAATTTAGAACTTAATCTTTGAGTCCATAACTCACTTTTTTAATTAAGACTCAATTGCACAATCAAAATTAAAATTTAAAACCCAATAAATTTAAAAAACTCTCCAAATAAAATAAAATGTCTACAAAACATATGGCATTTTCCAAAAATAAAAAAGAAACTTCAAATTCCAAGTGACTTATGATGTTATGTTTGTATAGAGTCTGGTATTTTTGTTTCTGGCACCCTTATATATCTAGGGTACCAAGCAATTGTAATGAAGGTTAAAAAAAGGCACCTTCTCTTATTTTTGGTCATTGATTACTTGTGATTCCCAACAATAAATCTAAAGCTGAATTTTCGGGGATGCCAAAAGGCATGTTCTTTATTACATTTTCAAAGTATAACTTTTCCTATTAGTTATACAAGTTAAGGATTTAAAGATAACTTTTAACTTACAGAGAGATGGAAAGAAGGTTCCATGTTCATCAGTCATTTGAAGGTGAAAAATGCTTGAATGTGAAGTGAACAGAGATTAACTCCTCTCAAGTTCTTGAAATAGATTAGCCATGGGAATTGCTTAAGTTGGAATTGATGCAATGCTGGGTATTTTTTGTATCACGTCGTTTTCTCTTCTATCTTTTCGAATTGTTGCAACTTTTGTTCTCTTAATTTGTTTTCCACTCTCTATAAAATAAAAAGGAAAAAGAATGTTTAATTTTCAACCTGAAAACCTAATATTTTTGGTTTGCTACATTTCCTGCCAAGTCCTCTGGCTGCTTTACATGATGACATTTACGACAAAAGGCTGGAACAGCAATGTTAACCTTCTAGCTTGCCCATTACATGGCCCATCATCCTAAACCAATTTATCTAAAGTTAGCTCTTAAATTGGAAACAGATATACTTTTATTTTTCCTAACAAAAAGAGTTTTCCTGCTGAAAAAGTGTTGGACATTACCTAAAAATATTTCATACTAATGCAATATCCAAGTGGGCAAAAAAAAAAAAAAAGCTCTTAACTTAATGAAGATCATATATATTAACTGAAAAAAATCTTTTTAATTAAAATAACTTACTAATTACTATTGATTAATGTTCATGGGTACTATTACTTAGTATTCATGGGAATAAATAACAGATAAATTATCATTTTCTCAATATATAAAATGAAAATTACATAATTATTAATAACTTAATCAGACTTGAATAAATTATAGACAATATATGGTCACAAATCCTCAAAGACCATCTTTTTATGGGGTAAAAAAAACAAAGAGAAACAGAGAGCTTTCAATTTGTTATCTTCATAATTTGAGATTTGCCTCAGAAGAATTTGCTCATACATTTCTGAAGGACTATGGCTACCAGCGTTCTGTATGCCCTCTCCGTTGGATGATAACTGTGCCAAAAAATATATTTAGAGACATCCGTACATGTTGATGGACTCAATTTATTGCACAAAACTGCCACCTCTATGTTCCCCGTACCACAGCAACCTTTATTTGCAACTTCATAGCCTGAAAATACCAAAATTTGAAAGGTTTTTAACGACTGTAAACTGGAGTCCAATTCAATTTCCTGGCATAAATTCAAGAAAAGAAATATTGTACGTCTAATTATTACCATATTTTTTAGGGTTTTCAATAAGATCAAGCAGAGGATTATAGACATCTATGTACGCAAATTTTCCATCGGGCAGGCTTGTTTGGAGGGAATCCAAAACAGCATATAGCTTCTTGTTGAATAATCTTGCTGCTACGTTGTAATCGTCTGCACATTCCCTTTCAATTCCTCCTGCTAAAGTTCTTTGTGATGGTACACAGCCGATTGGTGGTGTAGTAAAAACCGCAATTCTTCGTGCTCCCAAAGCATATAGCTCCTTCATTCCAACATCATATATAAACTCAATAAATTAAACAGTAAATTCAATTTGTTGCAAAAGAAATTAATAAGTACTGTGGCATTGAAGGCTTAATTACCTTTAAAAAGTCAGTGGCCGAGTTAACCATTAAATCAGTATAAGCTGGAATATCGTACTGCAACTTCCTGGCACGGAGAACAAAATATGTATTGGCAATGTCGTCGGTGCCGGCTACAACTAGAAACAGACTTTTGGCGAAGATGAAATTTGTCTCTCTTCTCCAACAAGAGCTTTCAGCTTCCCTATGTATTCTTTGAAGTGATTTAACTGGTCTGACAACGGTATAACGGACTGGTATTTTGGACAAAGGTAAAAGAGAATTGGTGAGAAGAAAAAGTGGTGTTTTACATTTGAAGCAGGTAAAAGAAAAACAGTAAGGACAAGAAATTATGTACCGCTAGTTTGGGAGTCAAAGGATCATATCCAGTGCCACCAGAAGCAAAAGTTACTCCTGTTATGAGATCTTGGGGTTTCAATGTTGGATCCAGATATGCTGGCACAGTATCTTTAATTGCCAAATCTTCAGCTAAAAAGAATTGAACAAAGAAAAAAAAAATTAGGATTGATGAATTGGAAAGTGAAATGTATATTAATTGATTTGAATCTATAAAGACAATGACAAGGCTATTTTCTCTCTCTACAACTGCAAAACCATTAACATACTGTATATAAAATGAAACCCTGGTATGTATAACCCAATGATTCAAATTTCTGTACTTGTTTATTACGTAACAACGAAAATTTTTATATAATTTGAGTCAAATTAAATGATTGCTATATTCTGAAATTATGTACTTCGATTATGCAGGTGGAGTCGGGATGTCCTCTTTTTTTTTTTTCTTTATCTTTTATAATTTCCTTTTGCATTGGAGATGAAGGCAGGCAAACTCAGAAGAACTTTAAAAATTAAAGAAAATAAAGAACTCATTACTAGATTAAGATTTATGTATGAAAACTAGCTTTGTTTTCCTTCCCATTTTGAAGTACTATCACATATTTTATATATATAGTTTGTCAAGTGTTAACCCAACACATATTTTTCAGTTTGATTTTCTCTTAGATAAAGGAAGCTTTCAAAACTTGGTTGCAATACTTAAACAAGAAGATCAAGAGAGATTTCATGATAAAGTATACTACCAACTAAATCTGAAGAGATTTTTCCATTGCAAAACCTTCCTGTTGGAACTCCCCCATCAAAATCTTGCCCAAAGGGGAGGAAATTGCACCTAATCAGAGTCTGAAGATCGTTGTTTCCAGCGTCAACAATCGAATCCCCGAAGACAATGACAGCAGGAACCGTTTCATTTGGTGGTAGCTTTACTAAAGCCTTGGTACTGATAAAAAGTGCAAAAACCAAAAGATGAGGCAGCAAAAAGGCTAAGGAAGAAGAAGATAATCAGATGATCAAAACAGATATAGGTATTATGAATAATGATTCAAATCCCCTAAGAGATATGTTTGAGATTTGTTAAAGATTTTTTTAGGATTGGCAAGATATTATGGACAAGAAGACTTGCAAAAGAAGAATTATAAGGGAAATAGGATTCTTAATATACAAGTTCATATGATTATAAATAAGTGAAATCTTTATAGGGTTAGATATGAGAAAAAAATGTAAGAAAGTTGTAGGGTTTTGTGAAATAGACATCCCATAGGAGTACTGAGATTTTACGTCTTATAGGTATGTTTACGTCTTATGGGTGTATATGTTTGTTTATGAGTGAGACTAGAAGAAACTAAAAGGGTCTACATAGGTATGGTGCATGGAAGTGGACTAGAGGAGACTAAAATGGTCCACATAGATATGATGTATGGGTATATATGGGTATGTATTTATTTGTGTTGAAATGATGCACATGGGTTTGTGTTTTGATTGAGTTGAGAATACTTTATAGGACTATAGAAGATTGAGAGTGTCTTATGAGTATTGATTGTTGAGAGGTTGTTGATTTGGTTTGTATGTTTGTAATTTCTACAACTAGTGAATCTTATTTTCATCCATGAACGTAGGTTGATTGGACCAAACTATGTTAAATTGTTATCTATTGTGTATTTGATTTATTGTTTGATTATGCTTCTACTGGTGTGATTGGATTGAGGTTTTTTAGCCTAACAAGTGGTATCAAACTTATGATGTTCCTAAAAAGTGGTATCAGAGCCGAAAGTTCAAGAGGTGGGAAGAGCATGGTTTGAGACATGAGAAGAGGCAAGCTTAGAGGAGTTCAATTCAAAGAAAAAGTTCAAGTCGTGTTTTGAAGATCGATTTGCATGAAACGTAAAAGCACACAAGAAAATTATTGTGAGACTTCCATTGCAGGTAAAGTCAGGCATGTCTAGCATAGAAACAGATGATTAATGAAATTTGAGTCAAGATAGAGATTGTTAGTAATAATGACTTAAATCTCATAGGAGATCTGTTTGGGATTTGTTAGATATTTTGTTAGGATTAGCCAGATATTACTTGATGGACAAGAAGACTTGCAAAAAAAGAATTCTAAAGAAATGAAGATTCTTAATAGACAAGTTTGACTGACAGAAGAAGAATTTGAAGAGAAAATAGATTCTTAATAGGCAAATTTATATGATTATAAATAAGTGAAGTCTCTATAGGATTAGGTGTGAGAAAAAAATGTAAGAAAGTTATAAGATTTTGTGAGACAGATATCTCATAGAAGTATTAGGGCTTTATGTCTTATAGGTGTGTATGTTTGTTTGTGAGTGGACTAAAGAGACTAAAAGGGTTCACATAGGTATGGTGCATGAAAGTGGACTAGAAGAGACTGAAAGGATCCACATAAATATGATGTATGAGTATATATGGGTATGCATTTGTTTATGTTGAAAAGGTGCACATGGGTTTGTGTTTTGATTGAGTTGAAAATACTTTATAGGATTAAAGGATATTGAGAGTGTCTTATGAGTATTGATTGTTAAGAGGTTGTTGATTTGATTTGTATGTTTGTAATTCTTTATAATTAGTGAATCTTGTTTCTCATCCATGGATGTAAGTCGATTGGACCGAACCACGTTAAATTGTTATCTATTGTGTGTTTAATTCATTGTTTGATTATGCTTTCGCTGGTTTAATTGGATTGAGTCTTTTTAGCTTAACAAGTGATATCAAAGCTATAATGATCCCTAACAATAAGATCTTAAGAAATTTTTTTTATATATTCAACTTAATTAGGTGAACGAACAAAGGGAAGAATCGAAGAGGATGGTTTGTCTTCCCACTCATCTCTCTTAGCTTATTTATACATGCAAATGGGAGAATTACATTCAATGCTCAGGCATGATATAAGAAATAGGAGGGATCCTAGTGGAAATTCATTTTCGTAAAGCACAGGCAACTTTGTTAAGTAGTATGCTATCATAAATATTAAAACTCCTTTTCCTCATTTTTTTTAAAACAAAAAATAATGAATTTCGAGTCGAAAATATTTGTTACTAAAAATCTGAAACAAATAATTAACCAACACACAATGATAATTAATCAGAGTCCTATATTCATATTTAATTATTCATTACTCATGATTGATTATACTCTAAATTGTTCTTAATCAATATGATGACTTACATGGTAGCTTTATGAACCAAAACCAGGTTTTGTGTATTCAGTGAGATATATATGGGAAAAAGAATAAATAAAAAAGATAAGGCAAATTTAAGGGCCCCAAATTTAGCCATTAGCCACAGGATATAAAGGGCAAATTATCGTCCCAATCCACTACCGCTAACTGCCCTTAATCACTCCTTGCCTCTTCCAATTTTTTTTTTTCTTCTTTTGTACATCCGTCGAGCTCAAGCACCTTAACATTTGGGTCTTACGGCACTTTTTCCTTTATGACTTCAACTTCGTCTATAATAAGGGAAAAATAAACGATCATTAACAAATCGGTATTACAGTATAAGGATTAAAGTTTTATTTTTAAAAAGCGATAATATATAAGCATAAAAAAAATTAAAATTACAAGAGTTATAATGATTCATTCTTGAGGTGAGAGTTACAATCACTAGTAATCGTCGTAAATTTTTTTACTATAAAAAAATTATACAATATGACAATAAACCGAATTTATTTTGTATAGAAACAATTTACATCAAGATAATAATTAATTTTTACTCATATAAACACATTGTAATGGGGATGTAGCAAGCAAGCTAGATGGAGACTCAAATTATTCTTCACTATAAACTCTAAACTCTCTTTAGTTGCTAATAGTTTATATGTATATATATATACTTTTAACCTCTTAACTTCAATCTATTTAACTCATCCGATAAAATATTATACTTTTAAATCTTCTTAAATTTATAATTTTAAAAAATCTATCCAATGTATCTCAACTGAGCATGACCTTTAGCTCAGTTGACTAGTAGCTACTAGTTTATTGTTACAGTAACACTAGCATTTTTTATGATGCTTCCAAATTAAGATTTCCTTGCGGAATCAATGACAGAAAGGCAGCAAATTCTTCATTAATATAACTTATATGCAAGGAATTAGTCCTATGCGATGGCTTTCTTATTAATTATGGATTGATTCTATCTAAAGCATTCATCAGTAATACACAAATTCAATGCATTATGATCAATTACGTATATATTTTCCTAACAAAATTTTTTCCCCGACCTTCGTTTGTCTCCATTCGTTTTAATCTTATCATGGAAATCTTGGTGTGGATCATTAATTTTCACTCAAAACACCTTTTTTTCTATGGTTCCTTTTTTTTTTTTTTTTGTTGGCTTGAAGAGGGGGAGAGGGGGGTTGGATGGGGTTCAATTTTTAAAAGCAACAATGTATACTACAAATTATTATTACAGGTTAATTTACAGCTATAGAAATATGGGACTGGCATTAAACAATAAAGAAATCTATTCCCAGCCAAGCCAACAAAAAGAGAAACAAAAGAAGTTAGTCTGATAAAGCAGAAGGATAAGCATTTACCAACTAAACATAGTTTTAAAGCATATATATATTCAAGACAAACAATTGATCTCCTTTAAGACGACTGAAGCCACATATCTGTGACAGATGGAGAGATTGTTTTGAACCGAGTAAAAATGTGAATGGCTGGTGACAGAAAGGTTTGATGATCTCGTGTCAATGTGGCTTTTACTTCATGCAGGTTGGTGGTCTACCCTGCATGAAAGGCAATCCCCTCTCAAAAACTTCAGTAATGGAAAAAACGAATTCTAATTTTCAAAAGATTAACTCCCAAAGAGATACTTCATTTCATCAATGGCTTGCACATATGTCTACCACTACAGGAGTTTGGATCTTTAGTGGTGTTTTTTTAACGTTTAGTGATATTTATAAACATTAATAAAATATTTATAATGTTTACCAAAAATGTCACAAGAGTATCAACTATACCTACGTTGAGAAAAATAACGATATTTTATAAGAAATATCGCTAATTTAGCGGCGTCTATAAGCATAATCACCGCTAATTTAATGACATTTGCATTAGATAAATACCATTAATTTAGTAACGTTTATATCATAAAACGTCGCTCTATTTAATAGCGTTTATAAGAACAATCACTAGCGGTGTTTATATAAAAAAAACACCACTAAATTAACAACATTTTATGATACAAACGCTGTTAATTTAACAGCATACCTTACCTTTGTTTGGTGAACAACAAGAACTGACTCTTAGATAATTACTATTCATATAAATCTTAATTTGGATCATTACAACTATTCATATATATATATATATATGTTAGAAAATTTAAGAAAATAAAAATAATAAAAAAGAAGAAATATGATTTTGAGACGTAAATAACATTATTTAAAGGCAATTATACTTATAAGATACAATAAAACCTTAAAAAACTTTTTAAATCAAAAGTAGTGAAATTGGTCAAACAGAAAAATCTATTTATAATAAATGAATAGTTACCAATCAAATCAATTCAAAAAATCATGATATTTTGTATAATTTTTTTAAAAATAAACTTTATTTAAACAATTATGTTTTCTTGTTTATATATATTTATTCGGATCATCATGTTTTTCTCTGCTCAAAAATGTTTGTTTAGAATTAATAAAATTTTGAAATTAAAAAAATAATAATAAAAATTTTAAAAAATTAAATCTATTTACTTAACAAACCCAAATGCCTCTCTTTCACTTTAAAAATTATTTGACCCACTAAAAAAACTCCTAACAAACCCAAATAGTTTGAGCCACTTCAACATTTAGGTTAATTACTTATATAATATAAATAATCTCTTTTAAATTACATATAAATGATCTTTCTACTCAATATAAGATATATCACATTTTAAACTATCAACAATACATATATATATTGATGATATATGTATTTGACAATAAATTAAATAACTAATTTACGCACCTCAATGAAAAATTAAAACAAAAAGAGCATCTATTTGTATGTAATTAAAAAAAATCATCATTCGTACATTTTGACACAATTATTAGTGTGTGATTTCTTTTTTCAAAGAGTAAAGTTCAAATCTTTGTTTCTTAGTTCAAAAGAAAATTATTCTCACATTACATACTAATCAAAAGTCAATCATTGGCATGAACATTCTCATCTTATTCATTTGATAATTAATGAGTTTAGTTTTAGCATTGAGGTTGCTTAATATAAATTTTTTCCTTTTTCTCATTTTCAATATTTCCACATTGTGGACATCCTTTGGCTAACATTGCTGCCAACATTCAGATATTTTGACCTTCAAATTTTTTTTACCTTTGGGAATTGGGATACCTTCAACTTCAAGAACAAGAGGTTATCCACCTCAAGCTCGCTACAGCTACAGATATACTAGGACTGCAAGCCGTCAAATGGTTCAAAATGTCTCCTCCGATTTGTCATGTGGTTAAATTTAGACATGGCTTCGGTTATTATATGATAAAAATATGGATAACGTTGGACGCAATGATGATGACAACAATGAGCTCAGTATAGTGTTCATTTGCAATGATGATCACTGTGGGCTAATCTTTTATATATGGGTGGCTGTTGTTGGCCATCGAACTGCTTCGGCCGGACCTTTATTTTTTAATTTTCTTTGTTAAAGCGGCAGTCTTGGGCCGCATGAAATCTATTATCCATTCCACATACGCATTTAAACCAAGATTAACATAATCATTATCATTAATTAAAGTTACCTTCTTAAACTAAAAAGGAGAAAGAAAACAAGCACAAAATGGCCAGGGAAACACTCTAGTAATTCTAATAATGATCTGTTAGTTTTTATACAGACATGACTGAGATTCACACAAACTTCAGATACTCAAATAAATTGAAAAGATGACAAGTCAACCAGGTTTTAGTCTTTTAGAACAAAGAAATGGTAATACACAAAACTAATCCATATTATTATTAATAATGAAAACCTCAAGCATGAATGAAATCAACGAGAAATTAATTGAGAAAATTAAGAGCCTTGGTTGGTGATAAAGGCCAAAGATCAATGGGCACTGACAAGGAAAGGATGCTGGCAAACCCCACATTCAATGGTCTCAGAACCCGAGCTGGGAACTTGGACCTGCAATAATTCTCAAATCAGACAAACTGCAACAACATTTGAAAATAAGCTTGCAATCCAGAAATGATGCCACACATGGATTACACACCTGCAAATGAACGGTGCAGGTAGGACACTCAACTTCCTTCATCCGCCTACCAGATCCATCGGACTTGGAGCCTGACAAAATAAAACCGTTTAAGACAGATCAGAGTAATTGTACACTTCCCCTATTTACTAAATGTGCACTAGAACTGATCCAACCACGACTCTTCACCTTGCCAAATTGGTCATGGGGGTTAATCCTATGTGCTTCTATTATTCAAGCAAGGCTTTAAGCTGAACATATATGTAACCTCTTGCATTTTGTTATACTAATAGAATAATGTACATATATATGTATATGCAAGTAACTTCTTTCACAGTAATGAGACAACATTCCGGGTACAAGAAATTACCTGATGATGCTCTGCGATTTTTTTCCATCTCCTCCTGTCATAAGTCATCACAATCAGACAATTAATGGAAATAACTTAGCCAGATTCTCATAATTAATTTATGATCAACACCAAAATCATTAAGTTTATAACAAATGCATACCTGAAGCTTCCTAGCAAGATCCTCATGACTCTGTAATCCAGCAGGTTTACTTGCTGCTTCCTTAGCATTACTCAGCCTCTGAGTCACTTCAGCCTATAACAGAACAATAAGAACAAATGATAAAGAATATCGGCCAAGCCCAACAGAAATTTTACATATGACGATTCCTTTCTCAAGAAAAATGAAATGAAAGGAAAGGAACTATGAACAACATAAACATTCTTTCCTTCTTTCAGCAAACAACTAAGAACAAATGTTCATTCTTTCCAGCACTCAACCTTCCTTGAACTGCCTAATCAAATTCAGTTGCCTCAACCACTTAACAGAGTTCTATAACCACTACACACAAAAGCTTTAAAGAGTCGGGAAAATATTTCTTGGTAAACCACAGGAAAAAAGATACTAGTTAACCTTCATGGCTCTGCCATAGGTCAGACACCAGACATAAATGCCTTACTCTTGTGCTAAGTTCTGAAAACCATAAACAGGAGAAACCATCACAGAAACTATTTTGCTATGATAGTGGGTGAGAAACAGATTGATAAGCATACCATGCATCGGTCACAAACCCTAACTGGTTGAGAATTCTCATCAGCATTTAGAGCGATTCTACCATGGGTACACTTGTCACAGAAAATGTCCCCACAGTTCCTGCAGTGGTGCTGAAAAGAGAGGACAAAGAGCATTAAATTTAAATGATAAAGAAAGGCAAGCAGGGAACCTTTTTCATAAACTGTGGGAATGATGTACCTTGCGCACAAAAGCCCCAAAATCAGTTCCACATGCAGTGCACTTTGAAACAGCTTCATCAGGGACCTAACCAGAAAAAGAATATATAGATAAGCCAGACGGATTGAAAAAAAAATGAGTGGATGGTTATCAGAAAGGACATCATTAAGGCAAACAACGCAATTGCTTGATACAATATGTGGTGGCCCCCGGACATAGAAAAAAAAAAGAAAGAAAATTAGAAAACATTTGAACTAATTATTATAACCCATAAATGAATTTTATATATTCGAAAGCCTGCTCCCAATAGCAACTATGAAATCCACACTCTACAAAGTTAGAGTAGACATCAGATATAAAAAAGGGGTCTAGCACCTCCTCTTCCCCAATCACCAAACTTTTAAATATGCTTTTATTTGACCTGCAATTTGCAGAAGAAAGAAAAACAAAAAATATCTTCCTTAGAACTCTAATTTTTACCCAATAATCTTTCTCCTCAATGCCAGGCTTTATCAAGTTCATCCAATCAGCAAATCCTTTTTTCTTTTCTGCAGGTTGTTCAATAGTCTTTAGAGATTCAGGGGGCCGACTTCTCACACCCATCTCCTTGATCTGCAATCAGAAGGGGAAAGAATGCGGTCATCAAGAAACATCCAACTTACACATGCAAAGGCATACACATCTTATGTAATAATCAGAGGACAAGAAATGAAAAAGAATCAATTCATACAAGTTTGAGGATTGAGACGAAAGAAAACAACAAAGAATCAGAAGAAAAACATTTTGACCCTCAAACACACGAAATGCACATAAGCCTACAGACTACAGGCTACAGGCTACAGGCTACAGGCACCTGATAACAGCAGCATGACAATCCTCCATATATTTCACATGACTAAGAGGCTAATTATTTTACAAATATAGAGCACTGTGAATAAACTACATTTTTTCCATTGCACTTTTGGCTCTCTTCTGATAGGCACTTACGTCAAATTCCTAATGGCCATTTCAAGGGAAATGAAATTATTCCTGCAGATTATATTTTTCTAAAGCTAGAAAAAACCATGCACAATGATACTTCATTATGTTCCTCCTCCTGACACCTGAACAGAGATGAATTGATTTTGTGCATGTGTCTTTCTGCAAATAAACAAATTAATTACCACATCTGTATTCACTCTTTTAAGTCAGTTTTAGTCCATTTGCAACTATGCTGAATCCATCCAAAGTATAACTCTAGATTCCACACTAAGAATGAAGAAAACCAACTTCATGATATATACAACTACGAGCAACGACTTTTTTTTCTAAATGCACAATTGAAACATTATAGGTATGGATTGAGAATATACTAACCAAAACCTCTTCCACCACCCCCAACAGAAGTAGGTAGACAATGATTAAACAGTTAAATCTCATCAGAAATTAAGAAAGTTATAATTCTATGACACTAACCTGTACAGTTGCAGCTGTTACAATATCCAGAAGGGTGTTTGTCGTGTAACTGTTTGATTGCAACCTGATCCGTCTTGGTTCAATGTCAACAGAGCTCTTGGACCAGAATGCCAATGTAGATGAGTCCATCACCTACATTAGAAGAAAATATATTTTTTATTGCAATGCCAATCATTAACAGAAAGAAAAAAAACATAAGGGGAAGGAAGAAAATTAAAAACCATACTGGGCAACTTACTTCACATCTTGTGATGCTCTCTAGAGGATATATTCTCAACGTTCGACTGGTACCAGGGTCAAGCATTCGGATACCATCTAAACCAATCTGACACCAGAAAATTAAGCTATATCACGAGTTCAAAGTACTGGATGATATATAAGGGGACTAGCGTACACAATTATCCATTAATAATATCAATAAGAACTACAATGTTGATAAACCATACAGAACTACAAAAACCTTCAAAGCATTTTAACCATTCAGTTCATATGCACGCATAATTCAACATAGTTGAACTTAGATGCCAGAAACTTCATCTCTCCAACCAAAAGAAAACCTATAAATTACCTGGCAAAGTATATCCATAGGGCCATGTCCTCCACCTTCAGACAACAACTTAACCCGAAACTTCTGGACCCCACTCTTTACATCTTGCTGGGTCTCTGCCTTTGGAACCGCCTTCACCATCTTAACAGAAGCAGAAGCAGAAGCTGAAGCTGAACCTGACCCACCCGACGAGTCCTTACCAGAAGGGAAATTAATAGACCGCCCATAATCATCGAATTGAACCCAAGTCGACGATTTTGGAGCTGTGCCACGTGCCCCATATGGCTCCACCTTTCCTCCTTCATAAGCATAAACCCCGTCACCGTATCCACCATCATCACCGAACCGTGAATAGCTATCTGATCGCTTACCATAGAGATCGGATCCCATATCGGATCTGCTCCGGTTATAGCCTGCTCCGAATTTATCGTCGAAATAACTGCCCCCACTGTGATCTAATTTCATCGAATTATCATAGGGGTTGTCGTATGCAGGAGGGACAGTGGATACTGATGATCCTATTTGGCTATATGGGGCTGAATAGTAAGGCGGATTAGGGTTGAGATTAGGTTTTGGCGGAATAGGGCCATAGCTAGAAGTTGTCTGATGCTGATCATAAGGCTGGTAATAAGTTGGCTGGGAAGTCGGTGGCTGAGAGGGAACATGTGAATCATAAGACTGGAAAGAAGGAGCAGCGGCTGCCGACGTTGGCGCGATGGGTTGCTGATTGAAAGACGATTGCGAAGTTAGCGTCGGTGCCGGTGCAGGAGCGTAAGAGGGAGCGGTGGGAGGGACGGGATCAGGATTTTGGGAATAGGGAGGGTAATTTGGGGAATAAGCGGAGTAATCGGAGGAGGCGTAACCGGAGGCAACAGGCGGGGCCGATGCGTAGGGTAGTTGGTGAAATTCGGTGGGGGTTGGACTCGGATTCGTGTTAGGGTTAGGGTTTGAAAGGTGAGGGTATTGATAATAGGAGCTGAAATCTCCTTGTTGCATCGCTGATCTACGAAAATTCTTCTCTGTTTGCTTAGGGAGAATTGGCTGTGGGTAATTCGGCAATGGATTTTCTCTTGATTCCTTCGATTGGGGATGGGGCGAGTCTACGGCGACTCGGAGACAAACAACTTGGGAAAACTTGCTGTACAATCAATGTTTTGAAATTTGGATATTATGGACACGTGGCAAGACCTTTAAGCCCAGCGGCAGTGTAAGAACAGCTGGCCAGCCGTTGGATGATAAGATTCGAGTTTGATTGGCTTGACGCCAACATAGATGGGCCGTTTGGGCTGATGAAGCTTCTAAGGGCTCATAATCAGGGCTACTTTACTAGTCTCCAAGCAACGTTTGTCTTGTAAATTTACCATCACGTCCTTGTCTCTCTCACTAAAAATATGCTAACCAAAGTTGTATTCTCGCAATTTTATACTTTTTTTTGTTTCAACGGGGAGCAAAATCCTATTACAAGGGAAGGAGAAGTTTGGTTCAAAATCAAAATTTTATGACTTTCTCGTAATTAAAAAAAAAAAAAAAAGACCTCTTGCCCTTGAATATGTCATAAACATGGAAGTAAAGTAATGGCTTTTTATTTTATTTTTTGCTAATTAAATAAAAAATTGATACATATAATTAAATGTTCAATCTATAACAAGCACATTTTCTCTTATTTTATGTGATTGGCTCAAGCGTAGGCAATGATTAATTTGTAAATTAAAATCAAGCCTAACTCAAACATTATTTCAATGTAACTTTCTAAAGTATAATTTTAGTATTGAACACTTTGGGTGTATGAATTGGTTTGATATGTATTACATTGTTTAAAATTCAAGTTTAGAAATTAAAACCAAAAATTCAAGTTAAGAAATTAAAACAAAAAATTCAGTTTAGATTAAACATAATATACGAAAAATTATTGTATTTACTGTCAAAAAATTTCTATATTTTATAAACAAATGTGACATATATCCCTTAAATCAATAACTACGCAAATCTATGCTACATGCTATATATAGATTAGATAAGGATTGTATGTCCCATGATCCAAGCCACTCTACACGTTTGGATGATTTTGAAGGTTTTGAATTTAGAGATTGAATCGTGCTTTAATGATCTTTTGATTGGAGGATTTATAGTTTAAGATTTAAGGTACCAAGTTCATTAATTTCTTTTGGTTTGAATATAAGACAACCAACCTCAAAACGTCTACCATCAAGTACTTTGACTTAAAATAATAACAATGTTCTTGCATGATAAATAAATATATTATTGCGTCAATTACTATTTGATTAAAGATATTATTACTTGAAACTGATTTAATCTACTTTACTTGTAATTCCATGTTTTAAATATCTATAATCATAAGAACAGATATAATGTAAAAGAAGTTAAAAATATAATAATAATCATTTAAGCTATTATCATTTTATTATAATCAATTAAATTTATAAATATCTATATTTATAAATTAAACTTTTATTAAATAAAAATTGACTAATAGTCAACATTCATTTTCATCTAATCAAAGATTTAATTATAATAAAAATAGATATTTAAAAGTTCAATTTATTCAAAATAAAAAATTTTGAATTTGATTGATTGTATTTAAATATCAAAAACTAAAAAATTTTGAAATAAAAATTCAATAATTATTTATCAAAAAAAAAGTCGGATCTATTACATAGCTCCAATGATGGGATCGAACCCTACTCTGACCCAATCTTTGGATTGAAACCCAACAGCTAAGCCTTGACGGGTCCATGACTTTCCAAGAAGTGAGGAGCCATGTTGGGCCCAGTCACATAGCCTATCTCCAGCCTAAGATAACCTCCTGTCGCCACCTCACCAAAGGGCTAAAGGCTTTAAACCGGTTTATTTCCTAGTGTTAACCAACAAAAGCGTGAAGTCCAATGGAACAGACCCAAAAAGGGTAGCTGTTTCCCCACAGAAGGTCCCGCGAGATCTCGCCAAAGGCCCAGTTAGAATCCACACGTCATATGAAAGGTGATCCCAGTTGCCCAAACACCTCCTAGCATGCAAAAGCTGGTCCAGTCGTGGATTATTAATAGAGAAAAATATAGCTGAAAAGAAACATGGTTATCAAATTTCGAGGTCTCGATTTGTTTGGAGAGTGAAAGGAAATCTCCCATCCCGATTCCCCATACAAACCCCAGGACATCCCAGAAAATAACCAGTTACTACTCATTTATCATAGTCTCCTCTCCCCCCCCCCCCTCGGAAACGGTTCTCTGATCTTAAACACAGTGTAGGGCCCACTCAATCAGTCTACAGGCCTTCACCCTCGTGGGTCCCGGAACACACTCAAAGCTTTGGGACCCTCCTCCTCTGTTCCACCAGGCTGGAATTCGTAACAAGGAAACAAGTGGATAGTGATTTGCAGATTTTGGTTCAACTTTCTCATACAAGGTTGCAGTAACCAATTTTTAAAAAAGAATTAGAACAAGAACACATGGGGCATGGGATGAGTTTCTTTGAATTTCCTTTCGCCATTTTCTGATATAGGGATTTTTTGCGTATCAGGTATAGTCCAAGAAGCAAAAGTTGTTATTGATGAGTATTTGATGTGGGGTAGGCTCTTGTCTAGAACTCTAGATCAAGGGCCTTATTTAGGCTTCGAGGTTATAGTCAATATCTAGATTTTTTGTTTCTACTCTTTTGACAACTTGTGTCATTTCCATGGATACACTCATTGGATAAAGACAAAACAAGATTTAGGGGCGGTGCAAAGTTCCAGTCCTTAAATATATCAAACTTGGTTATCAAATATTTTCTGCCAGTTAAACTAAACAGTACACTGTTACCGCTGAAACGTGCCGGCATTTCCCGTGAACAAAAAGAGCCGATCCCTAATCGCTGATTAAAGAAATCTAAAAGTTTAAAACAGTATTATTTTTTTTTTGTTGTCCTGCAATCAGGGAACTGGTAATTAACCCGGAAGCGGAAAAAGTTGAAAGATACGCACCAAACCGATACTGTCATCATTTCAGGTCTCATACGGGTCGTAGAGTCGACGAAAAAAATAAAGTAAAATAAAATAAAATAAAAAAAAGGAAATGGAGATCTTCTAACATAGACCCGGAAAAGCAAATAGAAAACGCAAACACGATGATGACAGCACAGGTATCAGCAAGTGTTGCCTCCCCAAAAAAATATTTCCCTAAGCATTTCTTTTCTTTACTTGCTTGGTGCCTTTCTTGTTAGACCCAAAAAACCTTTATGCTTGCGTCCTTTACAGATTTACAGACAGGACAAGAATCAAGAAAAGCTTCACAAGACTGGCACGAGCAAAGGTGTCTGCAAGGAAGAAAGAGAACGCATGAGCTCCTAGAGTCGCAGTGTTTGCAAGCCATCTTTTTGCTCTCTTCTTTCACTTCTCCTTGTTCTCTGTCACAAGAGCCACAAATAAGGGACTCCGTATCTTCAGCTCTATTGCTGACCCAGACTAGGCTCTCTTTGACCCGTTCCAGTGTCTTGCTTAGATCCATAACCATTACTTCATTTGCTTTTGCTAGTCTTTGCCACGATCCGCTCTCCATTTCCACTTTTCTCAGGCAGGCTTCAAGCTCCATTGTTCTCTTTGTTGCTCGTGCCAAGTCTTCTTCTTTTCGCTTCATCAAATAAAAGGCCTTTGAGTCCATACCATTTAGCAGGATGGCCAGTTGTCGCTTCCTTTGCTCTCGTAAGGCAGATATTAGTCTCTCATTCTGTTTTTCAGCCACCCAGAAATATAACAGGGGAAAGGAAAATTTTCAAAAAAACCAAGAACCGACATAAAACCGTTGATAATATTCAAAATCCATAATGATAGATTTCTCAAAAAAAAAAAAAGAACTGAGAAAGGAGTAACTCGTTCTTACCTGTAACTGAAGAACGCAATCAAGTTCCTGCCTTTGCATCTCCATTTGAGCATCTAAAGATTGAGAAAGTGGCATGGAGAGAAAAGTATTACATGTTGAAGAAGAAGCGAAGTTCTGAGCGTTTTGTTGCAGATGAAAAGGAACCGTCTGTTGAGAAGGGTCTTGAAGACCGAAACAAAAATCAGCCTCAAATGAAGGAACTGTAAGTGCAGGGTTTACCGTCCAATCCTGAAGGCCACACACGGGCAAAAGTAGACCCATATTTTCAGGATATAACTATGCTTGAACAGCCATAATAACAATTGCCAGGTATTGAGAAAGGAGCAAAGCAACATTAAAAAAAAAAAATCCTCTTGGCCCTTGTAAATTTACATACTTGGTAGACTACTAATAAATAAACCAGAACAGATACGAAATGGGGTAGGTTCAAAGCTAGAAGGCTGACGCTCTCCTCGTATCAGAAGAGATGCATGACCCAATTACTTTGTTAATTGGAATAACCTTTTACCTTCTATGTTGCTTTGGTTTCTGGTTTAACTGAAATAGACCATCATGAAAGAAAGCCGTGGATCGTTACAAGTAAGAGTGGGAAAACCGACAAAATCTTAAAATATTTTAAATTAAATTTTATTAATGAAGGGAGATTTGTGGACATAATTTGTTTGTACTGACGTATTTAAGGAACTAAAAAAGGAAAATAAAGGATAGAAGAGCGGGACAAAGAGAGTTAGAGAATGCTTAGGACACTCTCTCTCTCTCTCTCTCTCTCTGCTCCTTTTTGTCAAATCCCAAAAGGCTTCAAAACCCCCCCCCAAAAAAAAAAACATTTATGAGAGAGATATAAAGGTGGCGCTAAACGACGACGAACACATGCAGATTTTGTGACAGCAAGTCACAGAACTATCGGGTCAGAGATTTCACTAGAGAGGGAGAGAGATTGTTTTGGAAGAGAAATTCACTCAATTGGGACGTGAAAGAGTCAGACGTTATAGAGGGGAGGAATCAGAGATTGGAGAAATTGTCAGTTTGGTCATTGGAAAAGGCTGAATAATAGCATTTTTACTACTTCTCAGCAGCTGTTTTCAGATTGTCAAATGTAGTAAATAAAAATCTTACTAGTAAAAAGTGTACTACTACTACTACTACTACTAAATTATCAATCTTTGTTATATTTATTTGGTAGGTCCGAAACGAATTTCCATGCAAGAGCTCTGCAAATTGCACAATTCTTTTGGGCTATTAAGAGTTTTGATATGCATTTTTCAACCTTGCTGAATGTGGCCTTCTTGGAGCCATGGGATTAATGGGCCAGTCTGGCGGAGGTTGGTGGTCTGGGCCAGTGTGATTACGGGCCAGAGACGTCACCTCATCTGTGGTGAAACCAGTTGCAGTCCGCTCGGGTCATCAGGATCCAGGAAGGGTTAGTTGCTTAGATATTTTTTTAATGATAACGCCTGGATTGGCACCGTCTACTTCCAACAAATATGTGCCATGTGCCACCATTTTCTGGCTAATAACATTTGCGGGCCTCCTGCCGTATTCAGTTGTTCACAGAAACCCCACATCGCCTGCCGTGAAAACCATTCTTCAAAGGACTTTTTTGATGTGATTGTGGTCATTGAACGAACAACCAAAAGAAAGATCTACTTAAAAAGTATAAAAAAACCTTTGATATGGAGTAGTCATAATTTACTGACAATCAGAGACAACGTTTTAACCGAGAGAGAAACATGTTTTACTCCTTTATGCGCTCTACTTTTTTCACCTAGCCCCAGTGGCTGGTAACTTGTAGCTGAGTGCTTTAAAGGGGGCCGCAGGGGAAGGATGGTTAGCTTTACATAGAAAAACGCAGACAGTGGTACGGGTCCAACAAGTGCAGGGGGCTTATTGGCATGGTATTACCGGAGTAGTTTTCGACGCAAATGGCAATTAAGATGCGCTCTGATCAAATGCGGCTCTTCCAGGCTCATGAGGAAGCTAGTTCAACGGCTACTGAAATAGTCTTAAATGTTGAAGCGGGTATTGTTACCATTTATCCTCGCTTATATATCTGCTTTCGATTGCTTTAACTCACTGCAAAGATAGTGACGAAAATTGCTTATGCTGAAACCATAATAAGTATTGTTTTCGGTTGATGGCTTCACCACCAGTCAAAATGTGACTAGGCAAATTGTAACCATGTAGTAAGTATAGATCCAAAGCTTTTGAAGAAGCAACGACGGTTACATAATCGCAATTAATTGATGCTTCGTCATCAAAAAGCCAATAAACTAGGGAAAATGCTTGAAGAGAGAATTCAAATGATTTAATTAATAGCCAATATACTGTAACTTGTGTTCAAAATGCCACTCAAATCAGGAATTCACCCTGGTTATGGGAGAATGGCAACAAAACTACCCACGCAAGTATGTCAGAAGAGAGAATTTAAGAATTGAGAATAGCGACGCCAGCTCAAAGATTTTGATTTGATTTGATATTTTAAAATCAATTTTATTTTAAATTAAATAAAATAATAAAATCAAAAATCAAAATTAGATCAAAATAAAATTAAATTTTATATAAACTCAATTTAATATATAATTATTTTTAATTAATTATTTAATTTTATATATTTAATTTTATATTTATATTAAAAATAATATTTTATTAATTTCGAATTAAATATAATGAATAAAAATTAAAACAATCAAATTAAATTAAATTTAAATTTTATAAATATAAAATCATATCAAAATTGAAATAAAATTTTTAATCATTCCAAATTTGACCGCTGTGAGAAGGAACTCCAAAGCATAAAACTACAGCAGAGAATGTTACAGAACGTAGGTGACAAATCGAAGTAAAGTAGCAAGTAAAGGCCAAACAGAAATGGCAATACCTGCGAGCAACTCCAATGTCAAATCACAATTCGTTCAAAGAGCAAAAACAACAGCTACTAATGTGAACCACAGTAGAAAATCTTGGTTTTCAGTATGAGCTGTTTATGAGAACTGTAAAATTATCCAATACAGCTCCAAAAGTCTCTCTTCCAAAAATGAAACTAAGAGAAGAATTAATCTGCATTTCTTTTGACATTTGAATAGTAAAAATGTTCCATTTTCATTTTCAAATTGTATGGTACACAACTCCAATAATCATAATTGCTATTTACATCAAGAAATCAAATCGTGTACATTTTCAGGCTTGCTTAAGAAGCTTCAGCTCAATGAATAAGCAACCAAAAAGCTGTGGAACTACAGAATTGATTTTGGTCAATACTGCTTTTTCTTAAGGTAGTCTTTCAGCATTAAAGGACGCCCTTTTCCAGCTCTACATCTTGATGTGGTATAATTGCTGCATGCTGATGTTGAATCGTCATCTGTAAACGGAACTGAAAGATAAGTAAATAGTTTGTGAATGTCATCATCATCCTCCTGGTTGTTTGGCACATTCAAATCAGCACCATGGAAATTATACCACTCTGTTGGTTCCTTCTCTCCTCGCAATATTTCTAGTATCTGGAAGGAAGAGAATAAGGATCAGTTACTCTTTTTTAAGCTTGTCTCAAACAATAATCAAAGCAAACTGAATCAAACAAAGTACAGTATCTACTTGGAGATTTCCCCCTACTTAGAATGGTAATATGACATGACTGAAAATATGCCAAGCTTTTGTTTGGAGGAATTTACTAATGAAGCAGGCCATAGGGGAGTGTCAACCATCATAATAAGCCCACTGAGTTTCTTTGATTCATGGAATCAAACTCCTATGAACAACTTCTTATCAGCTTGAAAAGCAACTGACTGAATTCCGATTGTCCAAGGTTTAGAAGGCTTAGATACAGACGGCGAGAATGTCTACCTGGCTCACTTTTGGACGGTGTCTATCCAATTGGTTGAGGCAGAGGGAAGCAGCGAGAACCATTCTATTCATTTGAGCAACTTCAAGGTCTCCATCTAACGCTGGATCCAGTAATTCTTGGATATTCCTTCTTTCTAATAATCCCCTAGCCTGTGTCAGAACCCAGATCATAATTTTGGTTATTTAACCAGGAATGGACACATCTCTCTGAAGTTTCTCTTATGTCTGTGAAAGCAGGAATGGTTGTTTAACTAGTGAATGTGTGTAAAAGCAGAAATTCTTACCCACTGGGTCAAGCTCTCTTGTCCTTCTAGTGCCTTTGAACTAATTGGCCTCCTTCCTGATAGCAATTCTAGAAGCACAACGCCGAAGGAGTATACATCAATCTTGTCACTAACCCTTCCTTCCATGAAATACTCAGGAGCTACATACCCAAAAGTTCCTACAACATTGCTCTCAATCGTGTAAGTTGAATCCATTGGTCCCCAGATGGCAAGCCCAAAATCAGATAACTGCGAGAGTAAAGTGGGCAAAGCATTGATACTTCAATTGTTTTGAAGCCATAATTGAACAGCTCTTTGTAGATCATATTTAAGGTTAATAAGTTATAGCAAGTAGCAACTGTGCTAGCAGTAAAAACTCGAGCATGTGTAAATTCACAAATTCATTCCAGCAACTATCACTACTTTATTCAATTTATGTTTTCTTAATTTTGTGCTAGGATCCCGAAATAACTTGAAATTGTTTCATAGAAATCAATACGTTGAATTTCACTACTACTATTACCAAAAGACCAAAAGAGGAAAAAAGGGGGCACCTGTGGCTGAAAATCATCAGAGAGAAGAACGTTGGACGATTTTACATCTCTGTGGATAACGGGTGGAGAACATTCATTATGCAGGTAATTTAGAGCCTCGGCAATTGCCGTGGCCACTTCTAACCTGACACCCCATGGCAATATAGATTTCTTGCTTTGACCTGTTTTGGAAATAAAATCCTGTGAAACTAGCTATTCCTCTGTATCTTTATCTTATGTAACACAAGCAAACCTTGCAAGATATCGGAGATTACCATGGAGAATTTCCTCTAAGCTCCCTCTGGGAAAGAAGTCATAGACTGAGATGAGATGGTCTTCTTCAACACAAACTCCAATTAATGGCGTGATATGCTTGTGTTTCAGTGAAGAAATAATATCTACTTCCAAGGAGAAGTCACTCCAAGCTTCTTTGTATGATTTTAGAATTTTAACGGCCACTGGCTTGCCACCTGGAAGATACCCTTTGTATACATTGCTGCATCCTCCCTCTCCAATCAAGTTTTCTGTATGAGAATCAAATGTATCAGAGAAAAGGCTCAAAATAAGATCAAAAGCTTTGTCACTCTAAGCCTTTAAAAACATATGGAATTCTTATAGAAGCTTGACTTGAAAGATAACCTGGAGAGAATCCTAAAGTTGCTTGCTTAAGCTCCCTGAGACTGAACTGCTTGCAACGAAGTCCCAAGTTGGTGGGCATCTTTCTTATTGCTGGTAGATAATCTTCTATTTGGAAAGGGTTTTCCACTTCAATGGATACTGATGCAATTTTGGAAGGTGGAAGTTCGACTGTTGATTGAATAGGTGCGTTCATTAATCCATCACCAATTGGCATTTTTATAGCTTCATATTCTGAAGAAGAATCTGAAGTAGTGGAAACTGTAATGCGGAGAAGAGGCCAACCTGGCTTTGAATTTGATTCCAAATCTTTCGTGTTCGAAGAAACTGAAACTTCCGCATTATATTCAAGCTCATAATTTTCATCTCTTGAATTTCTATCGTCGTTAATTACTGGTCGCGCTTCGGGGCTGTGAATTGCTTCTTCAGTCTTGCAACCGTTAAAAGTAGAGTCATTAATATTTGTTTCCGAATAGACGCTGGTTTGATTTGAATGCAAATCAACCTGGTTGACAACTGTGGTAACTCGATTAGGCAGGCTCATTACCCATTCCACAACGGATATATCTCTAGCATCAGGTTTCTCAAACTCTTTATTTGTAGAAGATTTTCTTGGAAGCAAAGGCCAGCCAAGATTTGGTTCTGGCAGTTCTCTTCGAATTAGAGATATAGAATTCAAGAGAATAGCCTTGTGGTTATGATTAGGACTAGAATTTCTATCTTTCAGGCCTCGGATATAATACCTTGCTATATCTAAGGTAGCCCCACATGCAGGAGATTCTGCTTCTTCGGACTCTGGTTCCTGATCTGCATGTCTCAATCTAGCACTATTTATATTGAGATACGACTCAAGTCTCAAATTTGAACCTACAAAAATGATAGAATCATAAACCTACTCTAACAATTCAAGTGATTTTAACATATGACTTTCGCTCAAACCTTCTAAATGGTGAACGGGAAATATTTCCATGATGATATTTCCCTTGTGGACAGCCAGAAAAGCCCTAATTGGTGGCAGTTTATTTAAACTGTAGCTGGCGTATGACATCCACCTCCTGCAAAATATTTCTGTGCTTTATCACAGGAAAGAACTCAATGATTCCTTATGCTTATCATAAAAAATAAGTCAACTTACCCGAGAGCCTCCTCTGTGTCTCTTCCCATAAATACAGCCATGGCTGCCAAACGCTTGGCTATTTTCTTTAGAACCTTTCGGGTTGACCTTGTTTGTGAAATTGGACTGCTAAGATTACTCTGAAATTCAATTGTTAGAACATTTAATGAATTTGTTTCTTTAAAAACTATGTTAGAATGAGAAACTGATGGTAGTGGCATACCTTTTTGACTATAGCCAAGTCCCTGCGATTTCTCCTGCAATCCTTTGTCATCCAGGCTCTTAGCAAAGGAAGGTCTAAAAAGACATTATCAATCAGAAAAAAAGAATAGCAGTTTATTGGACAAATTAAAGAAGTGTTTTAAAAAGGCAAAAAGTTAGCAATACCTGAGTCTGAAAACACATGGATTGCGACTAAATCTTTTCTTGATTTTGCTAATTTTACAAGCTCACCATGATGAACAACCTGCTTGATTGCTGTAATTTCCTTCTTAATCATTGTTGTCACTTTAACCGGACCACTGTTCAATTCTCTCTAAACGAGAAAAGCTTCTATGTTCTTATTTATTGACTTAGACTTTTCCTCTTTCATGAAAAGACAAACCGCTAGAGATTTTCCAATTCAAAGAGTTGAGCAATAATAAAATTTATATAACCCCAAAGAAAATTCTCATATATTTCCTTGTTTCATCAAGAAGACAAAGAATAACAGTGAACAAGTGATTAGGTGAAACATGAATAACAATCCATTCATAAAAATAATTAAAAAAGTCAAGAGAATTCGGCAACGTGGGTAAATGAGCTGATCAAGGAAAGAATGTGAAACAAAGATGAGACGACACGCATATGTCTTAATTTGAATCCTTGACCGTTGATGTTCTTTGTTTTAATCAGTGGTTGCTGCCAACATTACCTAATAATCAGATTGCGAATGAAATCCAACGTGGAATTCATTTTTTATCGGCAAGTCAACAAGCCCTCCACTTTGACCTGAATTAGATATTGCTTCATGACTTAGCAGCCTATAATCACCCTACCCAGAGATGTATATTGGCTAATAAAAGTAAGAAGTTGGTGAATGTTAGTTCGTCGACTCTAAAAGGTTTCTGCTTTGTTGTGAATTAATTTTACCTTTGGAAGACAGAGATTAGATGTTGAGAAATTACCTCCTGTAGTTCTTGGTTATGAGTAGTTTGATTCCTCAATTTAACCCTTTAAGTCCTATCCATTCCTTAATCTAAAATTTTTTCGAGTTAAATTTTGCACTATCATGCACCAAAAGAATTTCATTCAATAACTAATATATGATTTTTTGATAAAATTTACATAAAATTATAAGTAAATTTTGTAAAATTTTTTGTTATAAATAAGTAAATAAAATTTTTTTAAAAATTTATATTAAAAAATTTTACCAGTTTCATTTATAAAATTTGATATCAGTTTTTCCTCATGATCTTTCACTCAAATTACTCTTTCCCCAAATTTATTTAAAAAAAAGAAGATTTTTGCAGTAGCAACCTGTGGAAGTAATTACTAATTAGTGAGCTAAAGCAGTGTTTCTGTAAATCCCATCATTAATGGTTCAGGGCTCACACGATAATGTTGTTTTTCTTTTCTTTCTTTTTTTTTTTTTAAATAATTTTCAAACTTGGGTTAACCTATATTGGTCATGGACTAGGACTTGCTTTTAGAGGTAATTTTGGGTTGGACGATGGTCCAATTGTATACTCGAATATGCCCTGTCCGTCCGCTGGTCATCTTTCTTTGTTCTCTCTCGTTAGACTTAAGGGAGTCGTTTGGAGCGAAGAAAAGTAGTTTTGTTTGGTCAAAAAAAAAAAAAATCAACCGGTGTTTTTTTCCAGTGAGAAGACCTAAGGTCATTCAAGCTCTGGAACAGCTCCACATCTACTGGAGAAGAAAGCGATAGGAATGTTAAACGGAGCAGAGGACGAAGAGAAGTGGCTGGCGGAAGGGATCGCCGGTATTCAACACAACGCATTTTACATGCATCGAGCTTTGGTAATTTCCCTCTCTTAACTTGAATTTGAGCGGATCGAGATCTCCAATCCTCTTTGATTTGCTCTCATTTGGATCTCTCGTATTTCAGGACTCCAGTAATCTTAAAGAAGTTCTCAAGTATTCAGCTCAGATGCTATCAGAGCTCCGGACGTCCAAACTCTCTCCTCACAAATACTACGAACTCTGTAATTCGTTTTGTTCCTGTTCTTTTTAATTGATCGAGTCGAGTGTGTTTGAATTTTCAGATTTTGATTGAATTTTTATGTATCTATGATTTGAAATTAGATATGCGAGCTTTTGATGAGTTGAGGAAATTGGAGATGTTCTTCAAAGACGAAAGCAAGCACGGCGTCTCTGTGGTTGATCTGTACGAGCTTGTTCAACATGCTGGAAATATTTTGCCTAGATTGTAAGTGATTTAAATCATTTTCTTCAACAAATTTAATGGCGGAATTCTGTATTATTGTTTCTTTTTTTGTATTGTTTCTAAATTCGGAACAATTAAAGGGGCATGCATTCTTATTCTTTGTAGCTACAGTTTTTCACAATTGTACTGTCTGTCGCTAAGAACTAAATAAGCTCCTGATACTCATATCATGTATGTGTATGTGAGTGTTATCAAATATTAGACCTCTTTTGTCATTGTGTATGAAATTATATTAGGTAATCTACCAGGTATCTCCTATGTACGGTAGGATCTGTCTATATCAAATCTAAGGAGGCTCCTGCTAAGGAAGTTCTTAAAGACCTTGTGGAAATGTGTCGTGGAGTTCAACATCCCATACATGGACTTTTTTTAAGGAGTTACCTTGCTCAAATCAGTCGAGACAAATTGCCAGATATTGGTTCTGAGTATGAAGGGTGAGATCTCTTGATTATTTTTCTTTTTTTTTTTTCCTCTTGAAAATAGAGTTTTTGGTTTCAAAAGCTGACGGATTCAAATTTCTATGTCTATATTGATGGGTAGTGATATTCTGATGTTGTTGAACTGCTTCCCAAGATGAGTGGATAGTTCATGATAGCAAAGGAGTCATAGTCCTAGTTTATAATTTTTTCCTTTCAGCAGTATTTTCATATTTTGGTTACTTTTTCAGATTACATTTCTGTTTCTCTATCATCAAAATTTTGAAGAAATAAACTAGTTAGCAGTAGCTTTTGCATTGTTCCTCTGTACAAGCTCTGTTAACTCTTATCATTCTGTTCTATTTTCATCAATTGTCCTTTAGGCCGAGGAATATCGGTTGAATCTCTATAGTAGCTGCTGTTTAGAAAAGAATTTTCATTTTCATTTTGCATATCTAAATTAGGATATGCAAAGAATTTGGAAAAGATTTGTAATTAACAACTTTTTTGTTCATGATTCTGTCTTCCTGCAGAGATGCTGACACTTTGAAGGATGCTGTGGAATTTGTGCTGCAGAATTTCACCGAGATGAATAAACTTTGGGTGCGAATGCAGCATCAGGTTAGATGAATATCTGTTATCTCTATTGTTTTCAGATATGCATTGCATCATAGTACTTGCATGCCATAGAAGTGAAAACAAATCATAAGAGCATAAATTTTGGCCATGCAGGTGTCATTGTGCTTGTGAATCATTCATACTCTTTGGTCATCCTGAGTTGAAGCCTTCAATTGGGATTTCTGGTCTGCAGGGACCTGGTAGAGTTAGAGAGAAGCAGGAAAAAGAAAGGAGCGAGCTTCGTGATCTTGTAATATCATTAATCTAAAATTTTTTATTGGCTGAACTGTGAAGCAGTGTGTTTGGTGTACAATTTGAGGGAAATTTATGCTTCTGTCTTAAACTTTCTTATTAGGTAGGGAAAAATCTCCATGTTCTCAGTCAGATAGAAGGGGTGGACCTGGAGATATACAAAGAAACAGTTCTCCCCAGAGTCTTAGAGCAGGTAAGTTTACTTCTTTCTCCACTGCTCTTTTTCTTTAATATATTAATTCAGAGGTCCCTAGCATAAGTGGTGTTTGGTTCTTTTACAGATTGTCAATTGCAAAGATGATCTTGCTCAATATTATTTGATGGATTGCATAATTCAGGTGTTCCCTGATGAGTATCACTTGCAGACTCTTGAGACATTATTGGGTGCTTGCCCCCAGCTCCAGGTGGGTAATGGAAATCATTCTTATTAGCATATCTTGTGTCTTCCCCTCCCTCCCTGAGCCAGCTGACACTAATATCTCTTAATATAATTGTTAGCTTTAGGCTTTATTCTAGTTGCCCTACTATGGCATATTTGCTATGAGTTTGTCCACCTCAAGAATTTAGCTATCATGCTTGCTGTTTCTCAATATTGACAAAATGGTGAAGTCAGTATGTAAATACTTACTGGCTACTATTTTCCAGTGATCGTTGAACAGAATTACGCTGTCTCTGACAGACTTGTTTTTTATGTGCTAGTTAATCTGATGGTTTTCATCGGAGTTTCCGGTTCCTTATTTTCTTAACAAGCCCCACATTCCTAAACCTACTCTATGTTCCACAAAGTGAGCATCCACTCTGGAATAGCCTAGAAGGACAGGGTCTTCTGTGTGATCTCCTCATTTATAGGAGGATCTTGTTCATTGGAACCAACTTTTTTGGTTTAATGCTTATGATGGATGTGGAAACTGAATGTATATTGAAAAACTGCTTATCTTCAATTATACAAGAATCTTAGGTTTATATACAACTAACTAGGGGTTAAACTAGGAAACTAAATCTTCCTTAATTCTAGGGATACAAATACTTAATTCTAGAGATACAAATATAAATATACAGATTACAAGATTACAACCAGCTGTAAATAAGTGTTTTCCCACACTCCCCCTCAAGCTGGTGAATAGGTGTTTTCCATTCCCAGCTTGGAAATAATTTCTTGAAATGTTGCACTGCTGAGACCTTTAGTCAACACATCTGCAAGTTGACCCTAGGTTGATACATAAGGTGTACAAATCAACCCACTGTCTAGTTTCTCCTTTATGAAATGCCGGTCTACTTCAATGTGTTTTGTTCTGTCATGTTGCACAGGATTGTGTGCAATGCTTATTGCAGACTTGTTATCACAGTAGAGTCTCATTGGTCCATCCCACTTGATCTTCAAGTCTTCTAGGATAATCTTTAACTATAGTAGTTCACAAATTCCTTGAGCCATTGCTCTGAACTCTGCTTCAGCACTTGATCTTGCCACCACATTCTGTTTTTTACTCCTCCAAGTCACAAGATTACCACCTAAGAAAGTGCAGTAGCCTGAGGTAGATCTTCTATCAGTTACTGAACCTGCATAATCAGCATCTGTATATGCTTCTAGAACTAACCTCGAATCTCTTTTGAATAAGATACCTCTCCCAGGATTGGCCTTCAAATAGTGCAATATACGGTAGACAGCCTGTAGGTGCACTTCTTTAGGACTATGCATAAATTGACTTACCAACTCACAGCATATGCTATATCAGGTCTAGTATGTGAGAGATAAATGAGTTTTCCAACTAATTTTTGGTACATCTCTCTATTTACAGCAGCATCTTCATTAGCTTCTCCAATTTTATGATTAGGATTTATAGGGGTATTTGCAGGTTTACATGCAAGCTTCCCAGTTTCCTTCAGAAGATCCATCACATATTTCTGTTGTGAGATAAAAATACCATGCCGTGAGTGAGCTACTTCAATTCCTAGGAAGTACTTCAATCTCCCAAGCTCTTTTATCTCAAATTCTCTAGCCAAACACTGTTTTAGAGATTCTCTCTCTTTTTCATCATCTCCAGTTACAATTATGTCATCAACATACACTAATAGAACTGTGACTCTCCTTGAATCAGAGTGCTTGATAAACAATGTGTGATCTCCTTGACTCTGTTTATATCCCATTGCTAGCATCACTTTGGCAAATCTCCCGAACCAAGCTCTAGGAGACTGTTTAAGGCCATATAAAGCCTTTTTTAGCCTGCATACTTTGTTTGCTTCTAGATGACCTCCAAATCCCGGTGGAACCTTCATATCTATTTCTTCTTCCAAATCACTATCTAAAAAAGCATTCTTTACATCAAATTGTTGAAGCTGCCAATTGTAATTTGCAGCAATGATAATAAAATCCTAACTGTATTCATCTTGGCAACTGGAGCAAAGGTTTCTTGGTAATCCACTCCATAGGTCTGAATGTAGCCCTTAGCCACTAACCTGGCTTTATACCTTTCAACAGTACCATCTGCCTTGTATTTTACAGTGAAAACTCATTTACACCCCACTGAATTTTTTTCTTTAGGCAACTCTACCAATTTCCATGTCTGATTTTTTTCTAAGGCCTCCATTTCTATTTTCATGGCTTGCCTCTATTTCTCACTGGATAATGCCTCGGATAATGTAGTTGGAACAAAAATAGTGTTTAGGCTCACAAGAAAATTTTTGTGGGATGGTAAGAATTTTTCAAATGACACAAAATTAGATATTGGGTATAGTGGATGCTTGGGACATTCTCTGGTTCCTTTCCTAATGGCAATAGGAAATCATAATCACTAGTTATAGTTTTAGGAGATTCATGCTCATTTTGAGAAACAGAGTCAAAAACTGTAGTTACCTCATTTTCAGAGTTAGGATCAAGTTCTTGGACTAGCACTGGTTCAGGATCTGGAACTTTCCTTCTTGAGTACACCTGTAATTCCTTCATAGAATCAAGAACAATATTATCCTTTGTCACATCTTTCGTATTTGGAATGGGTTTAGACTCAAATTCAATGTTTGACTTACGCTCAGCAGAAACAGGTTTCGACTCATAAGAATTAATGGGTGTAAATGTTGAAGAAGGGGGCAAATCAAGCAAAAAGAAGTCTTTATCTTTATCTTCCATGAATGAAGTCTCCCCCTGAAGATAAGGTTGAGTAAAAAATGGTTTATTTTCTTCAAAAGTGACATCTGCAGACACAAAATTTTTTGGTAGGAGGATGATAGCACTTATATCCTTTTTGAGTTGAAGAATACCCCACAAAAATACACTTAATCGCTCTTGGATCCAACTTTCCCCTGTTATGACTGTGAACATGAACAAATTATGTACAACCAAATATCCTAGGTGTGAGATTGTTTGTGGTATTGAAGTTGGGATAAAATTGTGAGAGTAGTTCCATAGGAGTTTTAAATCCCAAAACTCTTGAAGGTAACCTATTTATAATGTGTGTGGCAATGAGAACAGCTTTCCCCCAATAAGATTTAGGTACATTTGCTTGAAAAAGAAAGGCTCGGGTTGTGGCTAATAAATGGCTGTTTTTTCTCTCTGTCACTCCATTCTGCTGTGGAGTATTAACACAAGATGACTCATGGATAATCCCCTCTTTTTGGAAATAGGTGGATAGACTCTGGTTGAAGTAGTCTCTTGCATTATCAGACCTAAATCTCTTGATTCTTACTCCAAATTGATTTTGGATCATGTTTTGGAAGCTTAAAAACACACTATTCACATCTGATTTGGATTGAAGTAAAAAAACCCAAGAGACCCTAGTACAATCATCTATGAATGAAACAAATCATCTCGCACCAGAAATATTAGTAATTGTAGAGGGACCTCAAATGTCACTATGAATCAAGTAAAAGGGAGTAGAACTTCTTTTGTTATTGATTGGAAAAGACACATGTCTATGTTTTGCAAATTCGCAAATATCACAATGAAAATCTTCACCATTTAATTCTTTGAACAAAGAAGGAAACATGTTTCTCAAGGTTCCAAAAGAAGGATGTCCAAGACGAAAATGATAAAGCCAGATTTTGTCTTTATTAGAAGATTTTTCAGAAAGAAATGACAAAGGTAAACTATTTTTGATACTACTTGTGTTATTTGATGTCTCAAGATAGTATAGTCCATCCTTCTCCTTAGCAAGTCCAATCATCTTCCCCGAACTCTGGTCCTGAAATTCACAATAAGAGGGATAAAAAGTTACTTTGCAATTCATATTTCTGGTAAGTTTTTGTATAGATATCATATTAGTAGACAATCCAGGAACATGAAGAACATTTTTTAGAGCAAACGAGGGATTAACTTGAACATCTCCTAATCCTGCCACTGTGGTAAGTGAACCATCAGCAACAACAATTTTCTTATTACTAGGACACAAGTTATATATACTAAACTTTTGTGGGGAATGTGTCATGTGGTCCGTGGCTCCTGAGTCAATGACCCAAGAACTCGTAATAGGCTTAGCCGAGACATTTAATCCATGAGAACCGGAAGCTTTACCTGAACTAGAAACTTTACCCAAAGAACATACCATAGTAGGCTTTTCAAGGATTTTCAATAAGTTTCTCAGTTTTTCAATCTCTTCCCTGTTGAACTCTCTTTGTTTCTGAGACATCTGTAGTACTCCAGTGATTTTTTCAGTTAACATTTCCTCAAATTGGGTGATAGTGATATCTTTCTTTGAAAGGGTTCGGCAATGAAGGCCTAAACAGGATTCGGCAATGAAGGCCTAAAAAAGTCGGCAATGAAGGCTGAAAAATTTTCTTCCCAAGAAGAGCCTAAAGCTCTGATACTATGTGGAAACTGAACGTATATTGAAAAACTGCTTATCTTCAATTATACAAGAATCTTAGGTTTATATACAACTAACTAGGGGTTAAACTAGGAAACTAAATCTTCCTTAATTCTAGGGATACAAATACTTAATTCTAGAGATACAAATATAAATATACAGATTACAAGATTACAACCAGCTGTAAATAAGTGTTTTCCCACAATGGATTTTTTTTTTTTTTATGGCCTTTCTATGTTTTGGTTACATGCTCAACAAATACATTTTCTTCTTTATCGCAGCCAACAGTTGACATCAAGACAGTTTTGTCTCAACTAATGGACAGACTGTCAAATTATGCTCAATCAAGTGCAGATGTAAGTTATCAGCATAACAACTTTTACTCTTCATGCTTTTGCAAGTTGTTGACTAATTATTTTATGTCAGGTATTACCTGAAATTCTACAAGTAGAAGCCTTTGCTAAATTGAGTAATGCAATTGGGAAGGTAAATCAGCTATTAATCTCAACCTGAAGTTGCAAATATAAAAGAAGGATTTGATTAAAGAATGTGAATGCTTTGAGATGGCCCCTGACTTTACCACCTCTAGTTTTGTCGATGATGATCCCTATCTTACCCCTTTTTCCATTTTCTCTACCAGTAAACACATTTTTCCGTTCTTTATGAGTTTAATTTGGAATCATGAGATGTTTTCTGCTAGCTGATTGGATATAATTCATGGCAGGTCATAGAAGCGCAGGTTGACATGCCTGCTGTTGGAGCTATAACTTTGTATGTCTCTCTTCTTACTTTTACTCTTCGTGTTCATCCTGATCGGCTTGATTATGTGGATCAAGTACTGGTATGTTGAATCTGGAGACTATCTAAAAGATCACATTTAGTGCTGTAACTTTAGCCATGCTATTATGGCATTGGGGAATGTATCACATTAATATTAATTGTTCTTTATTATTCATCTTATATAACAGGGAGCCTGTGTTAAGAAGCTCTCTAACATACCAAAGCTTGAAGATAGCCGGGCGATAAAACAAGTGGTTGCACTTTTGAGTGCTCCATTGGAGAAATACAATGATATAGTTACAGCTCTGACACTTTCTAATTATCCACTTGTAATGGACCACCTTGATAATGGAACAAAAAAGGTCATGGCAATGGTTATCATTCAAAGCATTATGAAAAATAACACTCGTATTTCAACTTCTGACAAGGTATGCCTTGTCAGTCTTCTCTATTCCTCTAATTGTATCAAGTTCTTTTGTTGAAGAAAGTAACATTGCATTTTGTAGGTTGAGGTGTTGTTCGAATTAATAAAAGGTCTCATTAAGGACATGGATGGTGCTGATGTGGATGAGGTGCATATTGAAACTAGATTTTTCCTGTTATTCTATAAAATTTGAATGATTTGAATTATATGAGTAACTTTTCACTACTTCATTTTCTGATCCGTATTAGATTATTTCTTACCCTTATTGCTTATTTTCCCTATCATGTTTTTGTGGATGTGCATAACTTATCAACACATGGTTCTTTTTTCTTGTGTTCTTAATGTGTTATGTATCTGCCAATAGCTTGATGAGGAGGATTTCAAGGATGAACAAAATTCTGTTGCTGGGCTCATACACATGCTTTATAACGATGAACCAGAGGAAATGTTGAAGGTAAGATTTTCTGATGTTTCTTTGTATGCTAATTTCCTTGACCATTAACAGGACAAGATATGCCAATACATATCAATCCTCTGCTTGTGACTAAGGTTTAATGCCTATTCACTTCCCATAAATTGTCACTCCTTCACCACATTTAGGATAATTTTTTGTTTAATTCAATGTTTCTCATTTAGTTATGTTGTTTATGACTGATCTGAATTTTTTTTCCTCTGAATGTTTTATCATAATTTACTTCCCTTCAGATTATATGTACTGTGAAGAAGCATACAATGGCCGGGGGACCAAAACGCCTCCCCTTTACAGTTCCTTCACTTGTTTTTTCTGCACTTAGGGTATGTTTCTTCCTTTTCCAGATTGTTGTGTACTGTTGTCTCATCATATTTCCATCTACAATGTCGAAGTATTAAAATTCTTATCACTCCACCTCTACAAGATTTATGCATGCAGGCAGTTGGGTTTTGAGGCATAATCATTATTATCCTCTCCTAGATCCTTCCCCCTCACCACCCCCCCCCCAAAATACCCCCTTTACCCCCCAAAAAAGGTGAAATTCAGAATTTATTGAGACAAATTGCAAAAAAAAAAAAGTAGTATGGATAAATACAGATAATATTGCTAGTAAATGTATCATTGTAGTGCTTGTGTGCAGTTGGTTAGGCAATTGCAAGGTCAGGAGGGAGATATAGTGGGAGAAGAAGTGCCAGCAACACCAAAGAAAATTTATCAGCTCTTGACTCAGGTGCTGTTATTTTATGGTTTTATTGCTGTTTCTTATGCATTGTGTTTGTCCTTGCTTATTATAGTTATCATCATTGTGCAAAAGGTCACACTAAGCTTTTCTTTCAGGTCATTGAGGCTCTTTCAACTGTTCCATCACCTGAACTTGCATTAAGGTTGTACCTGCAATGTGCGGAGGTAATCTTGAGTCTTGATTATACTAACCACTGCATAAAGTCATTCATTAAATAACTTAATAGATCCCCAAAATTTCTTTGGAGCATAACAATTTTTATTGCATTTTAAAAGTACCTTGGGGTTGACTGATATTTCGCAAAGTTTTTATTTTGGTTCTATACATTATGGATTAGTATTTCTGCTTTAGATGGTAAGAGGGTGCTATCATCGTTAATCTTCCATCATGATGACTTCATTTTAATGGCATTCCACCATTATGATAATGACAATTCATGTGTCATGAATATTATTGCGTATTTTGTCTTTGATTTGTATTCTTTTTAACAAAGAGAGACTCAAATTCCACGTTGAACCTTCTAACCTCTAGTTATTCCTTTTTTGGTGGTTATCAGGCAGCTAATGACTGTGATGTTGAGCATGTTGCTTATGAATTTTTCACTCAAGCCTTTGTATTATATGAAGAAGAAATTGCGGTAATTGTCCACTCATCAGTTAATGTTTCAATCAAAAAGCCATTAAGTCAGTCACATTCATGCCTTCTAATTTGTGTACTTTCATAAATGTTTGCTGCTCTAAGGACTCCAAAGCTCAAGTGACCGCAATTCATCTGATAATTGGGACTCTCCAGAGGATGAATGTATTTGGTGTTGAGAACCGAGATACTTTGACCCACAAGGCCACAGGAGTAATAATGCTTGCCTCTTCTCAGCCTATTTTGCTATATTGATCTGTTTATACAAAACTTAAATTTGTGTTACTTGGTCAGTATTCAGCTCGGCTGCTAAAGAAGGCTGATCAGTGCAGAGCTGTTTATGCATGTTCGCATCTTTTCTGGGTTGATGGTCAGGACGGCATTAAGGATGGGGAAAGGTGTGACCTCATACTTAAAACCAGTTTTAGCTTGAAAATTTTTATGCATTCATCATGTCTAACAGTCAGAACACTGCTATGGATTGCTTCTTTAATCCCTCCCCTTTCAGATTTATTTGTTAGATTTCAATGTAAACATATTAATAACCTTTAATAGTTAGAACTTAAAAATTATGCGGGAGGTTACAGGGTCTTTCTGTGCCTAAAGCGTGCATTGAGGATTGCGAATGCTGCCCAGCAAATGGCTAATGTTGCACGAGGTAGCAGTGGGCCAGTCACACTCTTTGTTGAGATATTGAACAAGTCAGTGCTTAGAGGCTAGAGCTGTACCAAATTGAACCTTCTAATACTTCACAGCTTAATCTTGAAATCATAAACATGTATTTTGGTCACTTTGCCTTAGGTACGTCTACTTCTTTGAAAAAGGAAGTCAGCAAGTCACTGGTGCTGCAATCCAAGGCCTGATAGAATTAATCAATACCGAGATGCAGAGTGATTCAGCAACACCAGATACTGCTTCAGATGCTTTCCTTGCCAGCACGTTGCGTTACATTGAGTTCCAGAAACAAAAAGGCGGTCTAATGGGTGAGAAATTTGAATCCATTAACTTGTAAATTATTGGGTATCTATAGGATTGTTCCTGGCAGCCTGAAACGTGATGCCAAGCAGGTTATTCAGTTTGAGGAAAAAAAAAATTGATGGTTGGGGAGTGTTTTGATTTTAAGGTACTATAGCCTGACATAGAAGATGGTTTTTTTCTCGAGGTGAAATTTCTTTTTTTTTTTTTTTTTATACTATTTCGCTGTTGTTGCCTGTGGCTAGAAAGTGGCAAAATTTGTCATAAGAAATTTTTGTTCAATTATTTGCGGGATTTTTAAAAATTTTTATTTACTCCAGTAAAAACTTAAATGGCTTCAGCTTGAATTCCAAAATTTTTATTTGCTTAACTTGGAATTTATAAAAATTCAGGACTTCAAATTAATTGATATGATATTCATTTATTTTAAAATTTGATCATTTGGATTTTGGATATGGTTCAGAGCTAATTTTCTTTCATAATATTATTTACTTATTTATTTTTTATATAAAACATTGCTTTTTTTTTCCTTTGGACGACATACCAAAAACTTTCTATTATTGTAATCAATAAGAGAGAGTACAACAACAACAAAACAGCTGCAAGAGAAACTGCTGTCAGGCAGCATACAACACTCTAGGAGTTATGAGAGAAATGATACCTCACAGATATCTCGAACAAAGTTATAAACTATGATATTGATAACCTTAAAGTGGAGCAGGAAGCCCATCCATATCAAGAATGAAAACCAAGGAGGATGGGTTCATAAAAGCCCAATCAGAAATGCACATTCCGCTCTTTGACAGGCAATGGCATCCTACACAGTCTGCAGCTTTTTTGGTTGTTCTGTGACACCAATTAAATTCCATTCTGGAATTTTTATCTCTTATGATTGGAAGAACTCGCCAAAATCCAGTACGTTTCCCCTGCCATAATCCTGGTACAATAATTTCGAACCAATTTCTATAATAATCTTCTTGAAATTCATCTCCTCAGCCAAAATCACCCCCTCCATTGCGAAAGCCTCTGCCTCAATACTTGTCTTCACCAAGACAAATCTCCATCCAACCAACTAATTTTCCATCCTCATCCCATGTTACCACAGCAATGCCTGCTTCCTTTGATTGTTGGCAGAAAGCCCCATCACAGTTTATCTTTACCCACCCTTCATCTGGTTTTTTCCAAACTGCTGTTTTCTTTTCTGCAACCCCACCTCTTATATCATCATCAAGCTCCAATACACCTTATTTTTCTACAACAGCTCCATCGATCTTTTGGATTGTCTGGATTGGATTTGGCTCCTTTTTTGTGTAATAGCAGCACATCCCTCCTTCCATATAATCCAACAAGCATATGCTACTAGGACATCCAACTTTTCCTGCTCAATTTTTGATAGATTTTCCATACAACAAACCCTCCCAAACCACTCATCAAAAGATGTAAGTTGTTCTCTTTTCACCTTGTAATTCACCCTCAATCCAAACCATACATCCACTGACCAACCAGATAATAGCCGGGCATGCTCAATAGATTCTTCATTTTTCCTACATAGAGGGCAAATAGGGCTTTGCCTTTATCTTTCTTTTCTACAAATTCAAGCCTGTTGCAACAGAATTGCTACATGCCCTCCCAAGGAAATTCCTGACTTTTGCTGCAACAGGCGACTTCAAAAATTATCTCCATTTCCATCATTCTTTATAATGTGATGATGAAGAGCCTCTGTTTTTTTTATGCCTCCTCTAAATCTTTTATTACATGATAGCCAGCCTTTACTGTGTATTCACCATTTTCTGTGCTAGGCCATACCACTCTATCCTTCCTTCCATTTGACAGATAGGAATAGCCGTAATCGCTTTGGCAGCCGCATCAGGTATATAATCTTTGATTGCATCCAGCTTCCATGATCCATCATCTCTATTGATGATCCGTGGCAGCATCTCATCTTCATTTACCATAAATACAATCCAGGACTATTCCTGGGATCCACGTATCTTGACAAATTTTAATATCTCAAAGCTCAGCCAATTCCTCCTGCCATTTTTGTCTTTAATTTAGGATTTTCATTAAAAACAATTTGTTTTAAGGGTCAGGACAACATAACCATCTTCCATTCATAGTACATCTTTTAATGAATGCAACATTTAATATCATGTCTCAAACACAACTACCAAAAAGCTTCATCATTTACACTAGTTAGTGTACTTTTTTGTTAATTATCCCAAAATTAGGTTGAGGATCGTCAAGAAAGTAGTACTATATAATTATACATCGCGATTTCACAAGAATATTGAAATAGAAGAAAACCCAGGGATTAAATTTCAACCCCATGGCCTAATCCAATGAGCGCGAGCATTGTTTTGGACCAGGTCAGGGGGCCGCTAATGCCAAGCTGACGTGAGAGAATTTGCTAATTTTCTTTGGAATCTTAACTGCCAGGGTGGTGCAGGGCCATTTTCACCTTTTTTTTCTCCTTTTCTAAAAGGAAAATCCGATTGACTTCTTAAAATGTAGTACTAAGTACTAACAAACAGGTTGCTTCTGTAGTGGGTTAAATCAGCAAAACTACATTGCGTAAATTACCCTGAGCAGGAATAGGAACTTGGCTATCTAAGATTTTGCACTTTCTTTTCTTTTCTTTTCTTTTCAGCAATCTAGCAACCTCTTATTTTGAGTCCTGAATTGCCGAATTAATTAGTTTAGGCCTTTAGGGGCTTTAGGCTAAGGGGGTTTCTGTGGATTTTAGGAATCAACAGATGGCGGCAAACACAGCTGCTGTACTTTTTTACCACTAAATTTTGGCCTTGGCATCAAACGAAGCGAGAGCTATCAACGATTTCCCCTCCAATCCATCGTCATCCTTGGCCTCTGGAAATAAGGAATAGATGCAAAATTTGTAAGTACTGCTATTTATATCCATACAGAAGACCAAAAAAAGGAGGAAAATCAACCTGCCATGGAAAAGCATGACTTGTTATAAACAGACAAAACAATAAACACACATAGCTAAGACCATTTTAACTGTTTTGTATGAACATTAGAACCAAAACACAGTTTTTCCATAGTATCCTTATTCCTTATTTCCTGAATAACCCCAACTCTATAGCTTCTAACATCTTCCGACATACAAACTGAATAACCCTTTAGAGAATCCTTAACTTCCTCCTTGAAAAAATGCTTTGCTTCTTGTCCGTAACCTAACAACATAAGTCAACAAACTAAAAAATTAAGTTATGGAAATTTTGCCTCCTTCGTCCTCTGTTTCCATTTTGAAAAGCACTCACAAAAAACTTTGGTTGGTAAAAAAAAAAGAAGAATTATTTATTCATAAAGCATCTTCCATTTCTTTTGTTGTTTTATAACTTTATACACTGTTTTATTCCTCTTAATCAAAATTCAAGGGGAAAAAAAAAAAACCAAACAGCTCTGGCTTTTTCTTAACCAGAAACAAACCTTATATCTTACAGCTTCAAAACTCAAATTCCCTTTTTTTTCAACTTTTTTACAAAGAACCGTATGGGATTTGTCGAGGGAGTCTGAACCGGACCTGAGAAGCAGGCGAACGAACAGCCACGCCGTGCCAGCAAATACCACCCTTGCACATCTCGTGAACATGAACGGAAGCAGGTTGATCACGGGAAATCGCATACGTGGCTTTACGAGTGACGTCCCACGTCAGGGTCCCAACCAAGATGAAACCCACCACGGTGCTCGACACAATCAGCACAAACCCACTACTGAAGCTCCGCCCACATACTAAACCATACGCCTTTATCCCCGCTATCACTGCCACGTAGATCATCATCAAATTCCCAATCACCGCATCCGATATCGCCATATCCTCCCACAATTTCCCTGTTCTTCTTCTTCTTCTTCTTCTAACCCTAATGCTTATTTACAACTCAGTAAATAATTAAAGAGCTTGCTGTGAGGAGTGGGGCGCTGATGATGATAAAGATGAAGAATCTGGTGGAAAGAGCGAGGATTTTGACGAGTTAAATGAATCGATTCGGGAATGTCGGGTTCGGGTTTTACAATGAATAATAAAATACGGGGTTGAAATTACAAAAAACGGAGTCGTTTTTACGTCTCTGATATTATTTACTATTATTTGGCAAAATATATTGACTGAGCTTATCTTCACTCTCGTTTCTTGTGGGAAGGAAAATAGAGGATAGTATCTAGTTTTTGTCGTACACCCTCATATTTTTCCTTCCAGTTACACTACGACACGTGTCTTACTTGCTTTTAGATATTTGTATCTCCAATGCTTTTTTTTTTTAGTGAAATGACGTCGCTTTGTTGACGCATAGGACAAGGTGAAGGTCTCTTTCTTTACGTTTCGAAATTCCTAAGGTCTAATTTTTTTTTCTTTTTTTTTTTTCAAGTGATTTTCATGCATATTTGACAAATATCGAAAAGGGTATTTCACCAAAATTACATTGATTTTCATACATGTTTGACGACAAATTATATAAAATTTTGCAAAATTTTTTTATGCAAGTTTTAACTAATATTAAAAAAATTATCAATATGAAATAGCATGATTGAAACATATTTGATAAATAACATTAATACAAATATTTATATAATTTGATATTTAAATGATTATTTTTATTTATGAGTTTTTTGGCATGATTTTGATGTAGCAACATTTTCTTTTTTTAATAAGTAAATTTAATAGGCCGAAAATATAGTAGGGAAATGGCAAACAAGTCATTCTCAATGAGTCGGTGACTTGAGCCACGTTGGGCAAAATATGTGTGGAAGTGGACTCAAAACCATTGGCATTAAAATGTGAGAAAGTGAGAGGAACAAATCCCAAAGGAAATGAAATGTTTCTGTTGCGTAAAGTATCTTCTTAATTAGCAGGGGAGTGAGTATATATAATGATGAAGTTGATCAATCAAAGTGGCGTGAGTATGATGGGGAAGGAGACATGATGTGAAATGTTTACCTTGTTAACGAACAGGGTAACAAACACTATTACCAATTTTATTACTGATTATTACGTGATTTTCAATCGTATAATAATTAAAGCTAAGTTTAAAGTGCAGTGAAGATGACCTTTTTAGTTTTTAGTCATGGGTAATAACAAAGCAGGTTCCTATCCCAATGTTGTTGTACCAACCTCCTCGAAAGTCATTAAAGGCAACCAAGATTTCGAGAATTGAGTATGGGTGGGTTGGGGGTGTTTGGTGGTTCATGGCATGTTAGCCAAGTCTAGTTGATGTGTTGGGGTTCATGACGATGCATGGGTTAATGCATGTGTTCATGAACCAAATTAAAAAGGCTTAAAACTTGAAAATGCATTGACTAAACATTTTGCCCCTTGCATAGTTTATTTATGATTAATAATTGTTATCCATCCTGGTCGATGGAACTTCAGATTTTGGTACAATGGGCCCAATTCTAGGTCCTAAGGTGGACCTCGAAGCGGGACTGTGGGCCTTGGCCTATTCAGGGGTTCTTTTCTCTCCCACACCCAATGCGCCCTTTTAATTAACTTTTTTTTTTTAAACGCCTAAATTCGGAATTCTTTACCTTCATTAGTATATTAAATTTTGTGTACTTTTTTTTAATTAAAAATGATTCAGAACATACAGAAAACAAAGATTCAAAGTCAAAATCAATAGATCGTAATTCAACACTTTATAGTACTTAATAAAACATTATTATCAATATGTAAAATTATGTAAATTTAAGACGTTCCAATAGTTTTGCTAGCCAAGTGAAATAACAAAATTTAAATTCTCCAAAAAATTTGTATTAAAACCCGAAAAATAATATAGACGGCTCCGAGAAAACTTAGGGGGCGTTTGGTGGTATGTGTGTTAGCAGATGCGAAGGGGTAAAACTTACAAGGCTAATTATCAATATTAGAAATCAATTGCACATCAACTTAATTAATTCTATACTTCATGGCACCAACAATACATTTAAACATCATGAAAGAAAACGGTTATTTCATGGTAGGATATTCCTCACATCTGGTTAATACATGAGTGAAGTTTAAACATGAAAATCTGAAGAGGCGTGCATGTTAACAAGGAATGCTTGTCATCAATTTTATAGATCATGACAACAAGTACAACACGAAACAAACCACCCGATGCTTTCACAGAAGTCCCTAGAATGTCAGTTAAGACTTGAGGCTATACATGATGGCTTGCTGCTTCTTTGAATTGACAAAAAGGTGATAGTGATAAAGATACGTGCAACAATAAGCTGGCGGATCGATCCATCTTTGTCAGACTTGAATCTTCCACTGATCATAATATTGAGCAACCACCGGCCGCCTTTTTCTTCTTCTTATTTTTCTTAGGAGGCTGGAGCACTACCTTAATGGCTGCATCAAAGACTGCCTTCACATTCTGCAGTAACAAGATTCCATCCAAAAAAAAGGACTTCAACACCAATTTTTGGTTAAAGAAATGAAGAATATGTAGAGAATATTTAACCTGCTGTGTTTTTGAACTACACTCGATGTAGGCAGGAGACCCTATCTGTTTCCTTAACTCCTCTCCCTTCATAAAGAAGTAATGCAAGATCAATATTTTAAATAAGTGGAACATATTCTCGTTGAAAAAAAAAAAAGAACTAATAATGTGTAAATATGTACCTGAGCCGTAGAAATGGGCACTGCACCAGGATGGTCTACAAAGAATTGCTGATCATCCCGGAGATCTGCATCAACAAAGAGTAGAAAACATGTGAACTTTTCATGAAATAGAAAGAATATCAGAAACATCAGTATAAAAGGATACTCCATTAATTTGAGAAAAAAAAACCTTAGTCACTTAAAGAATCAAACCAACTGCAATTCACTAACACAACCATTGCAAGCATATATAAGGATACCATGATCCAGGGAGTAAGAATCATACCAATCTTAGTTCCAACCAGAATTATCGGAACACCAGGTGCATAATGCTTTAATTCAGGAATCCACTGAAACAGAAAGCAAAGAAAATACATGATCAGCATTCACATGACATTACAGAGACATCTCATACAGCACAAAAATAGAATATATTATCTAAAAATAGAAGTTATTATCTAAAAATAGAATATATTCAATGCTTCAACCTTCTTGGCAATGTTTTCATAACTGGCCTTGCTGATGAGAGAAAATGCAAGAATAAAGACATCAGCCCCACGATAGCTCAGTGGTCTTAATCTATTGTAATCCTCCTGACCTGTTCCAAGGCAACAATTTCAAAACAAAATAAGCAAGAAAGGACTCAAACTTACTAATAATAGAGGAATTTCGGAAGTTATTTCCAAATTACCAGCAGTATCCCATAAACCTAAGTTGACAGTGCTGCCATCCACGACAACATTTGCGCTGAAATTGTCGAAAACAGTCGGGACATAGTCCTGTTACCATAACAATTGTAAAAGCAAAAAGTTACCAATAACGAAAATCAGTTCACAGAGACCATTAAGCCCCAATCTTGGTTTCAATTATGATGAAATAAGGTTTCAATTAACAGCGAAAAGATCGGGCCGCACCTGATCTGCCTACGTTGTACGGCATTAACCCTAATCTTGATAGCATTTATAAAACCACAACAAAAAATTCGGAGCAATTTTAAAAATTTTATTTCATTTTATCGGAAAAAATTATATAAATATTCAGCTTATATTATGATTTTGTTTACCTATCTGAGAACCAATCGGACAATTTTTTTAAAAAATGCTATTAAGTCATACGATCGTGCAACAAAGATCCGAAAATTCAGAAAAGAGGACAGCGTAAAAAGCCTAACCGTAGGGAAAGTATTGCTGGTGTAGGAAATCAGCAGGCAGGTCTTGCCGACAGCGCCATCGCCGACGGTGACGCACTTTATGAATCTCGAGGCGCTCATTTTCCTTCGCCGCCGTACGAATTAAAAGTAAACCACAATACCTAATCGCCGATAGCCTGCTTTTCTGCTTCCTCCAAATCTTGAGAAATTCTTTTTCCAAGAATCTCGGGGGTTCTCGGCCCTTATTTCTCAGATTTGCTTCACGCTGTGGTGGTTGTTGTTAAACAAAGAATGAGATCCACAGGCTTCATCGTTTGTCTTCGCGAGGCAAACCCTAAGGAGCAGATTGATTGGCGAGTCGAAGCAAGTGAAAAGAGAGAGAAAGAAGAGGGGAAAAAATGGCAAAATGAGAGGAGATGGAAGTGGGGGGAACAGTTGAAGAGCAAAAGAAAGAGAAAAATCAGAAATGAGAAATCACGATACAAATGCCGTTGAAGCGAAAGCTGACCTAGCCAGCGTCCTGCCAGCTAAGCCTCTATAACAACTCCTTATCATCATTTTTTTTTTTGGCCAGAAAAAGAAACCCCTTATCATCATTTACGACATATTAAAAAATATCATTTTTTTATTTTTTACTTTTTTTTCTCAAAATATAAAAATGCTTTATGTAATTAAAGGCGTTAATAATTTAATTTTAATTGAATTAATTAATTAAATCAATTTTAATTTGATAAATTAATTTATTATCAAATTAATTTTAATCGATCAATAAAATAATTTTAAAAATTTTTAATTTTTTATTAATTAAGTTCAAAAATCAAATTAATTGAATTAATTAAAATTTTAATCGAAATATAATATAATTTTAATAAAAAATAAAAAATACATGCAATTAATTATTTTATTTCATAAATTATTAAAAATTTTAATATAATATTTTGATATTTAAATATTTTATTTGATAATTTTATTTAATTAAATTAAAATATAATTTAATTTAAATATATTTATAGTTTGATTAATCATAAAAATTAATTAAACTAATCAAATTAAATTCGAATAATTAATTTTTAAAATTTATAAATTCAATTTAATTAACAAAAATAAAATAAATTAATTTAATTAATTTAATTCAAAATTAATCAAATCAACCAAATAAACATCCTTACATATAACAAATTTTATTTGCCAAAAACAATTTTTTTTCTTGCCACAAATGATGTACAAATATATTATTTCCATTTGACCTTTTAATAAGATACTAAATTACTATTACCAAGAAGAAGAAAACAACAAAGAAAAGCCAAAGGCTCTCCTTTCATTTTCTCTTTTACCGTCATATAAGAAACAAAATTAGGGACCGATCATTAGTTAATTTAGATGGATCAAATAATGCATATAAATAGTGTACCATTCCAATTTTGTACTTACGTGTCATCAATTGAAAAATTAAAAAGAAAAAGTTAGAATAAAGTAGATACTAGATAGTTATACAACAAAAAAAAAAACATAAAGAACCAATACTTTTGTTTTTAAAGAGTTGGTATACCTGCCTGTTTTCAATTTCAAATTTAGCCGTCCACTTTTGCGCACATAATTTGAATTCACTTCTTAGATACTTTTGAAAATTAGTGGATTCAAGTTCAGTAGAAAATTTTATTTTCTATGGCTAACTGAGATAGGCCTCTCTTAATAGCACATTGACTGATTACAAACTTCCTAATTTTTCAATGAAAAAATTATCTTACATTTAATCATTTTAATTATTCTATAGTACGGTCATCAATTTAGTTATTTTTATAATTTTTTTATCATAAATTTTAATTTAAGAATTTGGGATCAATAATAATCAAAGTTTGAATTCAAGTATGGCAATTCTAAAATGTTATAGGTTCGAAAGAATTTAAATTAATAATATATTTTTTAAGTAAATTAAATAAATAAAAACTGAAGTTAAAGATAAATTAAAAATAAAAATATATATATTTGGAGCTAATAAAACACTAGGTTCTTTGGAGGAGCCTGGGTCCAACTGGAAAGTATTGTTTGGGCCTACAGTTGAGCCTTTATGAAATCAGGAATTCAACATGGGCCTACTTGATTAGTCCCACGGAGAACCTTTTGTTGAGGTTTTTAATGGTTCCATTTGTGCTTCAAAAAACTTGTTTTTTTTTTATTAAATCATTTCAGTTTTCTCTGATCTTATAAAATGCTCATGTCGACAGTTTCTTTAGGAGATAATTCATCTTTTCGCTATCTTTGATCTGTATAAAACGCCCCATTTGACAGTTTATTGAAGGAAATATTTATGGCATATTCTCATGCACGGGAGTTCATTTGGTATGGACCAAGTATGTTGAATGCCCATTGGGCAAGTAAACCAAGTGCAAAAGGTACCCAGTTGATTTGCTATTGTTTTATCTTCTTGATCGTTTACTAAATTGTTACCAATATCTTTCAGGGATTTTGGGCAGCGAAATAGGTTACACCATTACTGCTGAGATATGCCTTGAACTTTGGTAATTTAGTTTCGAAAATAGATTACATAAATCTGCTTTCATTATTTAGGAGGGGAAGTGGCTTTGAAAATGAACAGTCTTATTCAAACGGGGAAGAGGGGAGCTGTACATGAACAGTTTTTTAATCAATAGGCTATGTCGATATGAATCTCATAGACAGCATCACAGTAGGTATTCTTTATTATATAAATAATGAATAGCTTGCTACGGGAGACTGATTCAGAGGATGAGAGGAGTTATTGCTGCATCAGATTCAAATTTTCTTGTAAAATGTATCTTACATGATTGGGGCTTATAAACATACAGTGGAATGTTTATAGTAATTAGTTTTGCTTTATTAGCTTCGTGATTTTTTTGTCGTATTTTCCTGCTTTGTTAACTTTCTCCAGCAAGAAAATTTTTTCTTGTTTTCATCCTTCTATGGACAATGAAAATAGAATCATGCAATTGCTCAAGCATTGTAGATATCATCTGTGCCACAGAAAAGGCAAGGGTATATGGATTTACACCATAAAAACAAATTTTTAGAAAGAAGAAGATCAAGAGGCAATCTTCTGTTCAAAAACAGCCTTAAATTTATCAAACAAAAGAAAGTGGCAAAGCCTTACAGACTTAATGTTCACCCCAATTCTAAAACAAGGTGGTGATCACAATACGAGGATCCGGATCTAAATTACAATATATAATTGGTACAAACGAAGAAAAAAAAAAAAAGATCAAGAATCTCTTGATCCAAAGCACCCTGTCTTCTCCTTTCTCTTTTTTCTCTTTTTTTTTTTTTCCTTTTGTGCACCTCAATTCAAAAAAATAAAAGGTGATCACAATATTTCCCATCACATAAGAAAATTAAGGAGAAAAACGGGAAAAAGGAAAAATAGAAGTTACTACTTGATTAAGGAAAACGTACCCTTAATTAGTAAGGCCTTTATTTACTTATATGGAACACCAGGAACCAAAACGAAGACAAACCTTCGTTTATTCAAGGGAGACGTAGGAGTCGTCGGAGATTGTCCGTGGCTCCAGCATCGACTCCAGCAGCTTCAGCGTTGCAACTAAGCTTTGGTCTAAGCGAAAACTTAGGCAAAGGCAAGCTGCTAGGTGGTGGAGAGAGTGTAAAGATAGAACCTGAAAACTTCTCCAAATCTTTCACAACGTTACCTGTTGCTAGGTACGATGATGTTATGACCTTGGGGAGATCATTCGGGTCGGGTCCTAACGGGTTAGCTGATGCCATGACAAAGGGCTTAGTTGTGGCTTGTGTTTTTGTTGCTTCTGTTGTCTTCAACTGATTTTTCTTTGGCTCAGCTTCTACTTTGTCAGTGAGTTGTTTTGATTTTGATCTCTTTGGGGTAAGAGATTGGCCTCTGGTTCTGTTGTTTTTCCTGTTAGAAGGAGAAGATGAAAGGCTTTGGGTTCGAGAAGGGAGAGAGCTATGGAGAGGTTTATTAGGGATTGGAAGTGGAAGGAGAGGTGGTTGCTGCCGTTGTTGCTGAAGCATCTGCTGATGATTTTGATAGAATGGATTGAGAGGAGAAGCTGAAGGAGGATAAGAGAAGGAAAGAGACGGTGGGGGAGCAAACAAGAGGCCTCGTCCTTGGGTGATGTTTGTGGGAGGAAAGTTTTCACTTGGCTTCGAAATAAAATTAGCTCCATTACTATTTCTCCTTTGAATATTATTCTTGAGTTGCTTGTATGGAGAAAATGGTTTCTCAGCTGAAGATGACATGAAAATTGCATCCATAAGACGTGAAATAGAGACAAATGATTTGTTAACAAAATCCTGGAAAACAACGAAAAACCTTTTACAATATAAAAAAACAAGAGACTACAAACAAAAGAGGCGATGATCTTTGAAATAATATGATCAAAAGCCAGAAACCAAAACCTTGAAAGCCTATTATCAGAGGAAATCTTTACAGAGTTTTTCAATGGAAACAAATTTTTTTTTGAAAAAAAGGAAATGCTATTTGTTAAACGGATCCGAAAGACCCTTTAATCTAAGAGGGTATGGATTTTTATTTCCCGCATCAAACTTTCATGAGTGCTTAACTCTGTGCGTCATTTTATAGAAGCCATAGCCTCCAAGTCTGCAACGGCTACTTTGTTTTTTACTGTAATTTTTTTCTATTTTGATATTTTTTATAATTAAAATGTCGCCAATTCTCCTAATTTACCGACAACCGTTGCAGCCGGCTATCTCCCTAAGACCAAGAACCGGGAGACACTGATGGGCGGCAGCCGCCGATTCGATTTTGACCGTCGGATCCAAGAATTTGAAATAGCCGCTGAGGAGATATTAGCCGTTGATCACTCCCTCGGGTTCTTCGAGGTTGGTCTGGTTAGAAAGCGACTGGAAAAAAAATTATCCCACTTAGTGGGACCCACAATATTACTTATTTTTAGATATTTATTTTTTTGACGCAGTAGCATGACAATTTGACAATTTAGAAATGGTCCTACAATAATACAGTGCACGACCTTCTATAATTCGTGCACGTGGCAGCATGTCAGCCATATTGTTCCTCTTGATATGTCTCTTTCCATGATTGGTCGGTGCCTTGCACGTGACCGTCTTTCACGTCAACTAATCTGATGTAGAAATGGTATAACGACGTTTTATGACCTTGGAATTCACTGTTAAATCTTTAGAAAATTATTTTCGTTCGAAAGATGGAAAATCGTGTTAAGGAATCAAAATTGTAAAGAGACGTGTGCCATTATATGAGAACACATTTTTAACTAGTAATAATCTCACATTTTTAATTAGTAATAACCTTAACAAGTATTTTTAGAAGACACGTTACATTTTTTTAATAATAAACTTATAAATTAATTACATCCGATGATATTAACTTCAGTAATTTTTTTATCAAAGAAAAGTTGAATATTTACTTTGATTGAATTAATAGATTTTTTTCGATTTTAATTTGGATAAAAATGTAAAATTGAAGTAGAATAAAGTAAATGTCTATGGATTTTAATTGAATAGTGATGTTGTGTATTGATGATG